ATAAGATAAAATTGTTTCTTACGCAAAATTAATCAAAGCTCAGCCTGAAAAAGCTCTTGGCGCCAAAACCATTCAAAGCTTTACACTCATGCTCCTTTAACTTCGTCCGTTCTGCTCAGTTTCTGCAAGCTTTTCATCACACGAATCTCGTTGGAATCCCTCTCGAATCATGTAAATGTTTCTTCTCTTTCGACGATCCAACCAGGTTAACCGACTAGAGCAGATTGTTTACGAAGACGAGCGAAAAGGTTCGTTTGAAACGCTTCAAATCGAAGAAAAAGAAAAGATAGAAGAAGAAAAGAGCCCCCAAACAATTTGAGCCAATTGGGAGCAAAAACCCGTGACGAAAGGCCCTTCATCCGTAAATCTCGTTCCAATTTGGACAACTGCCCTGTGCCGAAAACAGCGTTGAAGCTGTGGACGACGTGGTCGTCCATCTTCTTTCCTCCCCAAATTATTTACACCAAACAACTCTGCTCTTTCTTTTTTTCATTTAGGAAGGAGTGATTTATGACCTACTAACTTGAAAATCATTAGAGAAAGAATCCAAAAAAGCTACAAAAGAGTCAATCTTACTTATAACTTTAAAACCCTCTAAATGATTCAGAAAGCGGAATCGAAACCTTAAAACAACCCTTTTCACTTTTCAATATCTTGAACTTTGAAAAACCGCACCTGATAGCACCGACAGCCCAGAAATTTTTAAGAGTCAGTCTCGAAGCCAGGAAATAACAGAGCGCTCTGAAAACTTTCAAAAGTTATTTTTTCCGCTTCTACGATTTTTACCAAGAACTGTAGCACACGTGCCGATGACAGCTTTTTTTTTGATGAACCTTCGACTCTGAAAAAAAAAACCAATTTCCGTTTTTTTCTTCTTTTTGGCACGGAAAGCAAAGCAAAAAACAATGAATGGAAAGAATAGATAGGAAATAATTTTTTTCCTCCATAAAAGACAAAAAAAAAATTCAAATGCGAATTGTTCCCGCTTCTCGGCGAAGCACGCAATGTGAAGAATACCAATTTTGTTGAAATTTTAATTTTTCGGAGAATCAATTTTCTGGCCTTTTTATTGGTTAACATAGATCCGAACTTTCTCCCATTTTTTTAAGTTCGTCTTTTTTTGTTGCAAAAATACTAATAGAAACATCAAAAATTATTTTTTTATTTTTTTAAATTGAATGTTTTAATATTTTTTTGCGCTTTGAAATTAACCCTCATCTTTGAATTCAATACTAAAAACTTTTTGTTAATTTAATTTTACCGAAAAATTTGGGAGCTTGGAACTCCATCATGCGCATGGGGAATGGCTCGACACAGCTTCAAGGCGTAGCCGACTTAAAACGGATTTCGCATGGTGTCGAAGGAAAAGCAGAACGCGACGCTTCGAGCTATTCCACCTATGACCACGAGTTGTTTTTTTGAAAAGGCGCGAAGAAAGTGTATTTTTTCTAATAATTAGAATACGTTGAACTATGATATGAGGATAATTCTGTTTTAAATATGTATCTATTAGCTTTGACTTCTATCTTTAAAATCCCTCAACTCCTTTCGACATAGCCCTTCAACTCTTCCAGACATCCCACATTTCATGTTTTGAATTTCTCTCCCTCTTTTTTCTTCGATTAGAGTCCTTAGCGAAATAAAAAAAATGCATCCACCACAATCCTCACATGTGACACACCACTCATTGTATTGGGTACAAATTATTTGTCTCGCACTTGTCTCGCTCTTTCCTCACTTTCTAGTTCTTTGAGTAATTAATTCATGGGCACATGACCGGCTTTTTTTCGATCGAAAAAAATTAAAAAAATTAAAAAAATTAGAAAAAGTTAAATTATATTTCGTTTGAGTAGAGTTCGAAGCAGAACACAGATTGAAAGAAAATTAGGCTTGAAAGTTGGGGAAATTGTATTGTTTTGTGAACTTTTTCCAAGGGCATGTTCTATCAAAAAATTACTGTACTGAGTGGAGTTCGTTCCCAGCTTAGATCCCATCAATTGCTCTTTCAAAATCAAAAGTCCGCCTCAAAATGAAAGAAAGTTTGCCTAAGCTGAGATTTATCTTCTCTGATCAAATTTAAACACACCGGAAGACAAAATCGGAAAAAACTCTCACTTTCGTGAAACTTTTTGACTCAAAAGCACTGATAAGAGCAAATAAAATAAAAGAATTTCTTTGTGATTGCAATTGAGTTTTTCCTCAAATCCAAAATTAGAGATTACGATTCGATGATTTAAATGGTCAGGAATGAAAAAAGTCGATCATTCTTCAAACGTTTTTAAAAATAAGTAGACTGTTTTGGAGCCGTTTTGAGTATATTTATACTTTCTTCAGTTGATTCCAATGAACTCTACGATAGAAGGAACTCGAAGAGCAACTAGAAACTAACGAGAATAATTCGAAGTTAGGTAAAAGGAGCTAATCAAATTAGTGGCGATGATCGACACGGAAATAGCTGCCCGGGGCTTTCCATTTTTATCCCTTGCAGTTCACGGCCAAGACGTAGATATACATAACCCCACAATTATGAGCCCCATTTTCGCTTGAGCCGCCGGTGACGTCATCATCTCACGGAGCAGCTCAAGAATGGGCGGAGCCGTGATTGAGATGAGAACACTCGGCGTCCAGGGCGGCAATGATGATGCAGGCCTTTTTGCATAAATATATTTTTATCGTGTTTTTCATTTTTGTCCTCCTTTTCGTTCAGATATTTTTGTTTTTTTTATTCTATTGTAATCTTCATTTTTAGCTTCGTTCCAGACAGTTGACTCAAAAATTTTTTCCGCTTCAAAGTTTTGAACCCCTTTTCAGTTTTCCGTTTTCCTTTTTTCTGACTTTTCAAACACGTTTTCATACAATTTCTGCCGGGAAGATTCACTGATATCAAAAAATAAATTTTCCCGAGAGATTCAAAAATTATTAGAGACAAATTTTAAATTTCTAAATTATAACATTTCTTGCATTTGGTACCTATAAAGATCGTTGTAACTGAAGAAAGTGCAAAAATTCGGCTTGACTGCCCAAAATGCTATGCATTTTTTTCTATTTTCCCTGCAAGCTGTTCATAAATAAACTATAGCTCATTCTGGGTGTTGTACTTTTCAAATAGAAACAACTTTCAGAAAGCTTTTTGAACTGATAATTGAACAAGCTATGTTCTGAACAAATTTTATTCTGCTGTAATGTAGAGTTGGACTGAAGAAGCTTAAAAAACTTTTGAAAGGTGCGAAAATGGACACCGAAAAGTATTATGCGTTTTCTATTCTCTAGGTCAAGTGTGTATGAAAGTTTTTGTGTCTTCTGTTCTTCTCGATACAAGAAAAAAACACTACAAAAATTTAAGTTAGTCAAAAAATGCTCCAAATAGACTTTAAATATTATAAACTGTCATTAATTCCTTGCAAGCTGTTCATGGATGAACTATAGCTTGTTTTGAGCGAATAGAACCCCTCAAAATAGAAACAAAACTTCACTGAACTACTTTTGAATATAACAATCGGACAGCCTTGTTGAAATGTCCAAGCACGTGTATGCTTGGCGCCGAAAATTCGTTTTTGTTGTTTTTGCTCTCGCGTGCACCCAGAGGCCATCCCAATCTATCTATATATGCATGTCGACCGACCGACGCAACTTGCCAACTTTTTTTTTGGCTTTTCCCTCCTACTTTCTTTTTATTTTCGGCACCCGAATGTCTAGGGGGTCTGTCTATTGGATCAGAAATCAAGAGAGAGAAATGAGATTTCCTTGAATTTTTTTTCTCGAAAATTTTGGAGTTACATGGACATGGAGACAAACTGTTTATATACTGCAAAAGGCGATCGAAACCAGTCATTCAATCGGAAATAAAGCTCCTTGAAATTCTCATAAAATCATAGAAAAAATTAAAGCAAACACTGATGCAACATTTTTTCAAAGTTTCCAAAGGTCTCGATGCGCCTTTAAATGTTTTAGTAAATGCTCATGAATGAACTAAGGTCTTTCTGGGTAGGGAAATCGCCCCGTTCGGGTTCATCGGAGAATTTTACAGATGATTACAAACTCGCGCAAAGGGCTTCAAAGGCCTAACGAATGAACTTTTCTATAAAGTTTTTCAGAGGAAATAAATTATTATTTTCAACGATTAACATTTGAGACTCAAAAAAAAATCCAAATAACAGGAAGAATGAATAAATTTCAAAAAAATGCATTCATTTCGATGCCATAGCAGCTACAGTAAATTTACTGAAAACTTTTTCAAAGTTTAAGCTACATGTTTATTTTTGAGAGGCGTCGCTCCGTCATCGTTATTATTTCAATTCTAGCCTGTGTTTTTTTTTTCTAGTTCTGCGTTGCCTTGAAAGCATTTCATGTCTCGGGGCTTCATGTTTTTTTCCTCATTTTTTTTTGGCTTTGAAGGTAGACGTAATGGCGGAAGTGAATAATCATTTCATCCATAGTCTGTCTGAAAGGCCGAAAAGTTTCAGTCCATAAATGGGAAAAGTTCATACGAATCAACTTTTTTTTGAATCCATGTGTTCTTTTGCTTTTTATGATTGATATTTTGATGTTGAAGCCTTTGGAGTCGAACAATTTTTTTTGGGAGAAATTGCAGAAAAAGAAAGAAGTTTAGTCTTTACATTGACAGAATTCACATTTATCAAAATAAAAATTTTTATTTCTGTTTTTTCTTTTATTTTCTTGATTTTTGCTTTCGGCTTTATGATTCCATGCTCGCAAAACTAGGATCTCAGCGAAGTTTCAAAATATCAAAAATGAGTAAATGTTGAGCTTTCAAACAAAAAAAGCTTTCTCATGTGATTTTATATTTTTAAAAACATAAAAAAATTTTTCCGACGCGTTTATATCAAATTTTGCATTATTTTTCATTGATTGCATTAAAATACTTTTTTTGAACTTCTTCGATTTTCTAATGAACAAAATGACAATGTTCATTTTATTTCGCGACAAGGCATTGTATTCAAAAAATTGATTAGTTTTCAACCGAATAGTTGCAGGGGCTGATGGGAAATCAGTCAACAAAATCACGCGACGCAAAAATTGCGACATCGCGCAGCCACAACGCGATGCGCGTCGAGCACGACGTCATTCCACGATCAGCTTCTGCCATCCCGCCTCCAGGTATATTTTTTTTATTTTTTTCGTAGAAACGCGTGAAATTTGTAAATTAAAAAAAGAGATGCTTTAGGATTGAGCTTTTTTTTCTGTAAGCTTTAAGGATCTAATTTCTTGTTTTGAACCTTCTCCAAGGCTTTTGAAAATCTTTGCGCTGAAAAAAACTTCTTTTTGTTGTGAAACCATGTTAACTTGAAGCCTCAATTCTGTTATTTTTTGAGCCAATTTCATTAGATTTTCAAGCTTCGTTCGGCACAAAAAACAAGTTTTTCTTTTCTTTTTGATTTCAACTACACTAGCTTTTCGGCAACCTCAAATTTTCTTTTCTTCTAACTGAAAAATATACGATGAGAAATATATTTTTGTCAAAAGTCAAAAAGAAGGTTTTTTGAATTTTGAATAGTTTTTAGATCAGTACACACGAAAAACGATTCGATTTAAGTAAACTCTACTTTTTTTATCTGAAAAGAATCTAAAAATCTATCAAAAGCTTTCGACTAGGTTTTTTTTTATTTCGAAAGACACTTGTCTCTGAATTTCTTTTTGAAATGTGGATATCTTTTCGAAAATTCCGATTTTTTGAATATTGTGAACGAGGGATAGGAAGAACACGTTTTCAAAATGAAAAAATCCTCTCAACATTTTTCTCATCTACTAATTTGTTATGTATACACCATTCCCAGGAGTTTGAAACAAGTAAGGAAATTCGATGCGCTTCTCTTTCAATATAAAATGAGCGGTGTGTCTCAAATATTCATGAAACTTTCGTTTTATGAGAAGAATTTGGAGAATGCGTTTCTATTTCTTCTTTAAATAGGAAAAAAAAGAAAATGGGAAAAAAAGAGCTCAAACCCGGAACGACCCACACAATCAAAATTGCATTATGATGATGACCCGTCCTTTTCAAATAAAAATCAGCCGAAAAATAATAGGTTCATAAATAGGAGAGGGGAGAGATGAGGAAGAGAAGAATAAAATGAGGGATAGGTCCTTTCTTTCTTCTTTCATTTTCAATTTCGTCTCGCTTCCTTTTTTGTCCTTTTTTCCTGCACTTGAGCTCAACCTCATCTCCAGCTCCTGAATATCTTCCTCTCCTTTTTCCTCTTCATTCTCAAAGAATAGAACTAATTTCGAGACGCGCAGCAGTTAATGTATCGAAGAGAATTTAGTGTGTATTCAGGCCTTTTGCATGGGATTTTGAGACGTGATTTTTATTTTACGCTTTTTTTTGACCTTGTAGTTCCTTCATCTGTTTCTTCAGCTATTAACTTATAGGCTCAATTATTATTAATGATATTGTAAATATTCTAGAGGAATTGTGCGAATATAAAGTTTGTACAGTAACCTGAGATTTTTTTTTTCCGCCTTTTATTTCTTTTATCATTGTCCCAAAGTTTGAAGGATTAGCAAATTTTACAAGAGATTCCCTGAAAAGACTTGCGAGAGTGTTCAAAAAAAGAAAAAGAGAAAGTTTTACAGTAACCCGTGCGTTTTTCGCATCTCTTTAAACTCTAGTTTAAGTCAAGTTCGCAAAAATGGAAATGAAACGACTTGAATAACAGTTTTGAATGAGAAGAGGTTCCTACAGTAATCTGGGCATTTTTTCTGCATTTCCTGCTCGCTTTCGTACAAATGCAAGTACTACACTTCAACGTTAGTAATTTTTTTTTGAAAATCTACCGATGAAGATGTTCAAGTATGAGTTAAAAAATGAACTTGAAGTTTTCTCAATGAATCTCTGACCTTGTTAAAATTAATTTTTCGCAGATTTGCGAATTTTGAAAACCTGAAAGCGTCTACAAAGCCCGATATCTATGTGAGAAATATTGAATCTCATTTTCAATTTGAAAAATATAAGAAAAATGATTGATAGATAGGTTGATTTTTTTTTCCAGCCACTTTTCTTCTACATTTTCCGGACAAGGCCTTTTGCCATGCGGCTAATTGCTTGCGGCGGTTGCTCGCCCTTTGATGGACGACCGCAAATTTGTTATTTTTGTTTGTTGCTCTCCGTGGGACTCCCGAAAAAGAATGAGCAGAAAAGAGAGAACAAGTGCAGGAGCGCAAGGCTACATATGCCAATTTCTTTTTATTGGGTGGAGCATTTTTTTTTTTTGAACTAGAAGGCTTAAAATTCGAAAAAATGGTTTTGAAAAATCATAGGGTGCGCGTTATAATCCAGATTCACATATATATTTTTAACGTTCTAGTTCTTCCGATCGTTATGATCCTCGAGTTCAAACTGAACACATGAACGTTTTTTTAGAAGCCCCCAAATTGTGCGAAAAAAAGTGCAATTCATTAAAATATGTATTTTATAAGTATTAAGTAAAACTGATAAGACTACAAGTAATAAAAAAAGCTAGGTTTCAAAAAAACAAAACTTGTTTTTCAGGCATTTTTATATTGTATCAAAGTTGGAGCCAAAATTTTCCACTTTTTTGAATTCCAGCTCACAGAAAACATAACCAAAGAATACTCGGACAAGTGTGCTCCATTGAGAAAAAAATTGGATCTCTTTGAAAATATGAAATTTTTTTATTTTTTTGACCTCATCCACTGGTCTGAATGTTCAATGCTGAATCTCGGGCTCAAAAAACTCTGATCCGAATCGTTTTCTTTTTCAGTCTCAGTGTCCTGATTTCACAATTTTTAAGCATGACCTTACCTGATAGTTTGATATTTGGCCATTTTGGAGCACAGTTTTTGGAAGTGGAAACTTGGAAAGACGTAGAAACAACCTATAACTATGTACTCCATTGAGAACAAACTATTTTTGAAACACCTTTTTACACGCTTGTGCTCGATCTAACCATGAGCTGGACACTTTGAAGAACGCGAGTGTCCCCTGCACCTTGGCGTCGAGTCGTTGAGCGCGAGGCCGAGCAGCGAGTCCGACGAGTACTGCTCCGCGAGGACCTGCGACGACGACTTCTCGCCCGCGTCGCCGAAACCTCTTCAGCACTCGCGACAGAGTTCGTTTCACTGAAAATTAACCAAGATAACTTGTATTTTTTTTTGTCTTTTTAGAAAACCTGCTAATCAATCAATCTACTTACAGACGAACTTTTTCAACTATCAGTTGATTTTTCGATAAAAGTTAGCTGAAGCCTCCCGATCACAAAAAAGCGTTTCGATTATCGCTATAGTCGAGTTAGGACGCTTCACAGCTTGCCAACTACTCAAATTTTGGAGAGACAAAAACGGCTTCAAAGCTTCTGAAACGTCATAACTCGACTATAAAACCGAGATTTTTTCCGTGTTATGGAATCGCGAGGTTGCGAGAACATTGCTCTAATGATAAGCGTCTCTGATTGGCTGGCAAGCCCCCTTGCAGTTAGAGCATCTTTTGGGGCTGTTCAACCTTCACCCAGCACTGACAGTGTTAATCCACCCCTCCGGGACTTACACGCTAATTTTCATGAGCTCTGCAAAGAGTGATTATTCTTGTTTCAACCTTCTCTATCACATTTGCAACTCAAAACGAACTAATGAGAGCTCCCGTCAATTACACTTTTTTTGAAACGTACTTTCCTGGGGATCTGTGAAATCTCGTGTTTGGGCCTTCAAAAAGTCATTATCATGAGGCCTTCGACAAACATTCTGTGGGCAAGACTACAAATATTTTCCGGATTTGTAGGCGACGATTCCAAGGAAAACTCCTCAGAGGAACATTCGATCGGCAGCGCTAGTCTGGACATTGCCGACGCCGTCACGCCAAGAAGCCAGTACGATCTTTTCTTTTGTATCTTCGTTTCTCTTTTACATTTTTTGACTTCTTATTTTAAGAGGAGTGAATTTATAAAAAAGAAGGCCTCCAAAAGTTTTCGTATAAAAAAAAGGATGAGCGCTGAAGTTGAACCATTAAAAAACTAAACTGAAAAATTCTGGTCGTATAGATTTTCCGTTTGAATGTTAATCTCTAGTTTTTTATCGAAAAAGTAGCATGGCATTTTCTGCATCTTTTGCGCTCCATGGTAAACCAAAACTTGAACAACTTCAAATGCAGACTTCGCCATACCATGAGTATCTCTGAAGCTGGTTTTTTTAACAACCCTCCGAAATTTGGAACTGAAAAAAAGTTAATTTGAGAAAAAATCTTTCAGTCAGTTCTAAGAAAAAAAAAAGCCGTGGAGCGCGCAAGTTCAGATACACAGCACCAATATTAGCTTTTTGCCTGAATATTTTCACTGAAGCTCAAAATTTTCCAGCCTCCAAAAAGCTGGACAAAAAATAGAAGAACAAGGCTTTTTGGCTCGGGAAACGGTTGTTTTGACCGACGAGCTCAATTTTCCGCGCAAGCAGTGCTGCTGCTACGAATTGGAAATTTTAATGGCTCCCCTCACACACACATACACCCATGGCGAAAAAAAATTTCACCGCACAAACCAAATTTTTTTCTTCTTCTCTTGTCTACTAGCGTTTTCCGGTTCAAAAATGCTATTTCATTTTTTTGTTCAGATCTCAAATTTTTTGCAAGAGTTTACCTAAAATTTCCATTTATTTTTTTCAAGAAACACTTATGCAATTTTCCGAGTCCGGTGAAAGAGAGAACTCATTTCAAGAACGACGCAATTAGCCCAAAGAGCCAAATTTTAGAGCGGTTTTAGTTGGCCGTCTTTGAAAACTCCCGAAACTATCAGATAAGCCTTCGAGCAAAAAAATATATATAAATACATTCCAAAAGATTTCAAAAGTTATTTGACCACGAAGTTGACGGAAAAAGAAAAGTGACATTATCAAAAACTAAAAAGCTTAAAAAGCAAACTCAAAAAGATTTCTTGAGATTTTACTCATAAAAGTTTCTTTTCAAAGCTCATTGGCTTCTTCGAGATGTAGAACACGAGAGAAATCGGAAAAATTCTTTTGTATTTCAAAGATAATTATTATTGCTATTCAGTTTATCCATAACGAGGTCAACAAGTTCGGGAATGCAAAAAGACGATCTGCCAATGTCAAAATACAATTCTTCAATCGCCAACAGCGAAAAATGTACATCAGAACTATTTTCAAAGTAAATATAAGTTATTTTGAACTTTCAGGTGTCCAAAAGAGCAACTCGACGAAAAGCGGAAAGATGGGAGCGTTGAAAAATCAAAATTCGAAAGAAAAAGCCGCTTCAACGCATTCAAACCGTAAGTTTTCATATTAGAACTACAGGTACAGGTACTAGGAAATTTTGAATTTGGAGAATCTGAGCTTTCCGATTGATTTCAGAGCTTTTTCTTCAGAGAAAATCTCCTCTACTTGAGAAAAAACAAGAAAAAGTTCGAATTTCAATCTAAACTTCTCAAAGCTATTCATAAAAGAGTAACCAAGCACCAAATTTTTTTGAAATCTTATCTAATTTTGAAAAATTTACTTTGTATTTTTTTCTGGAGACCTCGAATTCGTCCATAGAACCAATTTCTTGATGGTTATGATATAGAAAAACTCACTTCTAGCTAACTTTTTTTCCGGAACTATCGGAAATTACTTGTAATAAATTTTATTACTTCTAGATTTTGAAAATTTAGCCATCCCTCATGCGCCCATCATTCAAACGTGTTTGCACCTGACACCGGCTCAAATTATTTTTGTTCGGAAAACTTGGCAACACGCCAGGAATCAGGGAGCCCTCGAGCCAGCCATCAGCATCTTCAGGTTATTAATTGTTGAACTTCAACTATAATCCTTTCTTTCCAGAAATTCCTTCTTCAAGCATCCAGAAATCCGACAAATGATCATGCACGGGACCAAAAATTCGGGACACGAACGGCTCAAGGTAAAAATAAATCTTTGTTTACCTATTGAAAAAATTATTTTTGAAATTTTTCTGTATCGTTTTCAAACCTGAGCTCCAGGCAAAATTTTATAAACTTGTCTTTGCAATTTTTGAAATTTGTTCTCTAGTACACTCCTGCTTTTTCGTCGAAAGAAAGTAGTTTTCAACTTTTTTGAAGTCAACATTATGAAAACGCTGAGAGCACTTGAGTTGTCACTACAACGATTTTCTTGATTTTTCATTGTTTCTCGTCTTTTTTAATGGTTTTGTTTTTATTTTGAACAATTCCTACCAATGCCTTATTTGCGATCTCATTCTTGGTTTGTGCAAATTCCGAAAAAAATGCTCCCGACTTGAACCGGTTTTTGACTTGAACTTCGATTCCAATGTTATTATTTTATTCATAATCAAAGATTTCAGAGACACGCTCAATTGTTCACTACAATGATGGACGATTTAATCGCCGGATTGGATTCGCCAACGGCGACTGTCGCTGCCTTAAGAGAAGCCGGCGAGAAACATGTCTGGCCAAGTCGGGATCAATGTTTGTTTTATTCAGAAAAAAAGAAAAATTATGAAAAAGTAGGAAACGCGTTTTTTATGAGAAAAATTGCAGGAAAACTTGGAGAGAGTTCCGAATTCATACCTTTTCATAGTCCAAGTGCTAGTCTATAAATTAGAAGCAGACTCTTTAATTACAAGCCCCTTGATCGTTGATTTTTCGAACAATTTTCACATCTTATGTCAATGAACTTATAATAGATCCAATCCATTTCACAAATCTTCATTCCCAGTTTTAGTTATGGAAGTTTCATGGATCACCTAAAATTTTACTCCTTCAAGTCCTTCTGGCCCCTCGGGCCGTTCAAAAATTGCGTATGGAACTCGTGTTTCAGAGTCCATCGCGGGCAATTGGGAAAAGTTTTCAACCAGCAATAAACGCACCTCGGCAGAGCCTCATTGGTCACGTTATCGCCCCAGCGCAAAGCTAAAGAGGTCAGCACGAGAGAAAGACCACCTGAAATGGTGCGACCGACGCGTAGTGGCTTCCGCGAGCGTCCATCTTTTAGCATATGACTGGTGTTTCGAACGGAGGACAAATTACTTCGTTTGTAAAAAATGTTCACAGATAGCAAAATTTAACTTTCTTAAGCCTCCATTTTCCTTGCAATAGGTTCAGTTTGGAAAAAACTTTCCAAAACCTAATGTAAAGCTATCAAGGTTAATGAAGTATCTATAAAACAATTTTCTCCTTGATTTTCGTCTTCTGATTATAAAAGGTTGATAACTTTTCAAAAATGCAAAGTGATTGAGAAAAATGGTTTTTTAATTTCCGAAATTTTTTACTGAATCCAATTTTCCCTCTTTTAAATTAAATCAAAAGAATATTGAATAACGTTTTTGATCCGATGAAACAATATCGCTTGTTTCACTTCAAACATCTTTCCAACATATAATAAGACGTCCAATTGCAAAAGATGCACGCTCGCGGAAGCCACTACGCGTCGGTCGCACCATTTCAGGTGGTCTTTCTCTCGTGCTGACCTCTTTAGCTTTGCGCTGGGGCGATAACGTGACCAATGAGGCTCTGCCGAGGTGCGTTTATTGCTGGTTGAAAACTTTTCCCAATTGCCCGCGATGGACTCTGAAACACGAGTTCCATACGCAATTTTTGAACGGCCCGAGGGGCCAGAAGGACTTGAAGTGGATGATTCACAGTGAAAAACATACAGAAATTATTATAATCTGGAAATTAGACAAGTATTTCTGACTATTCGGGAAAATTTTGTAGTGGCCACTAAAGATTTTTGACTTTTTGAAGCTACTATCATAGGCAAAGTCCCCTCGGAGGGTCCTCAAAGGGTGCTGGAAGGCTCCATAGAAATGTTCCTTTCAGGGTGACGAAGGCTCCCTTTTTGCTGCCTTTCTGCACCCTTTTTCTGCCTTTATGCACCCGTTTCGCACCGAGTATAGTAGTCAAATTAGTGACCATTTGAGGGGGTAGAAATTAGTGCCGACGTTAGGACTCGGAAGTTTTAGTGGCCACTATAGTAGTTGATACTAATATGAGTAAAAATTAGTGGCCTGTCTAGAACTTCCCAAAATATTATTTATTTTGTAGATCATTTTCTTTGTTAGAAGAGAACAATTTACGAGGTTTAGTCAATGATTTTTCAAAAACTTTTTTACTTTGTAGATCATTTTATCTGTTTTTTTACTCCTATTACCTTCCAGACGGTTGTCCATTCCGAGCTTCGCTTCTCGACCAATTTGCCACCGCTATGATCGAAAGGACGTTGGAATGGGGCGAGAAAAAGGACCGAACTGAAGTAAATCTCATAAATCGCCAATTTAATAAACTATCAAACTTTTAGGCCACTCAAACCGGCTGGACAAAAATCGTGCTCTTCGTCGTGGAACAGTTGAAGGAAGGTTTCCAGGATGAACAGAAACGGCAACGGCGTATGAGGGCCAAAAATATTGGGGTTAGTCCACTTCACAGAAATCATCACAAAAGAAAATTACAGGGATGTTTATTTTTAAATATAATTTATTTTCTAATCTTTTGAAAACATAACTGAGTCTTAATCAGCCTCAAGAAGCTAAGAGAAAGTTAGGCATTCCATCCTAAAGTGACAACTTGATAATAACAAAAAAATTGCTTGAGAAAAATATCGTCGAAGATTCCAAAAAAACTTAACATGCTAGTTTAGAAGTTTTAACTCTTAAAAATTTCAATTCTTATTACTTTTTTTTAAACTTCTTGCGTGTAGAAATTTTCAAATTGTATTTCTCCGCGCACGTTTTTTTATTGGGGCGCATTTTCCCGCTTTTGCAAAAACTACAAGTCGTGAAACGGCGGGTTCAACGGAAAACTGAGCCTAATTTAAAACGCAAAAAGTTCAATATCGCCTTAAAGTTGCTCCATAAACTTTTTTTAAGAAATAAACATTTGCTATTTTTTTAAAAATTACAGCCCATATCTATTCTTTTGAAGAGCATATCATAGTTCAGAAGTTTCGAACCATTTTCGCGGACTAAACTTTTCAAGCGCTTACTATTGCTCATTTTCTCAAAACTTCCAGAACCGAAATGACTACACCTCGTTCTCTGACGTCACAGCTTCTCCTCTAGTGACGTCAGGTGTCGGCGAGATCAAACGTTACAATACTGTTGACAATTTGTGATTTTACTTGTTTTCTTTTCCCCGCTAAAACGAACGAAAAGGTACTCTAATAACGTGTGGTGCTGGTTTGATATATTTTTTCCAAAACAATGTTCCCTGAGCTGTTGTGAATCGACTATGTTGTGAAATCATTCTGAACCCTGTGTTTCCTATCCACATATCGGTCAAAATTACTTGTGATTCCTCCTCAAAATCAAAAATTTCAACATCAAAGAGAATATAATCGCTAACACGGGTTTGGGCACAGCAGCAATAAAATTCGAATATTATATATCATTTTGCAGAAATAATATTTTCTTTCTCACTGTGATTGTAATGGAAAAATTGGGTGTTCCTTTTTTTTTTTAATAATAATCTTTTTCCCATTAGTTTTATTAATGTGAGCTCAATATACCTTTTTTTGAATTCATAATACTTTATTCCAATCATCTTCACCATGTCACTTAACGCTTTGGCGTCAAATATCTTCCTAATAATTTGCGATTTCATTTTTTTACTTTTTTTGTCAATATGTTATTGTTTCTCCGTTTAAATAAATGGTTCTAAGCGATTCACTTGCTTAAATTCGATAATTTTTCCAACTTTTTAAAGAAGGAAAAAGCAAGAAGGAGTTTATAAATATATATAAGTAAACTAGAGAAGTGCTCGATTTTTCTAAACAGGTAATAAATATCGACTCACTTTCGATTTTCTTTTTTCCGGACTTTTGAGAATAAAAAAAGTTAAACTAATACGTTTAGTTGAATCTCACGTTTTGTTTTTTTCAATTAACAAAGCATCTAAAAATTTTCATTGCCTAAGAAAGGAAATTCAGCAATTTTTTTCCCGCATCAAGTATTTCAACTGCAGGAAAACATTTCACAAAGTAGAAAAAAAAAAGAGGGAAAACATTCAATTTATCCCAAAAATATCATAAAAATGCACGAAAAAATCTACAATGTACAAAGAAATCATGTATTCAAAGTTTTTGACGTCTTCGCATCTTGACGACGACTTTTCCGGCCGGCCGAAGAATCAATTCCGGAACAGGACGACCTTTTGGCCATTTTTCGACCGACTCAACTTGGAACCATCGGAAAATGCAGGAAAGGACCGTTTTTTCTTCCAAAATGGCGAATTTCTGGCCTGAAAATGTTTGGAAATTTCTTCAAAATTGAAGGGAGTTGCAAATATATAAGTTTGGCGAAACTTTGTTGAAACCTATTTCGAAAACACGATTTGATTTTGTTCAAAAAATATTGAATTACCTTTAAATCTAGTTAAAAAGGCGAAAAACTTTACATTCTTTATTGAAAAAATAGGAGTCGAGTCTGATCTTTTAGGCGTCATAACTAGTTGAAAAAGCAAAAGATGAAAAAAAAAAATTATTTCTAGTTCGGAGCAATGAAGTTCAAAACTATCTTTCCACTTTTTTGTTAGTTCAAAAAAAAACCGATGCAATTCCTGGGTCCAGCCGAAAAAGGGACATAGGCGTAGGGCTCTCGTTTGGCGACTCGTTCTGCGTCGAAATGTTCCGGGAAGAAATCTTCGGGTCTTTCGAAGTACCTTAGTTACATTTTACCTTTATTTATCGGTAAATATTGGGAATACCTGGCGTCTCTCCCCGCCGCCAGGGGCACTCCGACTACAGTCATTCCCGCCGGAAGTCTTACGCTCCCTTGAGTTGCGTGTGCTGTAGAAGTCTTATCAGTTATTCAAAAAATATGTTTTGCCCTCACGAATGAACATGTCTTGGGAAAGGCGTCGCGCAATGAATGGAACTGATGGGAAGAGTCGTAGAGCTTCCTGAAGTGGAAAAAAAAGAATAAGTTTTCAAGCATATTTAAAAAAAAATAGTTCCGTAAATAATCTAAGAACTCTGTGAGAAAAGAATTGGAGCGGAAACTTTCTTCAACTCGCAAAAGAGTAGTTTGAAAAAAAAAATTTTTTTTAATTCCTCCACGCCACAGATCTGTCTGTGAGCGAAATAAACATTTCATTCATTCAAAATAAGTCTTTCTTTAAACAAATTAATGATATGAAAAGCTGAAACTTTTTTTTTTCTGAAGTCGTTCGCTACTATTTGCTTTCGATTTTAGCCGAATTTCTCAGTATTCATAAAAAAAACTAAATAGTTTTCTTGTAATTGAGTGGCTTGTTTAAAAAAATAAATCATCTCCGTCTTTTTCTATACATCTATTTTATATCATATTTTACCAGACTACGAAAAAAATTAAATTGGGATATCTATTAGTTTTTTTCTCTTATTGGCTCACCTTAATACACTTTTCCAGATAGACCATTCTCTTTACGTCATCATTTGAAGGTGGTCTCAAATAATCATCTCCAAAGATCTCGTCCAGCTCCTCGTGAACTTTCGCCTGGTACTCTGGGTACTGGCCGAGCCACCAAAGAGTGAAAACCATCCCACTGGCCGTCGTGTCGTGGCCTGAACTCAATATGTTCTTTCCCTTCGATTTTATTTCTCGAAAGAAAACCTTCAAACATAAATGTATCAACTTCTTCGCGGATATCCTCATCAGAAAGGGTATTCTGGGTCTGCATCTTCAGCAACATGTCGAGAAACGCCATTTTCTTCGGAGCGCCAGTATCGGGATCAACGCCGAAAGTTTCAGGGTCGCCGTGGTCCTCGATCTCTTTTTTCTTATCAGCGATCACCTGAAACAATATTATTTTAGATGGAAGAAGCCTTCATTCATAATTGAAACTGTTTGTAAGTCCGATTTTAGAGCAAACTTTACGGTTATAAAGCGAAATAAGAAGAAAAAAAGCCCAGTAAAAAGACGAAAATCAAGTCTAGAACGCTTCTTAAAACCTCAAACTTGTTAATTATCTTGAAACCTGCTGTAAACTATGATCAAATAAGCTGAAGAAAACTAAGCAAAAATTTAAAACGGTATCTAGACCTTCATTAGCTTTCTTTCAAAGCTGACGTCATCAACAACCAAAAAAAAAATTTTTATCAGTCTCACCTTTCTCGTAAAATCATTTGTCAACTTGACTTTGCGGTCAAACTCGAATCCGAGGCCACTCAAGTAGAAAATCGGCTTCAACCAGAGCCAGGGAAGCCTTAGAATGCAGATTATAGAGAAATGCAAGACGAAAAACCGCTCATGATTCCAGATGATCTCACTGATGCGTTGAACGGCATCAACATACGCATTATTGGAACAAATTTGAGCATTCACAGTCGTTCCCATGGCTGTTTCTGAATGTGATGAAGTAATAGGCGTGTTTCAATAAAAATCAAGGGAAAATGATATCTGCATTGACAAGCCAGTACTATTATCTTTTGAAGGTGCAAAAAATTGAGAAAAAATGAAGCTTATTCCTACGTCTCCAAATTCTACAACAAAAGATCGGAAACAACCTTCATGACTTTTGAGTAGAAAAAAACTACGGAAGTTGTGTATTGAAACAAACCACAAATAATATCCAAGGCGCAACGTTTGATATAAGGAAATATGTCGATTCCTTCAGGAGTTGCGCTCGCCCGAGCTATCAGGGAAACCATCAGCTTGGAGATTTTAAAATTAATCCAGATATCTCCTTTTCAACCAACCATGCCTTGCCGAGCAAAGACTTCTTGATACTTTTGCAAAACGGTGAAATGGAAAGTTGGTGTGAGGATCTTTCGCCGAGAGCGCCATTTCTCGTTGGTGCTAAAAAAAACATTAAACTTATTTATTTCGACCTTTCATTAGACAGAACCTTGTCAAAAGTCCAGAACCGATCCATTCAGTGATTTTATTGTACTGCTCAGGCTTTGTGATGTTTTCTGTGCTTTCCAATAACGGCTAAATACAGAATTGACACTTTTTTTCCCTCAATTTCTCACTCGAAGAGCTTCGGGTGAGAGAAGGATGGCCAACGGAACCGGACCGATCCAGAGCTGAAAAACTTGTTCTTTATTGAATCATATTGTTCTTTCAACTTTTATGGCGCCGCAACTGTCCGGAGCCACACCGTAGGACCGTCCCCAGCCTTCGATTTGATAAGTAAACTCTTAAAACTCAAACTTTAAAATGCCGTTTAAAAAACTGACTTTGATTGTCCCATTCGAAAAGATGTGCCGATCCGATCAATGGAAGCGCAGGAGGCCCATTCAATTTCTAAAATCAGATTTCTTTTTCGAAGTTCCGTCATGCTTCAAAGTCTGATTTAATCGTTATCGCCCAGTCACCACGTGCTGTTTGAACGGTCAACAGCATTGCAGGAAAAAAAAATTGGCAGATACTGATAAAGCTAGACAACACTTGACGAAAACCAAAACAAGCCTTGGACCAACAAGTTTAATGATCTTTTTAATTCCGCAAAAGAACTGGAACAAATAGAAATACTTTATTATCCGATAAGAAAAATCGAAAAAGAAAGAAAAAAGAGGAAATTTTTTTAAATCCGTGAATATGAGCGTCTCATCGCGCCGATGCTAATTCTCAAAAATATCTATGCGCCTTCAACCAAAAAAACGAGTCTACTTTCGGAAGTTTCTTTATTCTTTTTTTCTTCCCTCTTTTATTCTTTTTCTTCATAATTTTTCGAATAGACGACTCTACAAAAACTTAATCTTGTTGTTTTTTTATACCTACAGAGCTATGGAAAGACTTACTGACTTTGAATTCTTTGTTGCAAATGCGATTGAGCCTGACGAGCTCTTTCAGGGTTTTATAGAACTGGCTGAAGAGGTAGCCGATGATGACGACAGCGAACGCGACCAGAACTACCGACGACATGCTCCAATGTGCAGCAAACGACAGGAGTAAGCTACTGATTATAGCGAGCACACGTTTCTTCTTCTCTGTACTCGTGTTTTCGAAGTTGCTGTTATCATTTTGCCTGCTCTTATGTTCAATAGTTGTTTTCGGGTTCATTCGAAAAGTGCTATTGGGATTTTTGATGACTAATTTGAAATTGAAAAGTCGGAAAAGTGAAAAAAAAAACCTGAGAAACATCCATTTTACAACGGTCACTCGAACACATTCTGAGAAGGGTTTTTTCCTAAATAAATCTATTTTTGCCAGCTTCAGGCCGTTAGTTTTCAGAATTTTGTACGTCAGGTCCAAAGGAAATTTGCTGGAATGTTAAAGGCACAAAAAAAAAAAAATATTAGTACTAAAATTTAAAAAAATTTAGCCGCGATACCTTCTTTCTATGCTTCTTTAACCAGTGAGGATTTTTGAACTAACAATAGACAGTAAAGGCAATCGATAAAACTCGAAATAATTGGAAACGTGCAAAAATTGCAAAAAAAAAACATTTTTCTTTGTGGAATGTTTAGAATATTCTCTTTTCAGATAACGAAGTGCGTCGTTAGACCTTGAAAACAATCAACAAAATGAACGTTCACTGTCTGGACAATAATTTATACATTATTACAGTTTCAATCAGATCAAGGATAATTGAGACATGGAGAGGAGCCCTTGTCCATGTTGTACATGGCCGGGTCGCCGTAGATGCTCGCAATACACTTTTGGCGATTATTCTCGTTTTGGGCCGTGAATTTGGCCGGATAGTAGTTAGGGTCGAAGTAGTTGACGAGGCCTGGAAAAATAGTTTGGTAATGAAACACCGGCAAGGTGAAAAAAAAGAAATTGAAAACCAAGCAGAGGTAGTGAAACATTTAAACTAAAAAAAAAAATGATGTTTTTGTTTCTGAAAAATGATGCAAAATCAGAAAAATGACACCATGGCAATGAAAACGTGAGCCAGTTTGAGCATAAAAATTTTTTTGTTTATTTAATATGTATACATTTATTTACACCTTCCCTTTGCAGTTTCTCAAGTGAAAATATTATTAAATTGAAAAGACCTCCGTAAGAAGCCGGAACACAATTGCACCGTTCATTCTTCCAAGTCGTCGCCCAGTCAGGCTCGTAGCTGAGGTTGTACTTCAAGTCTCCCAACTTTACTGGCATGTCTGCAGAAAAGTCCGAAGGTTCAATAATGAAAAATCTTTATCTGGTCGAATAATTTTGAAAACCTTTTCGAAATAAGTACTGTCTTGAGCCATTAAATAAATCAGAAATTTATTTAAAAAAAGAGGTCTTGACACGTAGGGAGAAGATTAACCTCTGGTTTTTGTTTTTCACGAACTACCTTTACAAGTGAGCAGATTTGCTGGTCCAGTTGGTGCGCCGAAATACCCGCAGAACCATTTGAAAGCCTTGATTCTTCGTGATTCGCCAGGACCTAGACGAATCATTTCATTGATCTTTTTTCTCGATTTTCCACCTCCTGGATCAGTTGGATCTTCGCCGTTGCACTCATTATTGATAATGAGAGAAGTTGGGCCGAAAATCGGGCCAGTATAGCCGGCAGCAATGTTCGTGGGCCCGCTGTTCCAAGAACCTAGAAAATACTTTTGAAGGGAAAAAAGTGCTAGTTACATTTCGAGTTAAGGACCAAACTTAAAATTGTTGATCAAGTTCAATATAGTTTTGATTTAAATGAGAAATTCCACAAAAAAGTTGCCCTAGATTGCAGCAGATCGTATATTTGTTATCCCTAAAACTAACCCGGAATCTTGCTCTACCTTACAACCAAAAAAAAAATTCAAAATTAACCCATAACAATGTCGTGCATGGCCGGTTTCGGCGGCTGAGCCGTCATGTAGAACCAAAGGGAGGCCATAATCGCCAAAGGAGGATCCATACTGGTCATCACCTTGAACGTCACTTTATCAGATTCTTTTCGCCGAGACTTGAATAATATCGCAAAGAATGACTCAAAACTCTCAACAACAACCTAATCATGCGCGGCGGTATTCCATAGCATAAGGGATGAAAGTGGTTGAAGGTCGGGCGCAGCAGTGAAGTAGCGCAAGAGTAATTTCAAGGTGTTTCAAGCCATAAAATATTCACCAGATTCGGATTCTTGATCAGATTGATCTTGATATTCTGGGCGTCGAGCCATTCTTGGAACTGTCCGTAGTTGTAGTTGTAGGAGATTTGAATGGCGCCTCGACCGAAGTAGCATCCGGAGTAGGGAGCAGCGGGATTTCCACTCGAGGCGTCGGAACATTTGTAGAAATAGTCGATTTGGGGAGATGTTGCACAGTATCTGCAAAAAAGTAACATCTGGAGACGATCAAAAATTTCACAAAAAGTTATTTTCTTCCTCTACTTTACTACTTCTTGAGTCTTATCAACTTGAAGGGTCTACTCTCATAATAGAAATTCTCAGAAAATTCACAAAATGAGTACCAAATAAGAGTTATAGCTCGTTACCTACTTCTTGAAGTTGATCACAAAAGCCTGTCGGAACTCAAGATTTCAAAACTTTTAGGTTTCAAGAATTTTCAAGTTTTTATAATTTTTTTATGAGTAGATCTAATTATAAAATTGATTTTTCTAGTCTAAATACTTTTTGAACCGTCCTTTACCTTCCAGCAGTGTTGCAAACGTTTCCATCGCTTGGCGAATGGCCAGGATTACTGGGGGCCAATAAGGAACTCGTCGGACCGCCCTCGAACCAATTGTAGAAGCCGCCGCGGTAGAAGCAATTGTCGGCGTCTTGCTTCGACATTGTACTGAAAAGACCTAGTTTCAGTTCGAAATCGAGACGAAAATGTTAAAAAAACTTGTCAAAAAGAATATAATTTTCGTCCATTTCTTTGCTTTTTCTTCATTTGTATTCTATTAACATTTTATTACTCGTTTTCTTGGAACTTATTAGGAGTTCTCTCAGGAACACAGTTTGTTATTTTGCTTCTCAAAGTTCCACCAAGAACGCCAAAAACTTTTTATCAACTCCTCATAAGTAGAAAATCCCCAGTCACATGGCACTGATATCATATCAAATCATAAGCTTGGGGAAGAAAGTACGAAGATTGCGAGAAGCATTTCGGGGCCAGAACTACAATAGAAAATAGACAAGGTAACTTCCTACAAAAACAAAAAAGGTTCGAAAAAAATTCAACTGAAAGCGCCAGTACTCAACGTCAAAAATTGACTTTTTAGACTTATTCTGCCTATAATTCATCTTCAGAGCACATGTTTTGCAACTTTTCCAGTTCAAAAAACGTAATAATTTGCATCCCACAGATAAATTGTACTTCTCCGGCCTTTTTCTGGTCCTGGCTATTTTCCTATTTCTATAATTTTTTTTGGTAATCCTTCTTCGTTTCCCTAAATCAAGTCCAAGGTCAATACCTATAAAGAGCCGCATTATTCTCGCCAGTCTCCTGAATCGCGTGAGCGAAAAAGGCGGCCAAGTCGCGTTTGTTGTTTTCCTTGGCCGTGTAGACGTTGTTCGGGCTGGACGTCCCGAAATCGGGGAAATAACGGGCGGCGATGACAAAAGCTTCATAGGAGTACGGCCAGCACTTGTTTGGACCCCAGCCAATGTTGGCTTTCGGGAACAGATCCTAGAAAATGCGCAACTCAATCGAAAGCATTTGATACCTTTTTTATAGCCTATCCATTGAACCTATTCACAACTTCAACCTTTACTGAACCCTTTTCAAATCGGTTAATCAATAAGTGTACTGTTTTCGACTGAATAAAACGCCCCTTTGAAAATAAACAGCACTTTTTCTTAATCAAATCAGTCTTTAGTGCTAATCTTATTAATTTTCAGTGATCAGAAACTGTTCAATCATTAGTTCTCTTTCTGTATGATAGCTTGAACTTCAAAATAAAAAATCTTACGTTGAACATATCTTTGGTAAACCATCGTTCTAGGGCTGAAGGCGGCTTTTTGTTGGGATCTGTAGGCGCGGCGCAGGAAGACGGAGGTCCGTTACCATATTTGGCGGCTTTCGGACAGTTTGAAGCGCTTCCAGAGCCGGCGGTTACTGTATGAACTTAAAAATAAGAGGAAATCATTCTAGTTCATTCATGAAAATTTGAAGTATCCGACGACTCTGAAAGCGTCTGAATATTATATATCGAAGGCTTTCTAAAAATAGCCACATTCATATATAAAAGCTCCCTCAGGTTTTCGAAAACGCAAATATTTCGAGGAGATAACTTTCAATTTCCAAGAGTTTCCGACAACTCACGAGCCAGAAGAAGCAGAAAAAAGCTGGCGCCTCGCATTTCGATATCAGAAAAACCTCGCTGATTAGTGTGGTCTTCATCTTTTAAATGCAACAATGGACCGGAAAGTTGATAGGAGAACGCTCAAAGTCACGCCTACACAGAGGGTTCAAAATATGCTCCTTGAAAAGCGCCAATGAAATGAGAATCGAATACAAAAAAGAAAAAATTGAATTTACATAAGTCAGACGTTACTGAATAGAAAACCTCCACATTTAAAGAAAAATTACATTTTCAAAGTTCAAAGGTAAGTCAGAATTAAATCGTGTTAAGTTTATTTTTTTGACTTGGTTTGTAACTTTTGTAGTGTTCAGAAGTCCAATAAAAGCGAGATTATATAAATTTTTTGCTCCATCGTATAAACAGATTATACTCTCAAAACAGAATTTGCATTATGAACTTCCAAACAGTGAATTTTTCTCGTTTTCAAGAATATGTTCACCTAATTGCAAAGAACGGTAGCACAGCTCAAACTTGAAATAGAAAAAAGGTAAAGCTGCGAAACGTGTAAGGCGGACGGCGCGATATGAAGTCATTTACGCGAAATCGGACACTGCAACAAGTCGTCCGACCGCCAAAAACAGTTGAGCTTCTTCTTTTCCTTCGGTTTCAACCTCGATTCCAGGGATGCTGCTGCAACTGTTGAATAGCATTATTCCTTTGTGGGCGTTGACCCTTGCGATCGTCTGGTCGCTGCCCCAGTGCAAAAAGAGAAAGAGCGGAGCTTTGCCATCGAAGGTTTGGTTTTTTTGGAAAATAAATATTTTAATCGATTCATGTAAGCTCTAGTGAACCTTGACAAAGCTTTTAATGTCGAGAAAAATCGTTACTTAGCCTACTTTAATGATTGAGCTTGAAGGAATCAACTAAAAAGGTCACTCAACAAAATTATCTCTCTCGAGTTTATCGATTTGAAAAACATTCTCAAAAGATTTTAAAAAGGCGCGACCAGTTGTTGAAAAACAAATCTCTTTCGAAAATTGTTGTTGAACTCAAAAAGGCCGTGAACGAACTATTCAGCCTTTCACAACGAAATTTCAAAATCTTCTAACTCAAAATTTCCAGGAAAAAGGCTCCAAGTCGACTATAAAGCCGCCAAATGCTGATGGTTTGAAGAAGGATGAAAAGAAAGATTCTGAAATGAAGAAGGAGGAGGAAAAGAAGGACGACGAGAAGAAGAGTGAGAAGAAGAGTGAGAACAAAGAAGAAAAGAAGGACGAAGACAAGAAGGAGGAAGAGAAAAATGATGATGAGAAGAAGGAGGAAAAGAAGGACGAAAAGAAGGACGATAAGAAGGACGATAAGAAGGACGATAAGAAGGACGATAAGAAGGATGAAAAGAAGGATGAAAAGAAGGATGATAAGGACAAGCACGAGGCAGCTGAGAATACCGACGACCAAGCTGACGATCCGGCTAACGTTAAACACAGTTCGTTTGTATGACCTGTCTGTGCCCTCTTTTCTATCATTTTTTCAAAAAGGAGAGCGTAGAGAAACCAGACTGTTTCAAGCCTGAAAGTTTGAGAAACCCTATCTACAGTAATCCATAAAGTTCCTGATTGAAACATTTTTGAAATGATTTTTCAGTTAAAAAAATTTTTTTTCTCAATACTATATTCTTCAAACCATACATGGGCAGGCCTATTTCAGAGGCTCGAAAAAATCGACCAAAAACTTTACGGGGAAGAGGAAGAAGATGCCGTTTCCCGAGAAGATCCTCGTCAAATGAAGAACTAACCCATTTTCTCGTGTATAATGTACCCTTTTAATAATACATGTGCTTGAAGTTTTGCAACTAGATAAAGACCTAGAGTTCAAAAAAAAAAATGCAATAATTACACAACGCAGATATCGAACACTCTCCTCGAGTGAGGAGCCGAGCTCATGACTTCTATAAGCTAAGACCGGCGTTTCATCGACTAAGCTACATCGGGAAGAGATCCTGCGGGTCCACAAAGTTTTGTACGAGTTTTTCGGTGTGCAATGGTCGTTAAATAATGATCCATGAAAGTATTGATTATGCCAATTGATTTTTTTAATCTTTAAAAAGAAAAAAAGTATGGAGCTTTCAAAAAAATTTCCTCTATCAGGTATTTGAGAATGCTGTTTCCCGAAAAAAAGTCTACATTGGCCGAGCCGTTGCCGGCGGTAATTTGGATTTCTTGAAAGTAAAGTTTTTTTATAATTTTTTTCTCATAATTTTTTTGATTCTACACTATCTCGTATGCCAATCTTCCAGACACACAGAGACACTTTTTGAAAGAGCCATGCTTTTTCTTTGAAAGATTAAAAAAAAATCAATTGGCATAATCAATACCTTCCTGGATCATTATTTAACGACCATTGCACACCGACACACCCATACAAAAGCTTTGTGGACCCGCAGGATCTCTTCCCGATGTAGCCTAGTGGATGAAACGCCGGTCTCAGCCTGTAGAAGTCATGAGATTTTTCAAAATTTCAAGCACAAGTATTAGTAAAAGGGTAACACTATACACGAGAAAATGGGTTAGCATTAAACTTTTTTTTTCTGGCGAGGATCCTCGTCTTTATCTTCTTTTTCTTATGACATTTTTTCTCTTATTCGATTGTCGATGTAAGCTTCAAACCAGTGAAAACTGCATTTTTTCCAGCCGAACCTCCCAAAAACGATCTGGAGTTTGACTGTAAGAAGCAGGAGCAGATGAGCTTTAAGGTGAACAATACGACGGACAAGAAACTTCTCATCAAGATGAAAACGTCTAACAACCAGCTCTACCTGTGTGTTCTATTTGACATAGATTTTTGAAAGCGACTTAGAATATCGAAAATAATTTAACCTCGTCTCGTTTACTCGCTACTCCGCTAATTTCTGATCACAATATTCAGCAGACTAAAATTAATTTAAAAATAGTTAAAGCCTTGATGAACTGTCGAAATAAGTCAAAACAGCTTTTGGAAACTTTCAGACCACAATAAACTCTGAAGCTCTCAGGGAAAATAACATCCTATTATTATTTCTCAACCCTTTTGACTTTTTTCCAGGGTCAATCCAGTTTACGCGACCATTGAGGCAAACGGATCGATTGAAGTCACAGTGACTAGAAAGGCCGGTCCGGCAAAGGTCGACAAGATCAAAGTGTGCACGATGGAGGTCTCCTATGTTTTTAGAAAAAAAAGCTCTAAACTTTAACAGGAGAATATCGAGTCTCGGTTTGTAATAGAAAAGTTAACCTTATCTTTTTCACAAGAACATGTAGAATAACTAGCTTATTTCTTTTTTTAAATTTATATTTTTTTATTTTTTTATGAGTTAGAATCTTATTCCGTCTCAGCCTCCAATCAGTGCTGCTGACGGGGCGCCCCGCCCCGCTAGGTAGATAAGTAAAATGAAGTTGAAGTGAGAAAATCCGCAGAGTAACGACTAATAAATGAATCTATTGGTCGAAGAAAATGTCATTCCTTTATATCATTGAGTAACTGTGGAGAAATCTTCTAACAGTGCGACCGCTTCGCGGGGCGGGGCGCGTTGCGGTCGCCCCGGTCTGATCAGCAGCTTTGCCTCCAATTCATTCTCTTCTTTTGATTTTTAAAAACTTTCATCCCCATTACTAGTTCCTTAACGTGCATAATTTTGAAATGTTCGAACAATTTCTATTTTTTTCAACCATTATTTTCAAGGCGCCCGCTGGCGAAGTCAAAGACATTGGCAAGGCGTTCAAGGAAATCCCTGACACGGAGCTTGGCCACTGGAACATTAAGATGATCGCCAAGTGAATGAAAGCAAAAAAGGAGCCGTTTTTCCCCGACTCGACAATCCCATTTCGCTTCTGTTTTTCAATACACTGCAAAACGGGTCTTATTTATTTGTTGCATGCTTTTGATTTTCGAAAAGAATAGACATCCAGAAATGACTTTTTCCTTTTTTATATACATTTATCATTTCAAAAATGTGTTTTTTCTATGAATTTTTTGTCATTTTTAGGTGAAAAAAAAAACTCAAAAATGGCTCTTTTTCTTTTCCTTTTTTTCTGTTTGCTATCCCCATCATTTGAAGTCAGAAAATAGTCAAAAAAGATCCTTTTCAATTTTTCACAAATTTATAAGCAGACAACAACCCTTTGACATGATTAATAATACTGTGTGACCATGAAAAGATAAAGAAAAGAAAACAACTGACCGGAATTGGAATGAGTGAGTAAATTGGGATGTTAGTAGATCGACTTTAAAAAAAAATCAAAAATTCAAACAAGCGGACGAGGAATTGTCCATGCTGTACATTTCGGGGTTGGCGTAGATGCTCGCCACGCATTTCAGCCGCAAATTGTCGTTTTGCGAAGAAAATTCGGCCGGGTAGAAGTTTGGATCAAAGTAGTAGATTAGGCCTGAGAAAAATGGAGTTGCTTGTTGAAAAAAACTTTACAAAAAAGTTAGAAACCTTGAAAGGCTGCTTTATTTTGATTCTTAAATCTTAAAAAGTTCAAAAAAGCCCTTATGAGTCCTAAAAAGCTACGTAGAACGTGAAAATCTTCCACACATTGAAAGTTGGAAATAATCCTCGCAAAGGCTTTTTTTTAGTTTCGAAAGTCTTTAAAGGAATAACTCGACGTTTGATTACCTTAAGTGTCCACTTAAAGTTTTTAGTCAGCTTACAGAATTTTTTTCATCAAACCAGTTTTCTAACAAGTTCATTTAAAAAAAACCATTGATCAGTTGTTTGATTATTTGAATTTGTTTTTTTTAAATTGGGGTCTAGGACTGGAGATGATTTAACATATAATCATCATAGCAAAAATCGATATCGAACGTTTCGCTAAGCCATTTTCTTATTCAAAGTCACCTCCGTAAGAAGCCGGAGCACAGTCGCAAGGCTGCTCTCTCCACGTTGAAGACCAGTCTGGCTGGTAACTGTAATTGTACTGGATCGCGTCCAGTTTCACCGGCATTCCTTTGAAAAATCGATCATTCTCATTCAATTTTTCTCGTTCCCAATTACCATTACACGTCAAAAGGTTCTCCAAACCAACTGGAACTCCGAAATACCCGCAGAACCATTTGAAAGCCTTGATTCTTCGTGATTCGCCAGGACCTAGACGAATCATTTCATCAATCTTTTTTCTCGATTTTCCACCTCCTGGATCCGTTGGATCTTCGCCGTTGCACTCATTATTGATAATGAGAGAAGTTGGGCCGAAAATCGGGCCAGTATAACCGGCGGCTGTATTTACAGGACCTCCGTTCCAAGACCCTGAAGAGATCACTTGTCCGCGCTCAAGACAGTGCTACGGCGGGCGGTCAATATTGCGTCGTCTGTTTCGGGACCAAGAAAACTTTCTTTTTTTTTCGCAACTTATTTATTAGAACTTTTTTCGAAGTAACAAGAGAAGTTGAGCTTCAAAAAGGTCACTAGATTTCCCTTTATAACCAAAAAAGCTTTTTAAATTACCGTAGCCCGACCGCCCTGAAAAGGCATCATTTTGAACAATTTCATCAATGAATTCAAAGATTCAGGGAGGGAAATTTCAAGAAAGGATCAAATTCATTTCAGGAATAAAAAAACAAAAAAATATAGTTTCCTTGGCTCATTTTCAAATCGTTTTTATTTTTCAAACCACATTTACGCATATCCAGATTTCAAAACGAACCCATGATGATATCGTGCATTGCAGGTTTCGGCGGCTGTGGGGTCATGTAGAACCAAAGCGAGGCCATAACCGCCAATGGAGGGTCCATTTTCGTCATAACCTAGGGAAAAATCAGACTTGAAAATTTTCAATCCGATGGATACCAAATTTGGATTATTCAGCAGGTCCACCGTGACATTCTGGGTTTTGAGCCAGTCTTGGAACTGTCCGTAGTTGTAGTTGTAGGAGATTTGGATAGCGCCGCGGCCGAAATAACATCCGGTGAATGGAGCCGCATCATTTCCGCTGGAACCGCCAGAACAGTTGTAGAAGAAGTCGATTTGGGGCGCCTTGGAGCAGTATCTAGAAGAGAAGACGTTGTTTTCGGACGTTTTCCGAAAAATCCTACAGTCCAGCTGAAACGCAGGAATCGCCATCACTTGGCTGGTAGCCAGGCTTTTTCTGATCCAGGAAGGAACTCGTCGGACCGCCTTCGAACCAATTGTAGAAGCCTCCGCGGTAGAAGCAGTTGTCGGCTTCTTGCTTCGTTGGCAACGAGCTGATAACGAACTTTTCTTTTTGATGGAAGTTTCGTAAAGACAAACTTTGACGGAACTCTGCCGTGATGTTTTCGAAAACACTACAAATTTACAGTTTTTCTCATTTCAATAAATCATTGAAGAGACCGAAAACCCTTTCGGCAATGGTAGATGGCATTATAAACCGACTAGCAACACGCGTTGAACGAATCGTCAACCCGAGGGCCCTGATTCCTATTTTTTTGTGTTTTTTTCAAGTTTTTTTCATGAGTTCAAAAGTTTATGCTTTATTCATCGCGGTTCTGATCAACTATCCGTTTCTCTTTCGCTAGTTAGAATAAAAAAAATCATCCTAAATCTTTGATAGATTCACTGGTCTCCCCTCGAGGCCGCCCACTTTGATAATGAAATCCGGTTTATATCATCCAGATCAGAAGATCAAATTGTCTGGGTGGATCTGATCTCTTTGGACTGTCGGACAAGATCATAAAGTGAGAAATACAGGTAAATAAATAACTTTCTTTTCTGCATTTTCGTCTCAAATTTTGCCTGTTCATTCCGCATATTAGCACTAAAGGGATACCTATAAAGAGCGGCGTTGTTCTCGCCGGTCTCCTGAACGGCATGGGCGAAGAAGGCGGCCAAGTCGCGTTTGTAGTTTTCCTCCGGTGTGTACTCCGTGTTCGGACTGGATGTTCCGAAATTCGGGAAATACCGGGCGGCAATGACAAAGGCTTCGTAGGAGTACGGCCAGCATTCGTTAGGACCCCAGCCGAGGTTGGCGAACGGGAACAGATCCTGGAAAATGCGGACCTTTTTCCGAGTGTCTATGGATTTATGCCAACATTGAAGACTTCTTTGGTGAGCCATCCTTCCAAAGCAGTTGGAGGTCGTTTGTTCGGATCCGTCGGAGGTTTGGAACATGAAGATGGTGGTCCGGTACCGTATTTGGCTGCTTTTGGGCATGACGAGGCGCTTCCAAAGTCGCCGGTTACGCTGTTATCTGAACTAGAATTCGATGAAGCCGCGATTTAAAAGATATTTCAAAGAAAGTTATATCAAATACCTTAAGCTTCTAATCTCAACTTCTGCACGTTTTCGAATTCTCACAACTCACTTGTAATTCATGAACCAAATAAAATCTTCGGTTAAATAGAGTTCACTAAGAATAACTGCCGAGATAAACGCGAGACACTGGCGGTACATTGACGAGCTCGCAAACATCTCGCTTTTTTTCTCGCGCCGGTCTCGCATTTTTCTGGGCGCGAGCTCGCATTTTTCTAGGCGCGAGCTCGCATTTCTCTCGCAATTTGAAAATTTCCGAAATGCAAGATAAATGCGAGATGGCGCCGTGAAAAATGCGAGGTCGCGCCGAGAGAAATGCTGGATCGCGCCTAGAAAAAAGCGACATTTTTGCGAGTTAGTCAATGTACCGCCACCGAGCTCGCATTTATCTCGTCAGTTATTCTTAGTGTTAGAGCAGAAATTTCATAAGACTATATTCCACCAAAGTCTGTGATGAATGTTGAAAAATTGAACGATTTTCAACGAAAATAACTTCTTGGAATCAGTTTCCAAAGTGCAAGGAACATATAAACTTGCATAATTTCATTCAGATCTCTCGAAAAAAAAAGATACTTTTCAACATTACCCATTAAGCGAAGCTGAAATCATCAAACTCACAAGCCAAAAAGACGGAAAAAAGCCCAAAATACTTCATGAAGCCCAGCTGGTCATTCACAAAACAACACAGGACCTTAAATAGCCGTGTCTACCGGGAAAGATAAGAGAGAAGAAGCGCCGCCCTTTTTTCAATCTTCAACAGCCAAAATAGGAGATATCTAGGGGGAATTTCCGGTCCGGAAAGCCCAGTAAACAACTTTTCAAGATCCAAAGAAAACTCAATTTCAGCTCAGTTCCCAGTTGGAAAAAAGGTTTAAAAATCGGACTTTCAACCTTTTGAAATATTTTTTTCCAAAAAGTTGGTGTTAGTTTTTTCCCCCATGTTTCCAAGCATCAAATACGAACCTTATCCGGCTCCTTGAAAAAAATAAATAAGAAGAGTAAACTATTGAAAAATAGGGTATTTTTTTCAAAAACTGTGATAATTAAAAAAATTAACTAGTATTTTTCATTTTTGAAAATGGGGAAAAATAAAAATGTATCATTCAAAAAAATATTTCAGGCTTAATTGTACCAACAAAAGTATTTTTTGAAGTTTTAGACCCAAATAGCCGGAAAATAATCTCGATTTTTAGCAAAAGAAACACGAATTGTTTTCATCCAAAGAAGCGGTTTTTTTTCTTTTCGAACTACAAAATCATTTTTTTTTTGCTATTACAACCGTGTCAAAAAATCACCATCACTCAGAAAATTGGACAAAATATCGACAGTCCTATTGAGAATCGTCCCCTGCGTGAAATTTGCAGCGTCGTCTTGATAGTTCTGTAAAATGCGGCCATTTTTCCTTATTTTCTTGAAGTTTTTTTATACCTGTATGATGCCATTTTCATCGCCAGGCAACACGTTCACCGCTGCATTTAATAGAGTCCAGATTTTTTTGCCATATTTGCATCTGAAAATGATTTTTCTACTCAAATTTTATTTTTCATAATGAAGATTCTAACAAATTTTAATAATCGTATCTAGAAAAACCATTACGAATCGCAAAACTCCTTCCAATTAATAAAATTGATAAAAAAAGATTTTATAAATTACATTCCAACTCATTGTCACTCAAACTCAGTGGCTTTCTGATGTTTTTTTCCACGTTTTTTTCTCGTCTAAAATCTCAATAATCTGATTTTTTTCTGTCAAAAATTAAGAAGCCACATTGTATACCAAAGTTCGTTATCACTATATTTATTTGTTATGTGATAAGCGCGAAAATCTTCAGGATCGCCTAGTCCAATAAAGCATCTGCTCTTATCATTCTCGATATTCCGTTTTACGACGTCATGGATCACTACTAGGAGAAGCTTGGATGATTCAAAAATGACGAATGAATTTTATGAGAGGACAAGTTGAATGCAATTCAGCACAAATTAGATCTTAAAAATAGAGAACAAGGAAAGATTTCATAAAAAAGCAGAACCTACGGAATGATAACAAAAATAGAAAAAATGTTATAGAGCCTAAATCGGACGGTTTGAAGCTTGAAAAATCTACAAACTGGCCCAAACAAGTTGGAAACAAACTTATGAACATTGATGGAAAAAATGCTACTAGTGATGAAAAAAACCAGAGAATCAGAGTTTCTAGTAATCAAAAAATATTTGAAAGTTGAGATTGTTGAAAGTAGACTCGAAAAAAGCCAAGAAAAAAATATTCCAGATATTCTGTTGAAACCCGCCAATTTTCAAATCTAAAAAACTTATTTTTGAAGCGATTTCTTACACTGGTGAATCGAGAGGTAGATACAAGTATGTACCGGGTAGCAACTCAAGTGAATCGGCGAATCGTAATCGGTGGTCATTTGTATGCGACCGGGTACAATCTCTATGGTACCTGGATAGTACCTGATCGGTATCTGAATGCTACCGGGTATGTACCTGAAATTCGCGATTGCCACTGGCTGGCACGTCGGTCGTTTATATACCATCAGTGTTTTTTACAACTTCCCAAGCCTTCTAGGGTCTTATTGAATAAAGCTGAAACAAAAAATAACGACCCGGGAAGCAATTCCAGACTTTCCGAAAGAAATCGCGAATGTCAGGTAGCTACCCGGTAGCTACTTGCATCGACCTCTGACCCAGGTACCATAGAGATGGTACCCGGTCGCATACAAACAACCACCGATTACCATACGCCGATTGACTTTTTTAAAAGTTGCTACCCGGTATCTATTTGTATCGACTTCTCGATTCATCTTTGTGAGCCCAATTTTTTTTTCATACTCCGCTATAATTTCTTCATTAACCAGATACCAAAATCTGGAAAACCTGCTACTGAATAGAGCTTCGGGAAAACAATCAAATAGTACGGAGAATTAGGAAGAGAGCAGACGGTTTGAAATGGTCAATTTTGAGTGGAAACTTAACTAATTAAGAATCTTCGAAAAAAAAGGAATATATGTCTATAATTTTTGAAAAAGAAGTTTAAACTTCTTGAAAGTAGATGAATATGAATAACGAAATAAAATATATTCAGTAAAAAAAAGCAGTTTTTGAGCTGAGTCAAATATCAACTTGAAACAAAACAAAAACAAAAGTATCTCAATCCAAAGAAGGAGCAGACAGTCCAAGAAACCGACGAAAGAGTTCTGAGGGAAGCTGCGAAAGGTAGAGGCTGAGACGAGCAAAAAATGGTTGGCCGAGGTGCGAAAAGACGGAAAAAAAAACGATCCAAAGGCTTTCGTTTCAATCGAAAAAGCGCCTCGGGCGAGAAAGGGACCCACAAATGCACAAACATGTCCGCGTCGCGGCTCTTTTCAACCCGAAACGCGAATTTTCACGGTTTTCCCGAGAGAAGAAGTGAAGATGGTAATTGTGATGACCGAGCTTGATATTCACAGAAGAAACGTAAAAATTATGCTCAAACTTAAACCAAAAAAATACAAAAAAATATTTTTGAAGACCATAAATATTCTCAGGGACTTCAAGAGCGACTCATGATTTCCAATTTCATAACCAGCGTAAAAAAAACTACTTCTTATGGTTCTGGTCTCTTAAAAGGAAGAACCTTGAAATTAAAAAAATTGTTTAGGAAGATAATGTCGAACTTTAAACAAAAAAAACCGTATAAGTCAATAAAGACTGCAAAAATACAACAATAATTCAGCCATTTTTTTCTGCTGAACTATGCAAAAGTGAGGATCCATTTTTGACTACGTATTAAATGAAAAAACATAAATAAACCTAAAACTAATCGAGACACCGAGCTCATCATTTTTTAACAGGTAAAAAAACTAATCAAAATGAAGCTAACGGTCAAATGAACCAAAAATGGGCTCAAAGTGTGTGGAGCCGCACTTAACTACGTCAAGAGCGTAAGTGAAAGCTCTCGAGTCGCGCTTTTACGGTCTTTTCAATGAGAAAAACCTTTTTCTCAAGTTGTTTTTTTTGAAAAAGAACCCTTACTTAACCGCGAGTGCAAGGTGGAGAGGAACCATCTGCGTTGATCTGAAAAAAAAAAATTAATTTTAGTGGGGAAAAGCAACTTTTTTCTTCAAGATGAGAAACAAACTTGAAATTTAAAACTTTTCAACTTTTGAAGCTGAAAGCTCTCAGTCTCACTTTATCACACTCGTGAAACAATATGAATCCATTAGAGTTATGTAATAATCTGAAAAATTATGAAACGCACCAGAAAAGGCTAAAAAAAAAGCTGCGTCAATGATTGTTTATCTTTGGACCTCTGATCAAATACAACACTGACTAGGTCGCGCCCCTGAATTGGGAACACTATTCTATTAGTCTTTCCATTTTTTGTACTGTTTCAGTCGGAAAAATCTTTTTTCAAACATTTTCGAACCTACGGTTCAAAAAATAATATTTTTATTCGGAAAACTGACCGTTGTAACTCTTTCCCACCACTGGATCATACCGACACTCTTCTGTGCTCAATATTGCAAGTTTAGCACCAGGATTCCTGAAAAAATGAAATGATAAAAAGTTTGGAATGAGAAAAAACGTTAGACCGAACACACCTTAATGGCGTGTTCATCCGACAAAACGAAAGTTGCTTCAAAACGCGAAAAAATTGCTCCAAAACAAAAATTAGTACTGTTTTGGTGCAGCTTTGGCGCGCAAACACGATTTTTCGTTTTGAAGCATGTTCCGTACGGACGTTTCTCCGATGAGCACGCCATAAAAACTCACTGTGGAAAATTTTTTTCAAAAACTTTCTTCTCTTTACTTTTTTTCAAGTGCTTTATAAAACTATAATGAGCCTTTCATAAACAGAAAAATATCCTGAATGAAAAGAAAAGATATTTTGACGACAAAAAAGTTTTTTTAAAGAAAGAAAATTAATACTTGCGCGTAAATTGAACGGCCTGCAGTGTGGAGTCGGTGAGATACACAATCTCCTTTCACAGTAACACAATAAAAATTGAAAGGATTGTCGTTTTTTTTTTCAAAATTTGCTTTTTAAAAAGCCCTTTTCAAAATTTATACCAAGAAATTCTCAATGAGCTACTCAAATTGAATTTTATGAGCTTTTTCTAAATCGACTGCTAGAAGTATGTTGTTGTTTATTCTTAAAGCTTGAAGTTGAAAAGTCAGTGATCAGCTGCTCGCGCATTTCGCAAGGCAATTTCGCCGCATTTAGGAGCCATGTGTGTTTGACGGCGATCGTGTTCCGGTCCGGTCTGCCCTCTGGCACAGTCTCCGGCGGCCGCCATGGCCGTTTCCGCATTCCGCTTGCTCTCCACTTTGATTTGTCTCGCATCATCTCACGTTTTCTCGTATGTTCTTAGTTGATTTCCTTTGCTTTCATTGATGATAATTCATTTTTTAATGATTATGGTTTTGTTTAATTTTGAAAAGAAGTGAAATTTTTGGGTCACACTTTAAGTTGACCAAAACGACCAAAAATCTAGTTTTTTCTATACAATCACAGTTTTTATAAAATAAAGCTTTAGAAAACCTTTGGAATTTTGATCATTCTGTTTTTTGAACCTAGTCACCATTTTCCCATGATTTTCATGTCTTCCGTTATTCTCACTTTTTTCCTGCACGCCCACTCAGAATTCTTGAGTTATCGACTTTCAAATAGGTTTCTTCGATCCGAAATCTCAGGTTCTCGGTTCTTCTGCAAGTGATGATCGTTTTATTACTAAAAAGTTGCGACTTTTCTTCCTTAATTTTTACCTGTTTATTTACTCAAGACTTCCCGCTCTGATTCAACCTGTTTTTTTTTTTCGTAGAGAGTTTTTTTTTGCTTATTTTCAATCATCTTCCCGAGTTTTCAGTAAGAAAGAAGCATTCTTCATGATGTGGACCCCTGCAGCCGTTTTGGGCGTTTTTGCCGCCAGTGTTGCTCAGGTTTACTCAGGTTCGCAAGGCTAAAGTTTGTTCATGAAGACGTTAGAGTGTTTGAAGGCACAGGAAGAGATTTTAGGAAGTTTTAAATGGTGCATTGACTGATTCAAAAAAACAGACATAAAGAGCCGCTCTCAGCGCTAATTATTACTTTTTTATTTTCTAGACTCCACAACGACGTATTTTGAACATGATTTCGCACCGGGACCTTTCATAGATCCTACCTGCGTCTTCCTATAAAGTTTTTGTGAATGAACTAGAACTAAACTTGCAGTGGAACAAGATTACGCCGTCCAAACTGGTCATATTTCTATGAACGACTCAGAAATTACATTGCTCATCAATTCCACCTATGAAATAATCGAGGACTATGATATTAGTCTGGTAATTTTGCATGTCTAAACATTTGACAAGATGAAAATTTCAGACTAGCAATGAAACGGAGATCTTGGAGCTGAGGGAAAAACTGCCGAGTTCAACAACAACCTCGACGGCTACGACGACAATCGAAGCGCCTTCGACGACGAAAAAGCCGATTCGGATGCATAAGTGAGAAGAAATGCAGGAAAATCGAAACTTCTTAATCTTCGAGGGTGAAGTCTTGAAAAAAGAAATCTTCAAAAAAATGAACAGATAAACAAGTGCCCCATTTTTCGAACTTTTCTTTTTTTCAAGCAACTCAAAACGTCATTCTTCCAGAATCCGTCGGCCTGTCGTCGACGCCCCGACCTCCACGACCACCGCGACTTCAACGACGGCGAATCCTTGCCGGAAGTACAGCGAGGCGGAAAAATACAAGATTCTAGAGGGCCACGGCGGCCGCAATCAGATGTACATGGCGGCGTCGGTCGACGAGGCCGCCCGAAATTTCGCCGAAAGTGTCGTTGTCCCGACGATGGCCACGGCGCCGATCACCTTGCCTTTCTCCGACCATGTCTCTAAGGTCTGCGTTTTCGAGGCTTTTCTGGCTTGTTCCATGGACAAGATAAAGCATGTTCGGAAAAAAAAAACAAATCAGTTCAGCCCGTCCGGTTTGGAATACTGTAGGTTCAAATTGTGCATACACCGATCGCGTTTTCTTCATCAAAAGCATGTTTTTTGTAAGAAAAGTATGTAAGCTTGAAGAAAAACACAATTAGAACACTAAAAAATACGAATTTAGTTTGGAAAACTAAGTTTTTGAAAACGCCAGCAAGTCTTAAAAAATGGCCTAATTTGAGAAATCCGTTTTTTTGTAATTATAAGTCTTATTTTCTGTATTTTTTTTTCATTTAATAATGTCGAAAACAGCCTTTTTCATATTATTAAATAAAAATATTGGTCCAAAATTGTCTAGTGTGGTCGGCGAGGACGGCGCAGTGCGAACCGGGCGGGTCCCTGTAGGTCTGAACTGGTGTGAAATTGCTCCAAAACAAAAGTTAGTACTGTTTCAGAGCATATTTCTGCTGTTCATAGGAATTTTCCATTTTCGATCTTCAGAAGGCTTCCTCGAACTGTGATCCGCGTTGTGAACTGATCAAATCGGTCCTAGAGGATGAAATTTCGAGAAGAAACGGTTCGACTTGGATGGCGGCCAGGATGTATGCCGACGCGCTGAATTACTCGGAAACCGAGGATTCTAAGATCAAGTCTTGCTTCTTGGGTATCTGATAATATTTACAAAAATCCATATATTTGCTTTCGAATTTTCAGGGGATTTCATCCCAGTCGGATCTTGCTCAGAACTCGGCGAATCCGTGTCAGGAACACATGAATCCCTTTGCTCTGGTGATTATTTAACACTTTTTTAAAGATTTTTGAAGTTGGGTTGGAATGAAAATCTCAAAATGAATACTCAGACTGCCATGGACTCTACATGATGAGCTCCAACTGCTTCCCGCGATTTTTCAACGCCATCAAGTGCAACGCCCAGGAAATGGCCTGCATTTTTGACACTTTTTCGGATAAAGGTCCAGTCTCAATATTCTTTTTCGAAGTTTTGAATGACATGCTTTGGAAAATATCTGTCGAAATTGATCTAATAATTTTTCAATTTCATTGCTGCGTTGACTTCATTAGGTTCACCTTTTTCGACAATTTTTTGTCAGATTCTCGTCCAAGAAGACCTTGATCCACTAACATTTTGGAAAATTTCGATTTTTTCAGCCCACGGCCAGTGCAACATGCAAACGCTCTCCTTCAAAGTCCTGCAAAATGTTGGAGATGAGAAATGCGAAGAATGGTCAATTCAACAAATCGAGGTACTTTTCCCAATCGATATATAATAAAATACAAATTTTCAAAATTTCAGCTCCCAGTCGCCTGCCAATGCTCATTGAGCCGCAACTCTTGGCTCCGGTCCAAACCGCCAAAACCGTTTTGAAATTTCAGTCATTTTGCAAAACTAACTACTGCCAATGTACATACATTCCCTCGTTTTCCCGGGTTTCACTACTAAAAATCATCAGAGATTCTTTTATTAAATAAAAAAGAAAATATAGATATACGAGAGGAAACAAACAAACAAAAAAACATGATAAGACGACACAAATTTCTGGGAAAACTCCGTTTTTTTTTTTTATAATTTGCTTTTTTGACCATTTTCGGTTTAGCACAACATTTGAAACTGGGACGACAACGAGAACAAGATGGATGAAGAGGGTATAAATATCAGGGAACATGGTGGGAATTAAACAGAATCTCGGCACGCACAGCGAACAGAGAATATACAAGTTTTGAAAGCTTCTAAAAGAAGAAACAAAAAATGGATTTTTCAAGCCAATCCTTGGGCCTTTCGGAGTGCGGCTCGTCGTTGTCGATACTCTTCCAGCGAAAGGCCTCTGCAACTACAATTTCACTTACTGAGAATTTTGTTATTAACTTTTCGTGTTGAAAAAGTGTCCGAAACCGTTTTTTTCATAGAAAAATTGCTCTAATCGTCGATTCAGGTCATTCTGACAGTCTGCACGCTTTTTTTTTCTACTTGGGTTTCTATATCGTTTTCTGGCAAGAGGAAGAAAGGGAGCAAACTGTCGGACAGTTTCAAATCAGCTAATGAAATATGAAAAAAGCAATACGAAATCAGCTTTTTTAAAAATGTTTTTCTCAAATTTCTCCACTCCTACTAAAGTTATGACATCCATTTTGAACATTCTTTTCAGTGTTTATCTGTTTTCCAGAACTTCAATTTTGATATTTTGAAACCTACTCGTTCTGAAAGTTTTTTCTAAGGTGTAATTTTCAAAAGTTGACAAGGGTAACGTTTTTATATTGTGAAATATATCACTATCCTCCAAAACTCGTGATTTTTTTTCCTTCTTTCCCGTTTTCTACAAGCAGCTTGTGACTATACCCATCTATTCAGGGTCTCAGGTCACTCATTTCCCTAAATCTCACCTATTTCCCGTATCAACTGTAGTTGTCGGCGGCGGATTATTGTAGGCGGGTATGGATGACATGTCTGGCGGCTCCTCGACTCTTCCGATCAATTGGCCTGGGAAAGGATGTTTTGAAAAGGTCATCGAAGGCCAAGAAAGATGACACATGTTTCTTGAAGGTGAGAGCAAGCTTAAACCAGGTAAAATTGAAATTCTTACACGGATGTGTGAATTTGGTATTCTGGAAGTTCTGAATGAAAGCAGGAATATAAATATTTACTGTGGGGAACTAATTTACGCTGAGTAGAGAGTTACGTATTCAATTTCATATAAAAATTTCCTCAAGGTGCTTTTTAAAGGTTCTTTAGGAAATCCCAAACAAGGCAGAAGAAAAAGAAGCACATGGGCAACAGTGAAAATTCTAAATAGAAATGAGCTATTTAGATCATTTGTCTTGAATTTTCACGAAAATTGCTGATCCTCACCGAAATCAACGTTGATATCAATAGTGCCAGCCTTGTGATGGAGATCAAAAAGATCGTCGGATTTTCGATGGGGTAGAATTTTCTTCGGTATCACGGGCTTTTTGGCCGAGAGCGCTGAGCCGTTCGAACCTGAAAAAAATGAAGAATTATTTACACTGAAAAATTCAATAATTAGAACATTTTTTTCGAACTTTATAAAGGATTTAGATAAAAATATTATTGAATTCCTGTTCAATCGTTTTCAAATTTCGATTCAAACTCAAACTTTAAAATCTTCTCTCTGCTGAATAACTAGTGAAAAACCTGTTTTCCAATGCTAAAAAACGAAGCAAACTCTTCGAGAATCGTTTAGAAGAGTGGAAAAAGTCCAATTTTCGCTACCAATAATTTCACTCGAATTCTTTCTATATTTCGAAATCTGACTGGAAGGCTGAGGAGTCTTTTGATCAGTGGGCGTGGCCGACGGATCCTTTTCTTTGACTCCTTTCGTGCCGGAAACCACCTGGAATTTCTGATAATCTACTCGTTTTTCTTCCCATTTCCACCTTCATTCTCTCGTTTTTCCTCGTGAACGGATCGTCGGCCGCGACGGCTTCGAACTTGACGCGGCCGCTCAAAAGTTCGTTTTTGATTTTGTCGCGGTTCCGTTGGTTGACCCAAGCGATGCCCATTATGTTCTTCGATCTGGCCTTGTCCTGAAATTGATTCTCTTGAGAATTTACTATATATATGCATTGAAATATTTTTTTTGAATTTAAAAAGGTAGAAAAAGATTATTTTCAAAGAAATTTATGTATATATACCTACTTCCTCAAGTTTTTCGAAAACATATATTTTTTTAAACAAAAGCTCGGGCAAAGTCGGAATGTTTTATAATAGCCGCTAAAAGGGAGGAGCTCAAAAAAAGGCAACAAAGAGAGTTTCTTTATCGAGCCTTCCTTTTTTCTGGTATTTCAAAGACTCGAGAAATAGTGGAGAAAGAGAGAGGCAGCAAAAAGGGTGCATATGGGCTGAGAAAATGGCGCAAAAAGGAATCCTTCATCACCTTGAAAGGAACATTTCTATGGAGCCTTAATGAACCCTCGGAGGGTCCTTCCGACTTTGCCTTTGAGTGATTAATAAAAAAAAAGAAAAAACTTTTTTTTTCTCTGTGATTTTCAAGGTTATCAAAATTTCTATCGACATCTCCTATGAGAAATTACAACAAAGACACGAAGAGCACTGAAAAAGGTTGAAAACAAAAATGAATATCCCTTTTTCCAAGACTTTTCTACCAATTTTTCCGCAAAGTCCCCCTTTCAAAGCGCACCAAAGAATCGGCCTTCTTCTCGATTTCATCAATCTGTTTCTGGATTTCCTCCGCCTCTCGGACGTTTCCAGCTTGTTGAGCAAGAGCCTGTAGAAATTGAATCTTCCACCAAAACAAGTTTTTCATCAAACCTTTTTCTTGGCCAGATCCGCCTTGATCATCGCAAAGTTCTTGGGAACCTTCTCGAATCGGCCTTTCTCTTTTATTATCTGGAGGAAGAATGAAAATTCCGAAAAAAGTGAGGGATAAAAACCGCATCAACTTCAGCATTCGAGAAATTGTAATTCATCGCCCGGTTGATATCTTTTTCTTTCCTTTCGATCTGATCCATCGTCGGAACGGCGCCCTGGAAAGTCTCACAGTTCATTTTCATTTTAAAGATGCATTCGAATAGGTTTTTTTGAGATGCAACCTTTTTTATGCTTCCAAAAACATCTAGCAAGACATAATTCAAACGAAAAGCTGACTTTCTCGTTTTTTTTTTTCAAATAAATCTGAACTGACTGCTTCAATTTACAATAATTCTCCATCATTTTTGTTCCAAAAACAAATTCACATCATTTTTGACGGCCCGGAGCCATTCCTGGAACTCTCCCTCGGTAAATGGGGCATTCGACATAAATCTCATTTGCATCATTCGTTCTGTTTTTCCTAAAACATCAAAATTTGTATTATGATCTCCAGTTTGTCTCAAAAACTCACCAAATTTGCATTTGAGTATTTTATTCGTTCGTTTGTCTTCAATTTGGTACGGCCTGTTGCCTTCCGACACGTCGAGCACTTGATAAATCTGAATAAATGAAGGTAAATCTAGCTTTTTGGTGTTTCGAAGCTGGATTTGAGGTGAGTTTGGGCATTCGGAAGCTGACTTAAGTTCGAATTTCAAGAATGCAACGCTATTTTAGATTTATTTCTGGACAAAATAACCTAAATCGAATCTGATTTTAAGAATATTTTTGAAACTCTTTTTGGGCTATGAGGTACTGATCTTTTCAGATCGGTTCTTGTCATTTCCGAAGCTTTTATCAAATCTCAATTTTATGCTTTTCTGCGCTTTTTTGTCTGATTCAGAAATCTTTGGAAGCTTTTTTCAAATTACATATCCTAGCTGTTCCGAATCCTTCTGAGTGTTATTTTGAGGCTATCTTAAAGCCGTTTTTTAGTTTTTTTTTTAACGGTTTTAATTCTTTCTCTAGTCTCTTTCCATGAATTTTTGCAACTTCGCTCTACTGCTCACTCGATACTTGCTCTCTTCGCCGGCTTGGGGTCCCATTCCAACGCGAACGTAGGACCCGATGACGGTTTCGGTGAAGAACGACGCATGGACGATTCTATTGAGTTTGTAGCGAGAGAGACGGGCTCGTTGGAGCTCTCCGATGTTGTCAACCTTGAAAAAAAAAAACCATTAATAGACACATCAAAAAAAAAGGTGATAGGAAAACCGATTAAGTTTTAAACCTAAAAATTTTCCTTTTTCTGTATTCCCACAACGCTAACCTTGTTTCTGGTTTAATTTACGAGAAATTTAAAATAGTACTAGTTCGAAATAAAAAATCTTATCATTACTAAAACTATTCCACAGTATACACTAATTAGGTACCAAAAATAAAAATCGAGATATTTGAACTGATCAAGGTATCGGCAACTTCTTTTGGACCACGAAAATGGCAACAAACCTCCTTCTTGACGACCTTATCCTCTTGCTCATGGACATGAGAATCGGGAGAGGAAGATCTGGATGAACTGCTGGAGCGGGAGGAGACTGAGGAGCTGGACGAGCTCGTCCCGCTGTCCTGCTTCCCGAAAACTGCGTCGATGGAAAGTGCCGCGTTTTTCGCTGAAAATGCAACTTTTCTTACGAAAAAAACTTTGAAGGCTGAATTCATACGTAAAACGGTCGCAGACTACTATCAGGTCACTAAAGAACCGACAGTCCATTTTTTAAAGTCCTTTAGAAATGACATTTCAATCAGATTTCTCGACCAGCCCAGCGAGAAAGCGAAAAAAATGAGCGAAGTTAATTTTCAATTTTTGGAACGGATACCTTAAGCGATGGAAACGAAACACAAAGGAAAAATGTTTATTTTTGATAGTTTCATAAAAATCGTAGCTTTTCAATAAATATTATCACAAAGTTTTCATAAAAACAAAAATGAAGCAACGTTAAAAATAATTCTAAGGACGACTTTTCTTTCAAAATTCTCTAAAATAAAATCAATTATGTACCATTACATGCTTCTCTCAAACTTTGCACAGGCTTCTCCTAGAGTTCAGCACAATTCTAGTTGCTCTAGTGAAAATTTGAGCCAGAAAAATGACAAAAAGCTGGAAAAACATCGTTTTTCTAATACTAAGCAATAATACTTTTGAAATTATCGATAATCAAGTAAAAAAACTTTGTATTAGTTCAAAAAAAGAAAATTTGCTAATTCCCTCAAGTGATCCCTCAACCGCATCTTCCACTTACTCACCATTCTTTTTCTCCATCTCCTTTCTCTTCTGCTTCAATTCGGCCATCGCGTCTTTTTCCTTCTTTTTCCGGAACATCTGAAAAAGTGAACTAATATAGTTTTGAAAAATTGAACAAACATCACTGGGTCTGTGGAACTCGGCGTCCAATTCTGAGCCTTCTGAACCTGATTTTAAGACGGGAGGAGATTTGCCTGCAAAAGAAACAATGCATTAAAATAATAAAATAGATGAAATAATGAGATATCTGGTTCATTTTCCCTGGGATAGGAAATAAAAATGCCAAACGGCAATCCGATACGCAACTTTAGTACGAGAAATCATTGGAAATTTTCTCGGCTCGTTAGAAAAAAAAAAGTTGAACGATAAAAACGAAAAATTCAAGAAAAATTGGTGAAAAAGTGATTCCAATGCACTATTTTTTAAACTTTGATTAGTAAACTCTTCTAAATTCATTCGATTTTCTGATAAAAAATGCCATTTTTCAGACGAATTCAAGAGAAACGGACTACGATCACTGTCGCTGTCGACCTTCCTCCGTTTGTCGAGTTTCTTCTTCTTCCCAGAAGACGTCGACGCCTTCTCCGTCGCGTTCTTCGCCTCCAACTTCTTCTGAATCTCCTCGCGGGCCCTCTTGACGTCACGTCTCTCCATCCGGTTGAAAATCTCCTGCTCCTTGTCGAATTCGCTCATCGCCATCACTCGAGCCTTGTCTTCCGCGTCTTCGAACAAATCGTCCTAAATTTTTTTATTCTGTATCGTTCTATTAATACCAAGAGTGTTTCTTCAAAAATAAAGCTTTCATAATATTCAACAAGTTGCAGTATTACAGAAAATTATTCGATTTTTCGATTCTATAAGATTTCCGCATTTCATAACTGTTTGCATTTCTGAAATTCTTAACAGAAAATCGTAGAAAAATGCCAAATCTATCATAAAAACCGTAAGACTCTCAAAAATGTCCTTGAATTTCCAACAAATCTTCCAGACTGTTTTTTCGTCAAAGACCTCATTTTTTGTGTGAAATAAATGCTGAATCAACTATTTATACTTACATTACTACTTTCCGATGACTGGTGCTTTCTTTTTGAAAGGACTGGCGTCTTTTTCGAAACCTTGCCTTTGACTTTCTTCCTGAAAAGAAGAAGATTAATTTATCTCTCTAGTTGAAAATAAGGTGAACATTTCCTGGGTTGTACAAAGATACAGAGCATTTGATTTAGATTTTCATCGCCTTGAGCAATCCAGAAAACGTATTTTGAGAAAAAAAAAAACTCCAACTTTGTCTTAGCCGTCTTTTCCACATCAGAATCGGACTCGGAAGAACCTGCAAATATTTTTGGATTACACTGAATTTTGAATCGATTTTTAAGTCGAGTTTTCAGTTTATAGTAATGAGAGGATAAGTTTAAAAAAATCTAAAAATGTGTACTTTTCCCAGTTTTTCGTTCAAATCAGAAATGGAAAGTAGGATCTAACCTGCGCTTTCAATAGTTTTCTTGGTGGATCTCGATTTCCTTGCTGGTCTCGATTTCGCTTCATCATCCGAATCGGAAGATATATGTTTTGGAGCCTTAAAAATTCGATTAGGGTCGAAATTACAGTTTTCCTCTAAAGGGACGTCTTGTTTTGTCTATAACTAAATATATATAAGAAAGGTACTAACCAGTGGCCCATCGCCAGAATCTGAATCATCTGATGGAGAAGTCGACATAGCTGTAAAATGATGCCAAATATAATCTTCATGGACTCTATAACGAGTAAAATCTTCGTACGCTTTCGAAAAGATTCGAAGGGAATTAATAACATCAATATCAGAATTTTATGAGCTTTGCCGGCTTTAAACATGCTTTATAACGTTTAAAAAGGCTTCCTGACAGAAACTTGTGTTGGAATAAACAACAGAAACCTTCAACTTAACACAAGATAATGGAAAACAAGAGAAATCGATATTTTTGAGAAACCAAATGTTTTTTAAGCCCTTTGAACAGTTGGATAAAAACATAAATGAAATGAAGTGACTAATATTATTAACTGAGTCTTAATGGATATATCTAAACATCAGTAAAGTTATAAATAAAGCAAGAAACGAAATTTGAAAATTAGCAAAGTTTTTGAATGGAAAATGCGGACGCCAAAGGTCAAATGCGCGCCATTGCTCGCTTGTCGCCGGAAATCTTTTCAGGAATCGGAATGTCTAGCAACAGTCTCAAAAAAAGGATTTTAATCATCGTGAGATATTAATTAATATGACAGAATTTTAATAACTAACAGAGCAAGAAACTATAAAAAAATCAAAAAAATGTGAAATGAAGATTTAGTTTGACCATGAATAAATAACATAACTCGAGTTTAGTTTTTCAATTTTACGTTTAAAAAAATTCTTCAACGTAATTTGAAAAATTTCTTCATCTTCAAGAGTTTTTCCGCGAAGTATTTTTTTGAAAAACTGAGTTTGAAGAGATTTAAAATTTTTTTAATTTTCAGTTATTTTGTGGTACTATTACAGAAAAAAAGAAACCATTTTTTTGTGTCACTAAAGCCTATTTCCGTGAGAAATTATGAAGAGTTATAGAAATAACCATTAAAACAAAGGAATTTGGTATTCAATTTACTGTAGACAGCCAATACTCCGCAACACCGCGACGCGAACGCCGCCTGGGAAAAAAATAATTAAAAAAGCGTTCAGTTTAATTTTAATTTTTTTAATCTCAGAAATTTTTGAGTGGAAATTTCTTGTAGAATATAGTGAATGGAAAATTTCAAAGTCTTCATTTTTCACCTTCCCCATTTCTCATGTGTTTCTTTTTTTTCTCTTTAATTGTTTCATAGTACACCTGCAATGTGATACTTTTGCAGACGTAATCCTTGCTGCCAAGAGACTCGGCTTGTTCCGACGATAGACAGAAAAAATAAACGAGCAAGTGTCACCCCAAGAACTTCTTGAACGAGAAAAAAAAAAAACGAAGATAAAAGATGTCGGCTCAGTTCCCGCCTTTTCTCTCGTTAGTTCTAGCAAATTTTTTTTTTCTCAGAAGATTTAATACGATTTTGTTCAGAGATGCGAAATCTTCGTTTTGAGTCGCATCGGAATAATGGAGGTGCCGCTGAGACGGAATTCAACTGGGGTTGGTTTCCAATCAATTTTTGATAAACTGTCAATTTTTAAAGTTTCAATGTGTCGATTACTCCATTTCTAACATGAATTTCGGAAAATAAAACGGGAAGTCAAAAATCTCCATTCAAAAGCTACATTATTACACTGTGTTACCTGCGCAAAACAATAAAAAAAATCGCCTCGCTATCAAGATTGATGGATGACTTCTCTGTTTTTCATATTTCCTGCACTAATAACGGGTGTGGTTCCTTTCATCCATTGGAAGAAGGAGATGAGAAAAAAAGAAGAAAGATTAGTGATTGGCCGAAATCGGGTTTCCTGTGTCGCAATTCCATTGAAGCTTTTGATTATTTTTTCTTCGAGATAAACTTCGAATGATAATTTTTAGTTGCGTACTGAATTTGCTATTCAAGGGGTCATAGGGCGTGGATTTTATAGAGAAAGATGGGAAAAGCACTCATAATTTTATCAGTTTTCCGTCTTTTGTAGTCTATTTTAATTTCTGGGCGCTTCATTACATCTTCATGCACCCTATCCAATCTAAAAATTAGAGAAAAAAGGCGTAGATGAGAGGAAAAAAGTCTAGCAACTGCTGTAACAACATCGCCTCATTGCTTCTTTCTAGTTTGACTGCTCTTGTAATTTTTAGGACGTTTTGTTCCAATAGTTTATTCAGAGAAGCCTAAATTTTTAATGAGGCTGTAGGATTTGGAACATTGTTTCGCTTTGAAACTTGCAAGAACCTCCCTCCCCCTTCCAAATTTCTCAAAAAGGTGCTGTGTAGTTTGAAAAATAAAAAGTTTAGTGAACCCTCAGCTAACAATGTGCAACAAATGAGAGCGTTCCAAAAAATTTTCAAATGGCTTTTGGGTTTGAGATCTTGTTTTACTCTTATTTGAGCTCACATTTCTTTTAACTTTGTGAATGATCTACAAAACGCCTTGATTGCGCTTGAAATGGCTCAACGTGTAGCGGTTGCGTTTCTTCGAGCTTTGCCGACTAGAAACGACTTGCGCAAGTTTGATTTGTACTGGAGAAAGCTGTCTGATTTCAAACGCAACACAGCCGCAACGCTTTGAACCATTTCACTTGCGACCAAGACGTCCCAATTTCATTTTTCTCCTTCCTACCATTTTTCCGATTTATTTTTCGTTTCCAACAACTTTTCCTCATTTTCCCATGTCGTCAACGTAAATGCACCATTAAAAATCTCCAGGTGGCCGGAAAACGGGAGAAGAGATGAGAAATTAGGAAATCGCGTGAGCAGGTAATTTATAAATGCGCGAGTCGGCTCATCGACGTCCTTTCTCCGAAATTCGAGAAATTTCCCTTCGTCAAAACTTCAAATTTCTTCTTCTTCTTCTTCTTCGTCGCCTTCTTCTGCCTTGACAATGTTACACCTGGGCGGCCGAATCGAACACTTTTTCATCGACTCCCTTTACGGCAAGTCCAATGACCATCATAATGCGACGCCAGACTTTATTGTTTTCCCAAGATTTGATGAAGTCATTTCTTTTTTTCTTTTTTGGTGGCTCACACTTGGAGCTCGCGTTTCAAAATCAAAACTTTAACTTGATGTTTACTTCCATAAGCGCGCGAAAGCCGTTTTTGGTCGGATGCATCTTTATAATAAGCGCTTCACAAGCGCTACTCGTTGAGCCATTCTCCATGCGACTCGACTTCGGGTCCGATTGAAAAATAGCTTCTTACTATCAAGAAGGTTCCGAAGTCTAGTTTTATATAACTTTAGCCCTAAATGATTTTTTCAATCGGTACCTGGCTTTTTCTTGTAGATTTCCTGTAAATTTATTTCAAAACATAATTTAGGTTGAAAATTTCGATGAAAAAATAACTTCGAAGGTTTTGTTTCCTATCATTTTCGATCATAAAGAGTTCGCGAAATTATCCTGAAGTGAGATTTTGGAGCTTTAACTCGCTAAAAACTCATTATAACCTTCTGAAGTTCCAAACTGAAGCAAAGAAATTATTTTCGAACACTCGCACTTTCGCGTTTCTCTTCCACTTTACGATCTTCCTGAGCTTTTTTTCGTATCAATCAAAAAGTGTTAACCTCTCTCGCTAGTCTCTGTACTCTGCTCACCTCCGGCCCGAATGTTCAAACATTGAGTTATGAGCTGAGGAGAGCCGTTCAACAAAAAAGAGGAAAAGAAGAAGAAGCCGAGTCAACATTGCACCGAACCACTTGTATATACTCTACTATTCTCCAAACTTTTCCTTCTGAACCTTTTTTCTTGTTTTATCAGTATCTGCAGATTTTCTTTTTCAAAATTGGAATTTCCTTTCATTTTTTTATAGAAGGAAGTTGAAAAATTCAAAATTCAAAAAGGTACAGGCTGCAAAAGAGAAATTGTACGAAAAGAAGGACTATATTTGTTTTGAATATTCCAACAGAAGGAGCTCTTGAAGAATGTTGCTCTTTTTCTTTCGCCGAAACAACCGACATTTTTCTGTCGCACTTTCTTTTTCAGCTTTTTCTCACATTTTCGATTCATATTTTGGTTTTGGCTTCTTTTAGAGGTTTATAATCTATAGGTTTCGTTTTGAACTCTAAAATTCAAAGTATGAGACCTCTTTTTTTAAATTTAAATTTGAATTAAGTTTTGGGTTTCTTTTTTTGAGAAATATTCAGCTTTTGAAGACGAAAAATAAGATTTATTTTCGATTAGGCCTTTTCAGAAAACGTTTCTTCAACTTTTTTAAACGAAAAGAGGAAACATTAACTGAGGTCTTCAAAAGGGAAACCATGTCATTGGTATTTAAGCCAAGCCCTATTCCTGCGCCTTCAAAAAAAGTTATGTTGCTGTGAATTTCGTTCGAAACTCCAAGTGTACTTTTGAAGCCGTCGTTAAATCAAACGAAATGAAGCGAAGTGGGATTGATGGCTTATCAAAGGGCTGTTAAAGACACTACAGTGACCACTTCAAAGAATTTCGCCGTATTTGATGCCGTTTTTTAACGCTACGTTAACTTGATAGTAGTGAAGGTTCGAGGCAGAGAATTTCCAATTTGAACCTCACAAATAAAATAATGAAATATTGGATTAGCAGTCAACAAGTTTGCGTGCGAATATGTCAGAAAAATGAGCAATAAAAGTTGATACATTTTTTTCTTTTTGAAGGCTGTTAAAGTTTTTTGAGAAAAAGTTAAGATATTTTGCCGAATTCAAAGGAATAAAGTTCGTTTTTTGCGACTTGACTTGTCTGTGCCCTCCTCGTCTCTCGACCACTCTCTCATATTGGCGTTCTATTTTTCATGCTTTTTCTGACCTCGCCGGAGTGAAAACAGAGAGAAGCAGACACTTGAAAGTGATATGAATCGATTTTTAATACCATTCGAAAAAATCTTCAAGTGAACATTTTCAAAGTAAAAAAATGTACCCCTGAGTTGAAAATGAGCATTTCCAGGCGAATTCCGACGAGCTGAGGCGATTTTCCAAGAAGCGAAGGGAATGGCTGACTACACGGGCGCCACTCAAACGATCACTGTTCGAAATCCCGACGGCACCACGGAAACTAAGTTGGTCCGTCTATCTTTTCTTATTTTTTTTTGCAGTTAGGACCAAATTTAGTTCAGAAAAATCTATGGGAAGATTAGTAGGAGAAAAGTTCTCATTTTTTAAAAATTCGTCAGCTTTGCAATCTTAATGAGCTTTTGACAAGGTTAAATTCGACGAATATGGTGCAAATTTTGAAATTTTTTGAAATAAATTCGTTTTAAAAAAGTGATTGCCAGAAAAAAACTTCAAGCTTTGTTACTGCTTATTTTAACCAAATTGAACTCTGAAAAACTAAAAAAACGAAACTTCTTTAAATTTCCCATGAAATGAACGTTTAGGCATGATCATTTTCAATATCTTAACAAGATTCTATTTCAAAAAAATAGTTTTCCAATAAATTCTCAAAGATCTTGTTTTTTTGAATTTCCACAAAATTATCGCCTTTTTATTGTCTTTTTAAGAGATCATAACTGTAAAAAGAATTTTTTTATAGCGGCTTTGAATACAGTAAAATGTAAAAATTATTTTTCGTGTGAAGAAATTTTTTTTGGCTTTTTTTCACTAAAATTTTATTTATTTATTTTTTTTCTGAATATTGAGCTTGAGCTCAGATGTACGTCACGTTGTCACAAAGGGTAAAGAGGACAAAATATATCACTTTGAGACCTGACGATTCCAAAAAAAAAAAATTAGCTTTTACGAAAAAAAAAAATGTTGGTTTCAGTACTTATCTGTTTTTAAAGCTTTAATGTAATTATTTGAATTATTTGATCGAAATTGAAGTGAACTTGCAGTGGAAGAAAGAAATGTAGTAAATTTGACGAAATCTGATGAAAAAGTTCATTTGATTTCACGGATACCAGTCAATTCGCCCACGCTTGGCCACTAACTTGTCTCCCTGTTTTTTCCCCTCACTTTCTGTCTGTCCAGTCCAAGTACGTTGTAAAACGTCGGCGAGAGAGAAACACGACACGCCCAAACGTTCCGGAAAAAAAAGACTGACGACACAAGTTCCAAATTGCCTCTATATTGATCTCTTGACGGCGGCTCATTACTTGGTGTTAAAGTTGCTCCGTTGGACTTCACTTATATTTTAAATTTCAAGCCTTGAAAATTTAATCCTTGACTTTTTGAGAAAAAAAAATTTGGCGGTTAGAGATCTCTTGACTAGGCGGCTCATTACTCGGTGTTAAAGGTGCTCTGTTGCACTTTTTGAACTTTTTTGCACCCTGAACTTGAAATTTCTATTTATGGACTTTTCTAGTCGGAAATATAATAACGTTTAGGAAATAAAGAAAAATGAAGAATTTCACATTTTACTTCATTTATAGATTACATATAAAGGCCCAACTCCATAATCTGATTTTTTCACTTTAGGGACGGTAAAACCACTTGAGAGATCAGTTGATCGTTGAAAGAGGGAGTCATCTGGAATTTCAACTGTTTCTGTTTAAGATCTTGACACGTTAGAGATAATATCTTCGTGTCAAAGTTTCTTTATTGAACTTTAGTTTTTCTGCTTTCCGAATTCTCATACATGGAAGACTTTGTGAAGTTAGAATTTCCCGTTTAAAGTAGAGAGTCAGTTTTTTCCTTAAAGAGTGGGCCATCTTGTCCTAGAGATGAGACAAGTTTTTGATATCTTCTGTTTTGGAACTCATTCGACTACAAGTCTGATACAGGATTTGATAGCATTAGAATCTAAATCACGAAGAATTTTCGTGAGTTGCGAAGAGATGTCATAGGTCTCCTTAAACATTCATATTTTTCCGCCTCATTGAAAATTTTGAAAAATTATACCGTCTTGACTCGGTTTTACTTGCTGACTGTAGAGCTTGTCTTCTGAAGTTTTCGTTTGGAGCATGAAATTAATGTTTTTTTTTCCTAAAAATTTTAACTGAAGGAATTTTGAATGAATGTTTTCGAAAATTTCCGCCGAACTCAATTTTTAGGCTCCCTTCAAGTTTTCGCCAATTTAAAAGAGGAACTATGATCCAAATGCAAATCGATCATGTATCGGACTCGTCAAGGAGTTATAGTCAAGGGCGCCCGAAAAAGTCAGTCTCATAACCATTGTTGGCGCGAATCTCCGTCGTCGTTATTCCCCTTCCTAGTATAGTCCCCCCTCGCACATGCAAACACGCAACAACAACCTTTACCTAACCTGAACCATTGATCCGATCCGCTTCGCCACAGCGCCGACGGATTTATTTATTTATTGAACTTTTTTCGATCCCTCTACGTCCGCTTTTTCCAGTCCGAACTGGCCATTTTCGATGGGTTCCAACGCATTTTGGTTGAATCTTATTAACTTACAAGTTTTATTTCCACCTTTAGTCAGCTTTTGAAACAAATGAGAAGCTTGGAAGCACGGAAAAAAAGAACCCAATTCGATCGAACTGTCAAACAAGAGAATGCACATTTGTATACATAATAACATGATGCTTCGGCCGGTGATCCGTTTGTTTTTCGGCTCTCTTCGCGTGTTTTGCCACAGTCTCTTTGAGAAGAAGCAAGCGTTTCTGGTCTTTACCTTTGGGTATTATCGACTTTTTTTTCTGTGAAAATAACGTTGAATTGTGGCTTTACTAACATTTTTTAGGTCAAGTGAGCTTTCGATTTTTTTTTCCTATAAGGAGGTCAACTCAGGGAAAACTTTTATTTTGAATATGATTTCCTTCTCAAAGAGGAAGTTTTGATCCCCTGAAATATACTTCTCAATCTAAACTTTTAGTAGGAATCGATTTTGAATAGTTCTCTGGCTTTTATTTTGGTTTTTCAGTCGAATCCTGATCAAGAATCACTTTTTGAATCAGCTTTCTCAGTCTTCCAGTGTCTTTCCAATTTCTAAAAATGTAATTCTGCAAAATTTATCAAACTACCGTTTCAAACCAACAAAAATCAGGACAGATAAAATTCAGATAGCCCAATCAATGATAAATTGATCGTGTGGATAGGTTTTTGACACGAAAAGAAGTCTCAAGGTTGCGACGACAACGAACGACTATTTTTCGTTCTTTCGTCGTCGTCGTCGCGTCGAGAAGGCAATGAGAAAAAAAAAACGGAGAATGAATTGAAACTTTTGGGTTCTTTGCAACATCTTCATTCGCTTTGCCCTTCTTTTCTTTGTTTTGTCTTCAAAATAAATTCTTTTTCATACTTTTTATATCAATTATGAGTAAGCAAAGGTTAATTTTTTTTAAAATCCTAAATAGGTTTTTTTGTGTTTCTTTTTTTGTATCGCGGAAAATTTGAACAAAGTATGGATTAATTAGGTTTTTTTTACACTCTGGGGCCCACGTTTTTCATTATTGCTCATTTTAAGGGAAATGAACTGCACTTTAATTATATTTTTTTGTTGACTTGAATTAATAATGTCTCTGAGAATGAAAATATCAGTGTTTGCAATTATTTCCAGGTCGGGCGTACCTTCAGATTAACCGCTTTGAGTCATTCCCCATGCGACCATTCTTTTTTTCAAAGTCAGTTTTGAAAGTTATAATTGGAATGAATACTTAGAGGTCGTCCGCTTCAAACCTTTTTTAGAAAAAAATTGAGAATTTTCTTAAATTTTGTCGGAAGCGCATTTGGAATACGCGAGTGACGGCGGCAAGCAGCTCATCTCAAATGAAGATTTTTTGAAAGTGATTTCTGAGTTTTTACTCGTATGTTGTAAACAGGTTGTAAACAAGAAAAATGATAAATTCTTGGTGTAAAGTAAAGAAGAATAGTGGTCGGAATATCATTTTTTCCCGTCTCATCACACCTTCGTCACCTTCCCTTTATTTGGCGTTTTTCAACCACGCCCTTCAGCCCTTTTCCTGTTGCTTTTTCGCCGTTTTCTTGATGACTTTGTCTTTTTTTTCCGATTCAAAAGAAAGTTTAATTGAGTTATCAATTTGAAAAAATCTGTTTTTCAAATCTAGCCAATGAATATGCAGGCTTAACCAGTCAATTTGAAAGGAATATAAGGAATTCTAGCTTTGCGTTGAAAATAAGAGCAATATTGAGATATTAGTAATTTTGAAAAAAATTAGTTTGTTTGCAATGAATACCCTATTAAAAGAAGAGTTGGCCAAAAAACATTGAATTTGTCTTTCAACCAATTTCGTGTTTTTTTCCTCATTCTTTCGTGCCAGAAAAAAAGTTAAAATAAATAAATAGAGTACCCAGTTTTTGCAAGAATAGGTAAACACTCTAAAGACTCCCCAAAAACATTTTTTTAAGGAAATTTTTCTCTCCGATTTTTTTAAAAGATTTGCAACCTTCAATCAGTGTGTATACTTTAGTCGAAAAATTTTGCCGCATGTGAAATGAATAAAAACAATGTGTGCGCCCGACTCGATACTACTTTCGCTTTTCATTATAAAAATGACCTTTTTTTTGGTATTTCAAAAATCAACATGAATTCCCTCACATTTTTCTATTTACTTTCCAGTCGTTTTGATATAATCTTTTCAATAAAAATGGAACATGATCATAAAGATTCGAATCGAAAACCATTTAGACCGGTAGCGAATCAGGTCATATTGACTTTTTTCTCTATTCCTTATTTGTCTTTTAGAAGAAAAGAAGCAAGACGCTTCCTATTGTCTTTTTTCCACAGCCGAATATGACGCGAACGTTTTTTCTATCATTTTTTTCTTTCTTTTCTGATCGAATCAAATGAAATATTCGTTTTGTGCTTTTTAAACGGAATATTGATTTGAAAAAACGTTTATTTCAGTCACGAATAATTTTGGTGAGTTCACGCCCAGATTTTATCTGGAAGCTCAAATTTATGAACATTGAACGCTATCCTTTGCACGGCCTTTTTTAATGAAAATTTCCAAATTTTCTATATTCGAAACTACCTCGTATAACCCGCATTTTGCATTCAATTAGAATAGTTCAGAGTCTAAGTTCTTTGAAAAATTGACTTTTTTTTTTTGCATAACCCTATTTTTTTGTTTTTGATGGTTTTTTCTGCAATGTCCAAGACTCTTCTCTCACCATTTCAAGAGCAAAAAGTGAATGAAAACATCAGGATTTGTCGCCTCGTTATCAGCCTGCCCTCGTTGTTTTTCAAGCACGATTCGAAAAATACTTTGGTTTTTAAGATGCTGCGATCAGACGAAGAGCACCACGGGACGACGGCCGTCGACCTGGAGCCCGTGAGAGAAGTGCCCCACTCGGACGACTACAAACGCCCGCATCCGCCCCCGAGGAGTCCCGTGGCCGAGCCCAAGAAGAAGCTCCAGTTCCACATGAACACCAGCAAGATCCAGATCATCCCCAACAATCGCCAGGGACAACTCAACACTGGATACCTCGCCACGATCGGCGGTGTCTTGAAGATTGCCGAGATTGTGGGTTTTCTTCTTTTTCGACGCTTTTATAATGTATTTGTTCCAAACTGAAGAAAACATAACTTGGTAAAGTATTGGATTCTGGTAGAACTTGTTTGACAACAGATCAACAAGTTCCAGCTGTGCTTTTTTGTTGAAACTTCTTCAAATTTTCTTTTAACGATTTGGACTTCCTTGCAATTTTTATATAGCCCCAGGGCTTTTTTTTCGTTACCATTTATTCCGAAAAAAAATTCGCAAAAAGATAAAAAGTTGAGGAACAGAAGCGTTAGAGGTTCTTTGGATTAAAAAATTGCATCAATGAAAGAAGATTCTCAAAAAATGAGCTTTGTGTAAGGAATCGTATCGAATTATCATTTTCATGTCGAAAATCTCCAATTACTTTTCAAAGGTTCAAGCCCTCGCTAGGCTAACTATGATCCAACAGAACTGATTGTTCGAAGAGAATATTGTGAAAATTAATCGAAGCTTTCTGTATGAAATTTTCTTAAAAACGCAACTTTTTGGCAACTTTACAGTTCGTTCATTCCAGGTCCTCTCGTTCATCGCTTTCGTCTTGGCGATCTGCGCGGACCGAAGGACTACGACGGCCGCCTGGACGGAGCACATCACCTTCGAGACGCTCCTCGTGGTCACGGCCTTCCTCCTCGGCTACGTCTGCTTCCCCCATCTCACCATCAAGGACGAGCCCACCCGTGAAGGACTCATCGTCGTGGTCTGCAGAAGCTCTTCTCGATCCAACGTCTTCTCAAATCAATTCAGGAGCTGCTCTTCTATGGCGTCAACACCGTCCTCTACTTCATCTCCATCTGGCTGATGGTCCATTTGTCGGCGAGTTGGGGCACCGACGGCCGCGGCGCTGCCATCATGTCGGCGGTGAGCTAAAGAATGCACTTTTGAAAGACGGACGAGGTTAAAGAATTGGAGAAGTTAGAGTGTGAAGATGATTCTGAAAATTGCCCATGGAGCGCATAATTTTTGGAAAATTGACCGGTTTGGCCTTTGAAATTTGCCGAGGGTGGGGGATGGCCTATAAGCTGACGGGCTGGCCCTCGCACAAGCCGGACTCGATCTTAATTTCTTTAACGTAAAAGTGGCCACTTGAGAGGTTTTCTCGTAAACTTTGAAGTGGTCACACAAGGTTTTCTTTTTCAAAATTTGTCCTCGTTTAAAAATCGTTTACTTGAAAGGCCTCCTCCAACGTTCAGAGCTGTCACTTCCCTGAGTGACAAACTCTGGATCTTTTCTTTCGGACCTATAACTCAATAAATGACCTCTTAAGAGAACACTTGAAAGTCTTTTCGAGTGCCTCTATCCGATTTATTTCAGGTAATCTGCGTGGCTCTGACGGTTTTGTTCGCGATCGAGACGTTCCTCAAGCTTAAGGTTCTTTATTTTCGATCATTTTTCTCTAATTAACCAATTAGTGATGATAATATATATTTTTCTAGGCGTGGCGAGGCGAGAATGAGCCAAGCAGCCGCGTCATCACCACCGGCAACACTCCCGCTTAACTCCCCTCAGATTCCCCAATTTTTCTTGCGGAATACCAAAGCTCCAAACACTGCTTATGATTATGACTATACTAAATATTCAATTTTCTAATTTTTGGCTGCTAGTCTTTTAATTTTCTTTTTTCAATTTCTGACACTTCGCGATTCATTTCACTTACCTGTGCACAGGTGTTCTTTTTTAGTGTAGTCAGTTGTTTTGCACCACCTTTTTTTGTCAATCCAAACATGAAATCAACCAAAAAGTGCTCTTTCAGTTTCAATGCCTCAAGGTTAATAAAGACTTTTATTTTTGAAAAAAAACTTGAAAAAGGACAGAAATAAGCGTTTTTTGAAAATCGGGTATAAAGCTTCGGCTTAGCAAGGTATAGGTTCTAAATTTTTTTTTTCTAGAAACTTTTGAGCAATTTCAGATGAATATTTCCGCATCGATTGACGTAAGAATTCTAAGAATTCGAATTTGGTGAAATTATTAAAAAAGTACAGTACCGTTTGTATTTTTTTTCATTTTGGACCTATGACGTCATGGGAGTCAATCTGGACTTATCATACAGCAATCGATACATCAGATCAAGATGAGCAAGAAAACTAGGCGTCAAGTTACAAAACTCTCTACACATCGACTTATAAATATTTTTTTGATTTTAAAAATGTACAAAAGTTGTAAATGACCATATTTGAGAAATCATAACTTTCTACAGAAGTAGCTAATTAAAAAACCAAAACGTGATTTCGAAAAGGACAAAAAAAACAAAAAGAAGGAAACGTGGACCGGGAAATCGAGTCATTGCCACTTATTGACCAAACTCGGTGATGTCGCAGCTGAAGAAAGAAGCCGCCGCAGTGAAAAGCCCCATCGAAGGCGTCACTGCCGCCAAGGTACAATTCGGTAGTTTTCTACTCTCTAATCATCAATTTCACAACCTTTTAGCCTTTTTAAAGGAAGAAAATAATGAAATAGTGTATATTTTTCGCTATCAATAAAGTCATCTTTTGAAAAGGGAAGAAGAATGTTCAGACGGATTTCGTGTCGTTCCTTTACGCCTCTCACGGCAAGACCTACGACGAATACGTGGCAAAAGCCGAGGAGACGACGGGCCTCAAGCGGGAGAACCTCTCCTACGTCCTCTATGGCCTGCTCGCCTTCTACCTCATCTTCGGGTCCGCCGCCAAGCTCCTCTGCAACCTTATTGGCTTCGGTTATCCCGCCTACGCTTCTGTCAAGGTTTATCGACCGCGAAATTTCCTTTTTGTGCTTTCCAAGCGTTATAAGGAATGGTTTTTGAACTAAAAAAGCTTGGTTCGAAAATGTTACACTTGTCAGACGAATATTTCAAGTTTTTCAATTTCGACCTTATATGTAAACCCAACAAGAAACAAAAATAAGGGAAAAACCAGTGCAAAAAAAGAAATTTTTTTACTTATTTTTTTCAACTTTCATAGAATAAAGCAGAACTTTCTGGCCTCACTACTAGAAAAAACAGTTTGACCGCGAACTTTTTTTTTGCGCGTTTTGTTGTAGGTTTGCGTCATTCTGCTACTTTGTGTGTTTTAACATCGAAAATTTGAAAATTTTCAATTCGACTTCCGCTTCTTTTTTTTCAAAAGCATATTGAAGTGAGTTTTCTGATTTATAAAGATGCTGGGAAATACCTTTTGATAATTTCAAAAAAAGTTCAAGAAACTTTTAGATACTTTCAAGATACTTTTTAAAGCATCATTTTCAAAAAGTCTTTCCGCAAACATCAATCATTTTTCGGAGATATTGAGAAATTTTTAATTGTTGATTTAAACATTTTTGAGAAAAGATTAAATTTTTCAGGCGATCCGAAGCGTGGACAAGAAGGACGACACACAGTGGCTGACATACTGGACGGTATTCGCGACAATTTCGCTCTTCGATTTCTTTTCACAGGACATCTACCGCTTCTTTCCATTTATCTACGTCTTCAAGGTCTTTGATAGCTTTTTTTCCAACTAACATAGAAACAATGTTAATATTTTCAATGTCCTGTTTAGGCCGTTTTCCTCGTGTACCTTTACTTGCCGCAGACGCACGGCACGGCGGTGTTCTACACGAAAATTGTCGATCCGCTCGTCACCCGCATTGACAATTTCTTCGGCACAGGAGCCAAGCAATAAAAACTGCGACTATTTCTTTTTCGACTTCTTTAGTGTTTAGTGCGAAAAATGACACACAGAGCTTCGAACTCCTATCATTTTAACATGGAAAAATTCGGTTTGAAAACTGAATTCACTGCTTTTTCCATCATACGGCCAAAAAATCAAAATTTTCAAAACTCTAAACGTTAAAATATTAAAAATGAAAGCCATGTCCGTCCTTCATTCACGTCATTTTGAGCTGCTAAGGCGCTAGAACAGTTTTTTTCATCGCGGCAGTTTTGGAAAAAGATTAGGCTTTTACAAGGGCAATTAATTTTACAGCTAGGGCAATGGAAAAAAACTCATGAAGATTTTTTTCAAGTTTCCAAGTGAAGTAAAGCTTCATTCGAAATTCCATTTTTAAAAAAACCAAAAAAATGGCGAAAAAAATTTCCCCGCTCGGCGATTTTTTTGATCAGTGAAATAAGTGCACAGGGGGAAGAAAAAAACCATGAAAAAAATGAAGAAAAAAATAGCTATGTACAAAACTGGATCAATTACGCCTACTTTACCCAGAAAAAAAAAATACAAAGTGAATGAGAAAGGTAGTCATCGGGTACAAAAACTGTGAATAAAAAGGCCTATGAAGTCCCTGAAAAAAATTATTGGAAGCCTTGGGAGAGGAACAGAAAAAAACCTCAAAAATTGTTAAATTTTAAGAACGAATTAGAATGAAAAAAATTTTTTTACAAAGTAGAAAAAAATGATGAAATTCAAGCCGGAGCCTTTGAAGATTCGGAAGTTTCAGGTGTCGATTGTTTGTCGTCTTTGGAGTCTTTCTTTGGTTTCCCGTTCGGAGGCTTCGGTCCGCCGCGTTTCGTCACTGAAATTTTGATTTTTCTGATGAGATTTTCAATCAGATTGCGCGGTTTTCTGACTAGGAAAGCTGGAGAAAAAGCCAAAAAAAAATGACATGCGAAAAAATAGCTAGAGATTGAAATTTCGTTTCATGTTTAATATAAACACGGAGTAATCTCGAAATTCATTCCAAACATGATTCCGTTTTTCAGACTTCAGCAAAAAATGAACAAGATTAGATAAATATGTACACTATTCTTGTGGAGCTTATTAAATTCGGCTAACCTTTCGGAGCTACTTTCCAATCTATTTTTGGCAGGATATCTAACACGTGTAAGAGCCATTTTCTAGAGACCGACCGAAGTAACGAAAAGAAAAGAACATTTTCTTTCAGTTGCTTTTTTGACTGAAGGAATTATTCCAAGAAAAATATTGAGACAGAATTTACAAATCAGTTTCTAGCTCACTATTGCCATACGAAGGTTAATGATTAATTTTGTGCGGTTTTTTTTTCAATCGACCATTTCTTTCCAGGCTATTTTCGAGCCATTTTTTCGGGTTACTTAATCGTGAAAACCAACAGTTCTTGACGTTCCGATCCTTTCCCTTGGCTCGCTGTTGGGCCAAAGATTCTTGTGGAACGACGCTCAGCACAGTACCGACGGCTTTGGTTCGGCCTTCACGGAAAACCATTCGAGTTCCTTGAAACAGTAAAATAATCGGAGAAAATTTGGACAAACTTCGGTCTTATAATCTACTGCACTACATGTATATGAACCGACAAAACTTGTGCTATTTTGGTAATTTTTCTTAAAGGCGCATAATTATACGTTAATATAAAGTAGATTTTTTCCCACCTGGTCGAATATATTCAGGTTGGCGGATGAACTTGAACATGACCTTGTCACGATCGCCTGTTCTCAGGACTTCCTGAAAAATATTAAATATTCCATTTTAATGGAATTTCAGCGATCATTCCACGTTCCATTGCAGATATTTATTTTTGAATTTTTTTGAAGCAAAAGCGAGAAAAAAAATGCATTTAAGATAGCTCTCTTTCTTCTGTTTCGTACTGTTTCGCGCAAAATACTAAGATTGAGAAAATTAATGCCTTGCTCATGCTGAGAAGTGTGGCCGTTTGTCTTATCGATCCAATGTGAAGCATGGCTTGATAATTTGGCTTGATCGTCGTCGGGTGGTGAAGGATTAGTATCTAAATTTGAAATTTCGTTTTATAAGTAATCATCTAAGTAAGCTCGAAAATAGACAATATATGAAAAAATGTCTAATAATCACCTCAGCCTCGAAAGATCTGCTCGCAACCGCATCAGTCCTCGGATCCAGCATGACCATTCCTTTTCTGACGTCTTTCTTCACAACTTTTCTAGAAAAAAATGTTTTTTTCGTGTGAAAATGCAGCATGAAAAAATAGATCCTTTTTTGAAAATAGAACCCTTCAAAAAAATGTCTTTTTACCTCAAAGAAAAACGAGGCCGACTGTCCGCAGCGAACAATAGAAACGGGCATTCTTTTGCTGAAAAAGGTCACAATTTGAAATAATTACAATATTATGCGGCTCTTTCAACTGTTGAAACCGTATTTTGTTCAAATTTAGAGAAAAATGCCTTGATCTTTCTTCTTTCTGTCGGAGTTTACACCCGAAAATCTTATCGATACTTTTCAATAACTAGTCTTTCAGTTATTAAGCAGCGTCTGGAAATTTTAGGCTCTGCTTGATACCTTAAAAAAATGAACATCAAACGAACCGATGGATCGACTTTACCGGATGCGGATGAAAATCTCCATTACCATCGGGTCCCAAGAACAAGACGTCGTTCAACTGAAAACTTGGAAATTTACATTGAAAAACGATTCTAGACGCTTACTCTGATGGTTCCAGACAATACTGTACCACTGACCACGGTTCCCACGCCTTCAACCCAGTAGACGTCGTCAATCTGAAGGAAAAGTATATAGTTGATCAACTTATTTTGATCTGAAAGTCGAAAAAAGTTAGTTCTTCCTTTTCTTATTCATTTATCTTCCTTTTATTCTCGGGCAAAGTCGGAATGGTGGATAATGGCGGCAAAAAGAGAGGCTTGAAAAGGCCGCAGAAAGGCAGCAAAAAGGCAGCAAAATAAGTCACTTTATCGAGCCTTCCATTTTTCTGGGATTTTAAAGGCTCGAGAAGTGGTAGAGAAAGGGAGAGGCAGCAAAAATGGCGCAAAAAGGGAGTCATCGTCACCTTGAAAGGAACACTTATATAGCTTATTCCGCGCCAGCTTGTCACGTTTTTCTTTCCGCCAAGAAGACCTTATACCAAATTAGATCAAATTTCTGCTTTTATAACGGCAAGAAACAGAGGTCTTGAAGCGAAGTTGGTAAAATTTGACCTGGCCTTTTGGCGGAAAGAAAAGCGTGACAAGCTGGCGCGGAATGGCCTATATGGAGCCTTTTCCACCTTTTCGACTTTGCCTATATTGTTGGTCCCGGAATAACAAACCAAATTTTTCTTTTTTTTTTCGTCATTCCTCTTCATTTTTTTTTCGTTCAAAGCGACTTTTTTAAAAATAAGTTCGAAGAAGGAGATTTGAATTTTCGAGGTTTTTTGTACGAGTGATTAAAATATAACTATTTTTCTTTTCAATTTCTGATTTCGTAAATTTTCATCGTAAATAACCTGAAAATGAGCAGGATCATTCTCGCACAGTGTTCTTCTCAACGGGACAATGTTGAGGAAACTGCGGAGGAGGGGCAAATTTGTTCCCAAAACGTTGGAAACTTGGAAGATTGGGCAGACTCTGGAACAATAATGTTGAGAAAATTGAAGCATTTTGAAAAAAATTGAAAATTTTCTTTCAAATTGATTAAAATGGCGTTGTAGCTGTGTATACACAAATATTATAAAAAAATGAAAAACTTATTCCAAATTTCCTTCAAAAAAATTGCCTATTTTTTTATCACTTCAACTGACACTTTTTTTCATCGTATCCTTATTTTAACCCAAACCTTTTGCTGGGAAAAATTGACAGCCGCGTGAATCACATCGTCCATGGTTCGAATCGTCACTGGGAGCTTCCTGGCACCTGAAAAAATCCAAATTATTTCAAAATCAAGAGAAAAAGTACTACTTTTAACTAATCGAGTGATATTTTTCAGCGTTTCCTCGAGAATTTGCGGCGGGCACATGTCGATCTTGGTCACCTGGATGTTGAAAAATTTTTTCAATTTTAAATTTTTTTTTAAACTAACAACAAGGAAAACTGGGACAGCGAGAGAAAGGGCCAGGGACAGATGCTCTTTGGTCGTTCCGATGATTCCCATATTTGAGCCGATCTGGAGGAAAAATGGTTGAAAAGGCGGAGCAAAGGAGACAAAATCTTTTGAAAGTTATGGGAGACTTTTTCGAAAAAAATATTGCGCATTATTTTAAGCATTCGTTTTGGTTCATTTGAAAGGAGAAGAGAACCGGAATACTAAATAAAAAAATCATGAAAAGTAGCTGAAAACGGGCTTTTTCAAATTTAAAAAGCTAAAATTTGAGTTATTAAACTTTTTTCGAGGATTATCCGTCTAATTTTTTCCCTGTGTGAAATACCAAAGTCAACGATTTTTTCGCCTTTTAAAAATTCACAAGTCCTTACCATGAGCATAGTATAATCGGGCATGTGTCCGGTCATGCCGAAAATCGTCGTTTTCAGGTATTTTTCATGTCCGGCGAGGTCGATGAACGTGACGAGCTTGAAAATGAAGAATTTTACAGTTTTCGGGGGAATTTTTTTTACTTTGCTGCAATCGTGGCTGATCTGGACCCAGTCCAGTTTATTATTATGCGGATCCGGCTGATTGACGACTTGTCCGTCGACTCCGAAACCGAGAATATCGTTGCCGACGGAAGAAGTTCGGCCCGATTCGAACTCGTGCTTGTGTCTTTAACAAAATTATCATTTCTGGGTACTTTTTGGTTCTAATGAAGTATGAAAGAAGCCTACCACAGAATATTTAAAAAATGTTCTTTGGTACCGTAAAATACCTTCAAACACGAATTCAAACACGGTTTTTTTTTCATCTGGATTCAAGAAATTCTACGTTAAATATGGAAAAAAGGTCCCTAAATTTGAAAAAAAATCAAACTGGACTTCAAAAAATGCTATTTTCGAAGCATTTTCGTTCAAATTTCAATCTCATTCATTTCATCTTCAAAGGTGATTTGTTAAACACAACAAACTTCAAACTATCAATTGTTTTCCTTCTTGAAAAGGTGTCATAATTTCGATTATTAACCTGAAAAGCTTTGTCCTGGCCAATCCTCGACCGTCGTCCAACGTACTATGCGTCAAAACGCCGAGTAACGTCGATTTTCCGGCGTCGACATTGCCGACAACAGCTACTCGGAGCTAGAAAAGCGAAATAATTGAAAATGAAAGATTCTTAGATTTCCTAACTTCAAAATTTTTAACAATATTTAACCTTCAATTTTGATCAACCTCTTCCCTTTATCAAATTGTTTCTACCTAAGGAAAAGAAGATAAATCAAAGTCACATGTATTCCATTTTTCCTTTTTTATTTCCTTTACCTCGATAAAGTCATCGGTCTTCGGCGGATCGCGTAATAACCAAACTTCGGTGAACTTATTCCCGGTTTTTCTCTGATGCAACTGGGTTCCGATTGCCGGTACGTTCTAAAAAATGTTATCAGTTATTTTATTTGGATGAGTTTTCTTGAACCTCCAAGATTTTCTTGTGATTCTCTACGGCAACCTTGAGATCCTCTTCTGTTAATCCAGATGCTGGAAAAATTGTTTCAAGGTTATGAGAACAAATTCCGTCAAAAACTAAATTTCTAAAAAAAACCTAAAAAGCTTTTTTTAGGAGATTAAAGGCGCACATCGAGGAATGTCGTTACTCGAAATTTGGAGACAAAAAAAGGTTTCTGTGGTTTCTTAAAGATTTTTTTGAAGGCACAGAAGATCTTGGGGAAAAATACATATTTTTTTATCAAGCAAAAAAACTTTTTTTGCTTCTTTTTAAAATATATACTTCCAAAACCAAGAAAGGCTTGATGAATTGAAAAGTTTTTGCGTCAATATTTTCGAAAACCTCTTTTTTGTCAGTTTGATATATCAAAAAAACGTGAAGAATGAACGATTCCTTCAAAAATCAAGAGCCAAACCTTTGCTAGAGCCGCCTATCGGGACGCCGACTTCCACTATCGCTTCTCCTTCGCCTTCTATCAACAGCTTGCGTACGTGTATTTGATATTTCTCAACCTGAGAACATTCTTCCATTTATTGACCTTTGAAACAAGAAAACCTCCTCGGGGTTATTTCTAACCAAGAAAGTCGCGTCCAAGCCGCCGGCCTCTGGCTCCTTCTCCTCGACTTCGTCGTCTTAATGCAAAATTCGATCATTTTGAATAATTCATTTACAAATTTAGTTCGGAAAATGACCTAATTTAGAACTTCCAGTTGCTTCGAAAAACTTTTTTTCACTTTTTGGTCGGATTTTTGTCGCTTGAAGCTTTCAAACAACAAAAATTTTCCATAACAAATTCTTTGATACACAGTTTTATTACCATAAAGATTAGCCAATCCTTCGGCTTTTAATTTGGCTGAGGCCGAAGGCGCCTGTGACGATGACGGCCCTGCTTTTTCTTCATCCTCTTGGCTCATTTTGAGAGTTTTGAAGCTTGAAACAGCTGAAATATGCATATTTTGAGAAAAGAATCAAGTAATTTTTTTTTGCGTTCTGGGTTTTCTTACGGAAACATTTTTTTTTCCTTGGTTTCAGAGAAATTTGAAATCGATTTTGAAATCCAACAGCTTGCCAAAACCTCGTTTTAGAAAACATCTTTCAAGCTCTGAATTGTGCCTTGAAAAAAAAATCCTCTTAACTCTTTCGAGAAAACTTAAATCCCGTCAAAACCTAGTTTTGAACTTTTCCTAGGGCTCAGGAGCGGGATTTGAAAAAAAAAAATTGGATTTACACTATTCCAAAAATGATGGAAAGTGAAAAAAGGCAAAAAAAAACGATAAAATTCAGGTTTTCCGAGTACACTGTTATTTCCTTTTTTTTTACAGGAATTCGAATTAAGCGCTTAAAAACGGAGATAAAGACTTTTTGAAGCCGAGAAAAGAGGGGCCAAGATATAGTACAGACGTTCGTAACTCGTTCCTGTCTTTATGACAGCGACCAAACCAAACCGAACAAAAAAATGAAACCAGTTTCTGAGGAAAATAGCGAATAAAGAAAAGAAACGATTCTTTGGGAAATTATACGGCGTTTAAATATTCCTAAACTCACAAACCAGTGAGCAAAATAGGAAAAATCGAACTCTTGCACAGTTCGATCCTAATTTAGCTCTAATTCCAATTGGTAGAAGAGGAAAAAAGTATTCCTTTTGAATATTTAGACCTATTTGGAAGTGATAAAAGTTAGAAGCTCATAAAATTTTGTAGAATTTCCAGAATTTATATCTAACTTCTGTTGCACAATCTCACCAAGAACGGATTTCGCAACATTACGTCTTCAAGAGCAGAAATTAAGAAAAAAAATTGCCATTCTCCTCAAGATCAGCAGGTTTATATACTTATATGGAAGAATCTCGAAACCCAATCGCTCATATTAGCAAAGTTGCGAAATAAAACAAAAGTTGACCATCATAAATGATAAGTAAATATATTTGAATTGGAAAAATATTTGAAGCATGAAAAAAATAAAGGAGAAAAATATGAACTCCAAAATAAGACTGAAATTTAAAAAACATCACATTGAGAAAAAAAAAGACGTAAACGTGACATTTTTTTCTACGCGGTCTTTCCCGCCACTATCTATCTCTAAAATGTCAAGAATCTGACATTTGAAATAAGAAAAAAACCTCGAATACTCCTTATTTTTTTTGCACATTACTTTTTGATGGAAAAACTATAAGAGCTTTTTCTAATAAACGTCAAATTCAGCTTTTTTTGTTCAATAACTTTATACAGACTTAAAAAAAGAATTGAATCTTTTTCTAATTTTTTTCGATGGACAAAAAAAGCTTAGGTTAATTTATATTTAAGAGAACTGGCCATAACAGAAAAAATAATCTAATGAACCTTTTAAAATTATTTCCGGCCTTATAAAGGAATCGAGAAATAAAAGATTAATATCTAGATATACACGTTAACTATAAAACAACTATTTTTTTCATTTGGAACCTCATGATGATCGTCAAAAAGCCAAAATACAGACGTGAACGTCAAAACTTGAAAAAAGAAAAATTTGGAGGTGCAAAAAAAGTTTTTTTTTTTCAAGTTCGATAGAGCGCACATTCTTTCCAAGCTTCTCAATGAACCTTCAAGTCTGAACTATTATTCTGAATTCTGAAAAAGGCTTGTAAATCCATTAAAAGATGTGAAAGAAATGTGATACACTTATTTTCAACACCTTTGATGAAAAAATTCAACGAAATTTTTGTTTTCTTCATTCATTCTCATAAATAGCGATTATTGTCACTCCGAATTTTCTTTCACATTCATTATTGAAAAGTTAATGAGATACTCCGGACTAGAGAAGCTCCAGAGATTGCTGATTCTAGTGATTTACAATTTTCAATCTTTGCTTTTGAAAGAACTGATAAGGCAGTTGTTCTGATAACTCAAATCAGAGAGCGACCAAAAAGATTCTCGCTTGCTGCAAAAACAGGAAGCATTGGAAGAATCAAAAAACAGGCTTTGAGTTTGAAAGATTTTCAGAGAGTGAATAAAACGAAACTTCATAAAAGGTACAAAACACACCACTGGAGTATTTTTTTATTACTGGTTAACGGATCTATACACTGACCAAAAATAGTATTTTATTGGCTGCTAAGCATTTAAAATATCGCTTCAATCTTCCAAATATACAAAGTTGAACCTTTTTTCAAGGGTAGTCTTTTTGAAGTTTTCTATGGCTTTGCATTTTTCAAGAAAAAAATCCGACTTGGAAATATTTTTTGCGGGAGCATTTTCATTCTTTGAATTGCGATTCATTTTTTGGTCCTATTATCAATATTTGTAAGGTCTGCAAGACGAGGGCATGGCCTCACACCAGATGGACGCGTCCGGTCCCGAAAATCGCCCGACGCCAAAAGGTGTTGACGATAAAAAACACGGGTCTCAACCCAGAGATAAAGGCCTGAGGCGGCGGCGGTTCACGTGCTCCGGCACGGGCTCCAGACCCCTATAAAGCCTCAGTTGCCGGCTCTGTGCTTTCATATCAAGCCAGTCGAGGACTACGGTAGCGATATGGTGCTTTGCGTGGAAAGCTCCAAGCCGACTTTGGCCGTCCTTGGCTACGGTATCATGGGCGCCGGCATCGCTCAGGTTCTCTTTTTTCACATTATTTATATGATTCTCAAAGGGAAAAATAGAAATCTATCCAAAATTGGGTTCACTGAACGAGCAAAAAAGTATCTATACGCCGAAGAGCTTTTTCTGCAAGCCCTCCCATAGAAACATTAACTCGAAAAAGAAGGAAATTGAAAAGGAAAGACATGTAGAAATTCAAAAAGGAAACTTCAAAAAAGCATTCAGCTTTGTTTTGTACCACAAAAACCATCTTTTTTCCAGATTCAACATCAGCAACCTGTTATTTTTTTCATATTCTATCAGTCCCTACCCTCATAATCACTAAAAAAACTTTAATAAAATGAAATTTTTTTAAGGTTTGCATGTCCGCCGGCTACAGTGTCAACCTCTACGGAAGGAGCGAGAAAAAGCTTCTGGAAGCCTCGGCACATATTCGCAAGAATCTCAGCAAGATTGCTGCCAAGAAACGTGGAGAACTTCCGGCAGACGTGAGTCTTAGTTTTTAATTTTTTTAATCATCAAAAAAACTCCTTGTATAATTACAAATGATTTAAAAAAACTCTCTCCATTGTTATGACTTTGCTTCCTATTCGAGATTTTTTACCGCTAGCTTGACATAATTACAGAAAAAAACGAACGGGGTGAAAATCGTGACTTTTTGAAAAGCTTTCTATCTGAAAGTCCAAAATTCAACCATAATTCATCACAATCCTTCCAGATTGTTGTTCTGTAAGTCAAGCTAACGCCAAATAAAATAAAAAGAACCAAAAACTTAAACATAAAAAATGAAGAATTTTGGAATGCAGACTTTTCACTGCAGATCAGGCTTGTGCGTCAGGCCGAGCGGTCCGTTCTTTGGGTTTTTATTTTTGAGAAAGAGCTTTGGGCCAGACCGGGCTTCGAAAAAAATATCTCAAGTTTCCCTGTGAAAGCTTGAAGAAAAATTTAAGCTTTTTGGGCCGGTCATTTTTGCTTGAGGCCTCCCTAAGGCCGGGCCAGCCCTCGAACAAGCCTGCTTTCGATGCAGACTTATAGCATACTGTACTTTCGTTTTGTTTTGCTGGAAAAACTTTTCTTAGTTGGATTTTCATTGAATATCCGCATTTAAGTTTTTTTTCATGTGAATATTCGTTCTTTCAGAATTCCGCCGTTGAAAAAGTCGTCGATGTGCAGATGGACCTTCTTCAGATTCACACGGACGTGAGTTTCATTTTTTCTTTTAAGTAAGTTATTTTTTCGCGATTTCAGATCGAGTCCGCCGTTGAGGGAGTCGCGATGGTGATCGAAGCCGTCGTGGAGGATCTTGAAACGAAGCTGGAACTTTTTGAAACGGTTCAGAAGACTTGTCCCAGGTTAGATAAAATTTCAGTGATGCTTGAATTTTATTAATTCGAATTCACCTCTTTTTCTTCAAAATCCTAGTTCGTGTTTCAGTGACTGTATTCTCCTCACCAACACCTCATCACTGCGTCTGGCAGCAATTTGTCCTGTTATGAGGGATCCGTCTCTGTTCGCAGGCCTTCATTTCTTCAGTCCTGTGCCCATCATGAAGCTGGTCGAGGTGGTCAGCACGGAACAGACTTCCCAAGAAACCCGCGAAGCTCTCTTCGCCTTTTGCAAAGACATTGGCAAGCTGCCAGTTGCAGCCAAGGTGATTTTTTCATGATATCCAGACCTTTTGTGAAGGAAAAATCTCCGATTGGCTAGCTCAGTTCTTAAAGCGCCAAAAAGAGGGGGGCTCAGCCAATCATACAAAGTTTTCGTTAGAGCGAGCTTCTCAATTAGGAAGAATTGAAAAATTTGTTTGCAAGGAGATCGGCAAGCTTGAGCCAAAATATGTTCTTTCTGCGATTTCCCCATAGTTTGTACCTTTTTTGATTTTTCAACTCAAAGGTCTGCTTAAAATTTTTAAAAAAATTTTAAAAAGGTTTTCAGACCTCTTTGAGTAATTCTTAAAGAGAAGAATTTCAGAATGCAGCTTTTTAGCGTGTTTTTTTTTCACTGAAAAGTTCCAAAATGAACTACACTGCATTTTATTTTTCGTTTCAGGACACGCCCGGCTTTATCGTCAACCGCCTCTTGGTGCCGTACCTCATCGACAGTATCCGAATGGTCGAACGTGGTGACGCCACCAAAGAAGACATCGACACAGGTTGAAATCAGCTACAGTAACCTTTTGGAGCTTTTTCTTACTGTAGCCATGCGTTGCGGAACTTCCTACCCAATGGGACCGATCGAATTGTGCGATTTCGTCGGTTTAGACACCATCCAAAGTGTTGTCAAAAGTGAGTAGCTTAATCAAAGAAAAGTATATATTCAACAAAACCGATTCTCAGTTTTCCACGAGACGATTCCCGGTGACGACAGATTCGGCCCCTGTGAGCTTCTCAACAAACTCGTCGCCGAAGGGAAACTCGGCCGAAAAACTCAGCAAGGATTTTACAACTACAAAAAGTAATGAATAATAGATTTTTCAATTTTACGCGGTATCTTTTTGTACATATCTCTCCTGATTCTAAATAAACTGTAGATTTTCTTCCCTGTATTGAAAAAATATCGCCTGACGAGGCCGGAAAATGTGGTCCCATTTTGGCTCGTCGTCGTCCCATATGAAAAATGTCATGTTTGGACAGCCGATAACTTTTCATGATGGGGAATATTTTCGAATAGCAAGTGTCCCTATGTACATACACTTCAAAGCAATGAACAGTTGCAAAAAGGAAAAAAATACGATGGAAATGTTTTTCGAGACTTTTTTCACGTGAACTGTAAAGTCTAGTCTTCACTTTTTTTTTAAATGTGAAACGAATCTGCAAAATGAAAAAGTGAAAATATTAATGGCAAATTCCAACAGAGAAGGAGAAGAAAAGAAGCAATAGACGAAACCGTAAAAGTTTTCTAAACAGTACCTACTGCTCGAATGAAACCTCTCTAATATGGTTTACGTTCTAACATATTAGTTAAAAATGTCTTCCACATATTAATGCTTTTTGCTGCTAAACGTTTGTTATTTTTTTCGAATGAAATTTGAATTTTCTTTACCCCAACAGTTTAAAAAAACTAAAAATTAAATATGAACCTCTTTTATGTCAATTTGAAAACGGTTTTCCGCAATATTTACTCGCCTAGCCTCGGTTAGGTGAGCCTCCAACTAATATACCTTCATATGAAAAACCAAAAAAGCTTTGAACCCTTCTTGAAACTCTATAAATTATCCTTCAAAAATTATCGCCGCAGGCATTCAAAAAAGAAGCTCCACCTCTCTTTGCAACTTGAGCACGCTTTCTGCGTCTTTGCCGCGCGCTTTTGTATCCCGTTCAAAATTTGGGAAGTTTTTTTTTGTTTTTCTTATCTGTTAGCTGTTTATCGCGTTCTCCTCTCTTTATCTTTCTAATTCACGATTAGATAACCTTCTCTAACAGATAAATTATACTTTTGCGCGTCCTCGGCTTTTGTTTTTCGTACAACTTTGCTAAAAAATTGTAGGAAAATTTTCTGTGTTTCATTATTTGAATTTACGACAAAATAAGCTTTTTCTCTGAACCAAATTTGCCTGTGAACGCTTTTTTTGCTTCTTTTTTTTTACAATCTCATTGAAATTATAGTCATAAACATCTTTTCCAGGTAAATTAGATCTTCGGCACCATGCCGCGGATCGAAAATGAGCCGAAGCTTGACTTCAAGGACGTGTTGCTCCGTCCCAAGCGGTCAACGCTGAAAAGCCGTGCCGACGTAGACCTCGATAGGACGTAATGATATTTCATCTTTGTTTTCGCCATGAAGATTTTATTTTTCCAGATATGAGTTCCGCAACTCGAAGCAAACTTATTCTGGCGTACCAGTAGTCGCTTCGAACATGGACACTGTTGGAACTTTTGAAATGGCCTCTGCTTTAAATAAGCACCGCTTGTTTACTACCATCCATAAGCATTACACTGTATTTCTCTAAAATTCAAAAGAAAATCATAAAATAACTTATTTCCAGGTTGATGAGTGGAAAGACTTTGCCGCCGCAGCCGATGATTCGACTTTCGACAACATTGCGGTTTCAAGCGGAATTTCAGACAACGATTTCCACAAGCTTGCTGCGATTATCGAGAATGTGCCCCAACTACGTTACATCTGTTTGGATGTGGCCAATGGCTATTCGGAATCTTTTGTAGATTTCATTCGACGGGTTCGCGAAGCATATCCAAGGTGACTTTTTCAGGAAAGTCACAAAATGAATGAAAACGAAAATACGCAAATGTTAATAATCAATGAATATTAATCAATTTTTTTCGCTTTGGATAAGAAAAATCTTCACTGCGTGCTTATTCTTTGACTCTTGTTTTATGCGCTGAGAAGTGCATCCTAGAGTTTTCAAAATTGTTTGACAAGGCGTACAGAAAAGCATTGATGAGTTTCCGGAAGGTTTCTGACTTTTTCCCAGTATCATTTTAGGTTATGCAAAGAAAAGTCTCTGAACACCTGAACAAAGGTTTTCAGTAGACTATATCTTTTTGCAAGAAGAAACATAACCTGTAAATGAACCGAAAAACTTAACATTTAATGTGAAAATATTTGTTTTCAGCCACACGATCATGGCTGGAAACGTTGTGACGGGTGAAATGGTGGAAGAGCTGATTTTGTCTGGCGCGGATATTGTCAAGGTTATTTCTATCATTTTTATTTTCTGTTGTAGTTTCTTCTTTCATTCAGGTCGGAATCGGACCGGGATCGGTTTGCACGACTCGCAAGAAGGCCGGCGTCGGTTACCCTCAATTGAGCGCGGTTCGTCTTGAATTATATATTTTAATAAGTCATGTCTTATTTGGAATTTTTCCGGCTTTTGAAGAGTGTTTATTTGCAAATACTAAAGCCTCAGACGATATTGGTAAAAGTCTCTCTCTTCAGTAAGAAATTTCGTCTAGGAAATAAGGTTTTATAGTCTTTTCTATTGACTAAAAAAATAAAGAAAAATTTGGTACCTGTAGAATCTTTAGAACTGAAAAAAACGGATACTTCTTCAGAACTTTTTGCATTAAATAAAAGAAAGATTTACTTTTTTTAGGTTTTTGGAATGCGCCGACGCGGCTCACGGTCTGAACGGCCATGTGATGAGCGACGGCGGCTGTACTAATCCTGGAGACGTCGCCAAAGCTTTCGGAGCTGGTTTTTCTGTTGAAAATTGAGACTTAGTTTAACTATAAACATTTAGGAGCCGACTTCGTGATGATTGGCGGCTTGTTCGCTGGTCACGACCAGAGCGGCGGCGATTTGATTGAGACTAATGGAAAGGTGAGAATGAATCATGCATTTTGAACATTTCTTTTTTTTTCTGCAATCAATAAAAAAATTTTTCAAAAACTTCGGAAGAAATTTTTCACAGTGATTTTTTTTGATACGTTACCTCGTTCACAGATTGTACAAGTTTAGTTTTTTTAAAATTGTGTTTCAAAGAGTTTCATTCAAATGTTTTTTTTTGTATTAAACAAAAATTCGAATGCATTTTCTAAATATACTCTTTTTTCAGAAGTTCAAACTGTTCTACGGAATGAGCAGCGACACGGCTATGAAGAAACACCATGGAAGTGTGGCAGAGTACCGTGCCAGCGAGGGAAAAACCATCACTATCCCTTATCGGTTGGACCGATTTTGTAGATATCTAGAATGTTAATCAAAACTTTTTTCAGTGGTGACGTCAACGCGACCGTTCTCGACGTCCTCGGTGGAATTCGATCGGCCTGCACCTACACTGGCGCCAAGCAGCTCAAGGTAATTTTTGAGAAATTCATTAATTTTCAACAAAAAGAGACCTCCAAAGAAGATGAATGTTCTCTGTATATATTTTTTTTTCCAAGATTCCAATTTTTTACCCATTTACAACTGATTTTCAAGATATTATTTACGTTCCTCATTGTGACTTCAATGACCGAAGAAGCACATAATAAAGGCTCATAAGAGATTCAAAATGATTTCCTTTTTGGTCGATTGTACCCAAGGCCTTCAGCTTTTTCTGACGATTTTACTAAGATTTTACGAAATCTGAATATTAATTTTTTTCCATTCGAGATGTAATAGATATGCAGAAAGATTTATTCCAGGAACTTTCCAAGAGGGCCACTTTCATCCGCGTCACTCAACAAACCAACGACATGTACGTGCCGTACGAAGTTCCAAATCTTCCGGCTGGACCAAAATAACTGCTTTTCAATCATCACATATTCTCCTCTTTAGTTAGCATCTCACAAATATGCATCTTATTTCATTTTGATTATAAGTATCATGACATGTAGCGTTTGCTGGTAGAACAAGTGCCGTGACTATTTTTCCCCCACGTGGTTTTGAAACGCTTCTCGGTTCTTTCTTCTTACTTTGTTAAAATTTTCTAAAAACTCGATAAAAGTTTAGCGGCGTCGAATCGTTTTATAGAATGGCCTCGCTGGAAAGAGATAGCAATTGAAAAATTTAGGAGATGGCGAATTTTTTTTTCATTCTTTAGCCATCACTTTGCCGAGCTGGTCGAGATCGTGGGTCAGAGCCGTTTCGGCCTGTTTCTGAAAATATATAATCGTTTGAAAAATCACGGCAAAAGTTTCCAAAAATGAATTTGGTGTTTTCAATACAAACTCATGTTACAAGGATTTCGAATGTACAGACTTTTCTTCCAGAAAAGATTTGTATCAAACTCTAGTTCAGAAAAAATCTTTTCGGGATGAAATTATTATTGTTCTTCGCTAAGGTTGGAGACAACCGGAGTGTTTTATTTTTCCAAGTGATCACTAGAGGTTTTAGGTCACTTGAGTGGACCTGGAAAGAGCAAGAGTGTTTTTCTGGTCAGAAATCAATAGAAAAAGCTTCACTCAAGCGCCACACAAAAATCAAGTGATCTCTTAAAGATTTGCATCCTCTGGAAATAATAATCAAATTTTTGCGACAAGCATTTTTTTTCTCGATCCGTTTCAGTTTGAGCAACTCCCTGCGCCTTTGAAGTTGAAAAAAAAACCGATACCTTCGTTTTAGTTCCTTCATGGCATTTGCTGAAAATAGTTTCCAAATAACATCTTAATTTCTTTTGGGATTATCCTACTCGATAGCTTTCCGGGAAGCTCGAACGATATCGCCCATCGTGTGAGGGAGGACGGTCAAGGGCGTGATGTCCTCGTACTCCCAGCGGCGGACGCGACGTCCCTCGTGGACATACCTTCAACCGTTATTCAATTTATCTTTTTTTTTTAAATTAGTACTGCTCATTTGCCACAGTTTTCAAGTCTGACCTTTCTGCTCTCTATTTTCCCTCACCGGCGAGATCAAAGAAACGTTAAAAAAGCACGTAAATAGAGGAGAGGGCAGAGAAATCAAAGTGTTACGAAGAGTCTGCATCTAGTCTTTGAAAGCTGGAGATTATTCAAAAATTGAAATGATAACCTTTTTCTATAAACGTCCTTGTATTTAACAGTACTCTCTATTTTTCAAGGATTCAAGGCTCAAGGCTTGAAAACTTCAGACTCGTTTCAAGTTGAGGCGAATGAGTAATATAAGTGAAATTATTTTGAAAACCGACTCAATGATGGTGAACTTCTTCTGCGGGTAGTCGCCGTCGCGAATTCCGTGTGATTTGGCCTTCGAAGTTTGCTGTTGATCCTCGTCGTCTCGGGCGGTGCCAATCTAATTTTATCCTTCTCGACCATTTTTTTGAAAAATCACACATTCCTAACTTCTAAAAATGTTTTTAAATTCAAATACAAAGACGGGCCTGGTAATTAATCCTATTCGGAGAAGCTGAACCTCTCATTTCGTTTAAAATAGTATATTACTTTAAACGGCGCATAAGACAGAAAACTGTTCAGTTTCCAAATAACGGCGTTCCCAAACGGGGCGAAGAGAAGTCACTAAAGAGAAGTCACTTTGGCGCGAAATTCGAAATCTCAAGTACGCAGCCAAAGGCGATCGAACATACAAGTTATTACCGTTGAATACTCAGTGTAATTATGACGTCATTTTATCCGGAGCGCGCACTCACTTTTTTTTGTAAATTCAGAAACTTTGACGCTTCGCTCACCTTCGCTCACCTCATTAGGAATGCCGTGAAATCAAATCAAATTATATGACAAATTTTCTCATTTTTCCCTAAAAGTACCTGATCCAACTCATTATTTATCTTCGCCTTCTCATCGACCTTAACTGCCATCCTGAAAATGAATAGTTACAGAAACGGAGACTAAATCGAGAGCTCTAACTTATTCTCCACCGGAACGACTCCGTGAGCCGTCGGCGGTTGCAGTCCTTCGGCCGGTTTTGGTGGAAGCTGGCCCTCAAAATATCCGATATGTTGATGAACATTGCAATAGAAATTCCTACATGTTCCGTTGGGATTCGGGGCAATGGCTGAGGAGGAGGAGCTGCGACCGCTCCTGGAGCTCCAGGAGGAACTTCATGCTTGAAAAACTGTTTTTAATTTTTAAAGCTTCCATCATTTTCTATCAATGTGAGCCCCAATCACAAAAAATGAATCTAAAAATCAAAATAAAGAAATCAGGCAGGTTCGAGCAGTCTTGTCATTTTCCTCCAAAGTCTTTGAAACAGGTAACTGCACTACCTTCGGAAATTTATCACTGGATTGATTGGCGCTGAGGGGCGCCGTGCTCGACGTGCCACATGACGACGACGATGCTTCTTCTAAATCATTTCAAATTTCGATGAATAATCTGGAAATGTCGACTTCTCGCAGAAGAGGATCTCTTCTTGGACCTATGATGACGTCGCGACTTAGATCTTTCGCCAGGACGACTCTTTGGCGTGCTTCGCTTTCTGACGCTCTTCGACTTCGACTTTGAGCTTTTCTTCAAAATTAGTTTGAGGTTTGCTTGAAACTTTGAGGACTTTGGCAGATTTGGCTGGAGGTTTCTTCTTGGAGCAGCAGGAAAGGAAGCCCGGCATGCTCTTGCGAGGTGGCGTTCGGCTTCCCGACTTCTTTTTGCGTCCTCTCTGCAAAAATTCAAAATTTTTCGACAAAAAAAAAATTTTTTAAAAAGTGCAATCGAACTTAAAGAAATTTGATTCCTTTTCTCGTAGAAAATAGTGCGTAAAGAAACATTCTGAAGTTGAAATTATGATCCTTATATCTGTATTCAAATTATATTTTATTATTGATTGACTAGCACGTAAAAAAACCTCCTAAAGGCGCTTCCAGCTTTACTTTAAGCACTAGTGACCTCAATTCAATTTCTAAAATAAAATATTTCCTATTTTAAAATGCCGTACTTTATGTTTCGAAACCGCCTCAATTCGCCTTAGGTAACACAGAAAAACGCCTTCCCGAAATCTTTTCATGCGCCTCAAAACGCTTCAGCACGAAATCAAGATCCTACGAAATCCAATCATCAAGCACAAGAATCCGAAAAGTACAGGAAAATGACTGTATTCGAATTCTCAAACTGTCAAATAGTTATCCAATGAAAAAAGCCCATTTTGAATCAAGTTGAGCTTCGGAATCGCGGAAACCTCCTCGGAAGAACGTTTGACGGCGCCCTTCGACTTTTCCTTGGCCATCGAGTCGAAATGACGTCCGCCCCACTCACGTCTTTCCTGTCCATTTTATTCAATCATTTTATTACCTGTCAAACGTTCTCTTCCAAACCCATTCCTCTGCATGGAATGTCCTGTTTAAAGTACGTTACTGGACCATTGTATCTAGTTTTCCTCAAATATTATAATTGATTGTTCCGAAGAATAGGCATCAATTTGAACATTTCGCTCGTTTTAACATTCCTTCTTATTATTTGTCAAATTCTTGATATTTTCAGACAACTGTCAAACAATATATTAACCGAAGACTTGGAAAAAAGCTTTATAAAGATCTCAAGGCGAAGAGCCGTTTTCAGTGATATTTCAAGAACTCTAGAGTATTTTCAAGCATCATGCAGCCTATTTTTTCAATTTATAAATCCATTTAGAATTTTGAAACCAAAAAATCCTCAAAAAAAAAAATAAAATTCCAGTTCATTTTCATCTGAAAAATTGAGTGAGAATCCCAAAGTCGTCTCTTTGTTACCTAACCTTTAATGACAAACTTGTGAAGTTTGTTCTCGACAGAGAAAAGAAGCTTATTCCCAGAAGCTATTATCACCAACACCATCATCATCATCATCCGAATACGAAAACCAACCACACCCACTTTTTTCCTCCTCCTCTTCTTTTTCTTTTCCTTCTGTAAAGGAACATCTTGCCGCCTTCTGAATAATTTACCCCCTCTTTTCACTTCTTGTGTGTTGTTGATCGGAAAGAACGCGTTTCAACTCGATTTGGTTACCGGCAAGGTCGGCTTTCTTTTTTCTTGGTCTTCCTTGATTTCTCGCCCGATCCCAACTTGATTATCTTCCCTTCTTTTACTTTAAACTTTCGCAGAACCTCGGATGGCTTCCACTTTCTCTTTATATTGTTATGATATGTTGCGAAAATCCTTGCGTCTTTTTTCGAAGTGAAGAGAAACTTTCTTTTCATTTTATTGAGATTATTTATATTTTCTTCAAAATTCTCATTGTGAGAAACCTTTTAAACACACAACTATCGCAAAATCTTTTTTGATATTTCTGAAGTTCAAAAGTCTATTTTCTTCTCATTTTTCGATATAGAGCATGTGGAATAACGATTGAAACCGGAAAAGAACTTGAAAAACTTCAATCAACCCCACAGAAAATCATCCATCGATGAGGTTACTAGAATTGTAAGTTCGCAACCATCCCTTGAAAAGTCCCGTTAAAAAATAAGGAATAAAATGCAAGCTTGAATTTTGATAAATCTCCATTTTTCCTGCTTTCACTGCATAACCTTCGCTTTTCATGTCTTTAGACGGTGAACGTCTTCAGAAACGTCATGGGTTCCTAAAAATAAACCAAAAAAGTCCACATTAGCATACGACCTTCCCCAATTCGCATCATTTTCTGCATTTTCTCGATTCTCACAAGGTTCAGGTAATGTTGGTGATCATTTGGTTGCTGATCAATTTTTGCGCCTGTCAATATCTCGAGAAACCGCTGAGCAGCGCCGTTGTTCAAGATGTCCAGGAGGTTTGGCCCGATGTGAGGACTGCATTTTATTTTTTCGAAAAAAAAACTGTGAATTTTACAGAAATCAGTAGAAAGAGCAACATTACCACCATCTATAATGAGCGGCTACATTTCCGATTCCATGATTCGATCATTTGCAAGTTTGTTTTTAACTTTACTTTGTGGGAGAATAAACCTAAGATTGATAAAAATGTGACCCGTGGGAGAAAACCGCAAGAGCTGGAAATGGGAGTTTCAAGACTAATTTTTGAAAAAAAAAGTCAAGTAAAATATCTGATTCAAATTGAACTGAAACCCTTATCTTCATCATTTTTCTTGAAACTTTTTTCTTTTTTTTTTCATATGCGGTTTTTCTTGCTCAAAATTGTAAGCAGATTTCAAGTGTAAGACTGCTTTTACTGAGAAATAACAATTCAAGTTTGTAACTGAGGATTCTTCTTTTCTCCCCCTTTTAAATAACTTTAAATGGCCGAGCTAGTTTATCACTAGAGAAAGGTGAACCCCTAGGTGAAATAAAGTGATCACTTAAGTGGCCTGCCTAATCTTCGAACCAATGTGGTAACAACATTACAGACTACATATTCTCACTTCTTGACGGCACCGGGACGGTGATAAAGAAGAAGCGCGTGAAGGCGACGTCTTCAACCTTCGAAGACTATTCCGACGCCGTCCTCAAAATGGAGCCGGAGACGGTCTTCGTACCTGAGTTGAATATCAGAAGGAAACCGTCGAAAGGCCCACTTGTCTTTGGCGAAGTCTTCCGGAAGACCAAATCGTGGGGCGTTTCGAGGAAAAAGCTTCCGAGAGGCATGTCCCACGCCAAGCCGATGCCTCCTCCACTTTCGAGAGTCCGGATCCGTGGCACCAATAACGCGCCTCATGATTTCTTAATTTCATCACTTCTGTTAGGAAAATTGACTGAAAACACTGTTAATTAATGATTTTTATCATGATGTAGTTTGTTGAGATTTTGAGCTTCGAGTCGTCGCTCAAGCTCTGCCTCTAATGGTTCGATAAATAATTCAGAATACAAGCCATCTACAGAGCTTTTGCGAATGACGACATTTTACTTGACAATTAAAATCTGAACAGACTAGACTTGATTTGATTCAGAACAGCTTGCTTGGTTGTTTGAAGGGGCATATACAAATTTCATTTAGGTCTCACGGCGAAGCCACCAGCTTGCCAGAAAAAATTCGACTTCTTTGAACTTTGGTTGGTTTCGAAACAAGTCATTACGCCTTGAAACAATTAAGCAAGGTATTGTAAAACGACTGAAAGTTTTTAAAATCAGAAGAAAAATTCAACCAACTTCGCAAAACGTCTTCATCAAGACCTCGCTTTTCCTGAGAAACCACCCACATGACCCATTTCCACTAATTACAGGTACATTAAACCAATTCGAAAAAGACAATTCACCAAAAGAAAAAAATGACCTCTCGAAAAAATTTATTGTCACATATTCTTCACTGTTTCTATTGCGAAATAGAAAACTAAAATGAAATCAGCTAACCAGAAACCTTTTATCTGTAATGGAGGAGCTGGATACATTTCATTCTTTTCTTTTATTGCAATTGTGTGCGGTTGCTCCCTCTGTGGAGCTCGCCTTTTTATTGCCGTTTTATTTCGTTTTTCTTCTATATGTATATAGTTGGTTTAATTACCCAAGTTTGAGGTGATAAATATTGCTCTCTACGTTTTCTGTCGTTTCTCGTGAAAGAAAGAAGAAGGACGGAGAGTGCATTACATGGTTACTTATTTACCTATATGGACACAATAAAAACATTTATATACAAAAAGATCAACAATTGTACAGTTTTTGAAAGAAAAAAAAAACAAATTTCAATTTTAGGCCGTCGCATTTTCAATCATTTGCTTCATTTCGGCGAGGCTTTCCGTCAAGTGCTTCAAAAAGCGGTTGGGGTCCTGAAAAAAGTCATTTTAACAATTATCTAGTGTATTTTTGATGAAACCGTGTTAGGAAGAGATTTCCAAGAAGTAATATGGAAACTGAGGCGATCACCCGTGGTAGCAATGGTATAACAGACACCTCAAAAAGTTCAGTTCAACAACTTTTTGATATTTTTCATACCGTATTTAGATCCATCTGGGCAGGAGAAGCCACCAGCTGGCCAAAACAAATTCGATTCCTTATTCAGCGCCTTCGCATACTCAACCATTTGATGTTGAGGGGTCTGAAAACCCCGAATTTTTTTTTTCACAACATTTAAGTACCTGACTGGTCGACAAAGCATAGTTCATACTGAAAACGTTGTCCAAAAAGGGGGAGGAAATCTGGTAGTACTTGGAGACGACGTACATTGCAAAAAGATGTCGATCCACACCTCTGAAGCAAGAAGAATGAGTCAGCAAAAAGGCAAAAAGAGAAGTAGGTCCTAGCCGGGATCGAACCGGCGATCTTCTGCGTGTAAAGCAGACGTGATAACCACTACACCATAGGACCACGTGTGAGCAAGAGGGCGCAGGGCGGTTAGGCGCGTCTCGCCCAAAGAGTGCAACACTTACTTGCCAGCCATCGCGTTTCGATAGTAGTCTTGGTGGTGGTCGCATGCGATTTTCAGCTTTTCCAGCTTGGTTTTGTCCTAAAAATTTTTGAAATCTCATGCAAAAAGGGAAAACAGGCACATTTTCGATATTTTTGATATGTTATAATAATTATTCAAAAGTAGATTTTCATAACTTTTTTTGCAGTTTAAAGAAATAGTTCCGCCGAAAAATTCACAGTCGATTATTGCTAATTGAAGTTGAATATTTTTCAAAGGAAATTATTGGAAAAATTATTTACAGAGCAAAACTGGATAATTCAACGCCGATTAGGTCTTTTTGAACATTTTTTTTTTCGTAACCAGCCCCATTTCTTTGAAAACTCACATCAACATTCTTCTCCAACATAGTTCTCACGAAATCGCAAGATTTCGCGGAGCAGGATCTGACCGTCTCCGTTCTTCCATCCTTGAAGAGCCTCATAACAGCCGGTTCATAAGTCAGTTCGAATTTGCCTTGGTCCTGGAAAAATTTCAAAACTCTTCCTGTACCTGTATTTTATTTGAATTTCTACGTTTTGAAATACTGAAGAATGGCTGAACTAATCGCGGTAGTCTTGAAATGCAATTGAGACTAAATAGCGCGCGGAGGCGTTCTCAAGCCGAGTAGAAAGGAAAGCCGTTTGAAGTCGGGTGCAGCGCTATGGCTGGACAAAAAAGAAAGAAGCAAATAAGAATGTTCCAAGCTATGGGGAACACAATAAAAACTAGTTTCACCTTGAAATAAGCCATCTGGATGACCATCTGAATGTAGGCGTCCGGCGAGACTTTGGCCTTTTTCATGAAATCCTTGCCATAGCCCGAAAAAACCAAATTGGCGTTGCAGAAGTCGTCGGCGACTTTCTTGGAGAACGTGTACGCTTCATCGATGGCTCCCAAGGTCTAAATTCGAAAATTTGCAATTTCCATCAGGAATCAAATGAAAACCTCATCATCAAACTCCCAACAAAGACGTTCAGGCTTCGGCACGACTTCGACCTTGAGACCAAAAAATTATTTTTTAAAACTATTATCTCTCCTCACATCGCCAATGCAATGTCCATCAGGTCCATAGGGATGATCAAACTGTTCGTGATATTTGATATATTCTCGGACTTGGACGAAAATCATGGCGTCGCAGACCGAGTGCTCAGCGTTCGAAGAGAACTGGAACCAAAAATCATGAAGAAGGGCAGATTTCGTCTATTTTCCACTTTGGGTTGGGTCATATCTTTTTTTTCTCTACCTCTCAATTTTCGAGAAAAGATGATCAAAAAAAGCTGCAACAATAGCCTTTTTGTGCGCTTTCCTACTATCTTACAAGAAATTAGGTAGAAGAAACTAATCACCTAGAAAAACGTTTTTCGCACATTTTTTCAAGGTTAACTCCTCCTTCTGGATTAGATAATTTCTATACTTGCCCACATGCTTTCACCAATCAGTAATTTTGTGAACTGCTTGTTTTTTGACCTTTTTGCGTCAAGCCAACACCTACCCGTCCATTCTTGCTGAAGAAGTAGACACTGGGCTTGTCGCACCAGAGAAGATGTCCGTCGCCAGTCAGAGCTCTCTCGTACTCCCGTCCATACTTGGACGAGTCCTGCTCGTCGAAAAAGCGTTCCTCGTCGTCCAAGAAGATGACCTCCAGGGCCGACTCGATGAACGACAGCGACTCGTGGTTGACGCCGTCGACGAACTTCTCACGCCGGATCCGTGCCCAGAGGTCTCTCGGTCCTGACGTCATCGAGCTGAGGTACTTTTCGCCAGGCTGAGTCGTGTGTTCGCTGTCGATGATCAGCTGCAGGGATCTGAAACAAGGGTTTTTTGGGGAATTCCGGTCTTGATAGTAGAATTTTCAGTAAAAGATACTATGAAATGTAGAGTGTGAAAAAAAGCCGCCTCTTACCGTTCGAGTTCGCAAGGGCGCAAGAGCCGTCTTCCGTGGATAATGTTGACCTTGTACCAGCAGCCTTTGTGGTAGACGGCGATGTGCTTGGCATCGGGCAGTCGGATCATTTTGTCTAAAATTTCGGATCAATAAAAGTTTCTGATAAAGGAAAACCGACCGCTGACTTCATTGGGGACGCGCAAAGTCCTGTGGTAGTCGATGTACTGCTGAGCACACAACGGGATTCCGCCAAGTGATACCTTAAGAGGACTAGGTCAACTTTGTCTGTCCCAGGAACCAACCGGCTTCATAGTGCCCTTGGTGAAGATATCCTGGCAGAAGTGCTGTCGGAGCAGAGTGACGTAGGCGGCTCTGGCGGCCTGGACGCTCGTCGTCTTCTGGTAGATGACGTCAGCGCAGCCGACGTTGGTCCGGATGAGCGAGTCCCGGTATCTCATGTAAACCACCTCTTTCCACCAATCGGAGAGCTGAAAAGCTTTGGGTTTCGATCGATAATTCGTTAGTCGCCTGTATCCCCTCAATATCTCTGAAGAGAGCTCAGAGAAAGTTTCAAATTGCCTTAATTAATGAGAATAATTTCCTTTGACTGTCTGCACTCTCTCTCTCTCTGGAGGGTAGAGAAGATCAGAAAAGAAAAAACGAACATAATTTCTCGACATGAACCACTTCATCCAGAGCTTGGTCTGAAGTCCGCTGGCCACCGTGGATTCGAACTCTTTGGCTTGAAGGACCATCTCCTCGTACTTTTCGTCGTCCAGGATTGGCCGGACCGTTTCCAGATACTGGAGATCAAGGATTACCGTTAAATAATACTTTTTTGAAGCAAGTACCTTGCTGACCGTGGTGGAGACTTTTGGGGGCATCATCCACGGCATCATTCCTTGGAAGGAGAAGAACTTGGCTCGTTTCGACAGAAGTGTTAGGATGACCTGAAAGGTCTTGAGTTTTTTGAAAAATTTGAAAAAGCTTATAAACGTCTACTAATACATTCAAGTTGAAAACTGGGTCTTTTTCGATCAAACAGAAAATTACTTCTTCGATAGCGTTCTGAGGCTTCATGAAAGATTATCTTGGATTAAAAAGTCAATTCGCTTCGATATTCAGTCTCTGCATCTCGAACGGATTTTTGGACACCTTTAAAAAAACTTCAAAAAATTTCAAGAAGCTTTTACAAAGGTCTAATGAACTTCAAAACAACTTATACCAAACAGGGAAGCTATTGAGGTAATGATTGGTTGGAAATTCAGGTTTCTGACTAAAGACAATTTGAATTCAGTTTTTCTTGTTCAAAGCACTTTATTGAGTTTTCAATAGACATTATCATTTTTCAAGCTCAAACGTACCATGAAGATCTTGGTGGGAAGGCTTGGCGGACGGCCAATTTCCTCGAAAAGCCAGCCATTGTAGTAAAGCATCATGGTCAAGGTGATTCGGAACAAAGTCACAGTAATCAGAACAGCCGTCGTGGCGATGGTCAGCACGGAAAGGATGTGGGAAACGACATTTTCCCTGAAGAAATACATGAAATTCAGACACAATTTGGATTTTCACTTACCCAACAACGCTCTTCACGGTCTCAACCCATCCGGAAAGAACCGGCAAAGACAAAAAATCCAGGGCCAGCCAAATGGCCAGGCCGTAGAGAAACTCGTTGACTCTCAGTGGGAAAAGAGCGTTTTCGAAGACTCTCTGGAAAAGTTAGAGCTTCGAGTGATTTTTAAAGATGGAAAATATTTCAGAAGCTCTCCAGTTCCAATTTCAACGTTTTCGTGCATTAGGTTGACTTTTTAGATATTAAAACTTTTCAAAGATTTACCAAGACTCACTGAAATCCTACAGGTCTTAAAATGATCTTTCTTCGTTCTCCAAGCTCCAAAACTTGATTTTTTTTTCTGAGTTTCAACTATGAAAATTCAAAAAATTTTTCAAGCTCCAGACTTTCTATTTTCATCTTCTGAGTTCAAAAACCACCAAAACCCACTAGCATTCCTAGATGCTTTAAAATCGCCTAAAAATCGTTTCAATAACTCCAACGTCTTCGAATCGTTCTTAACTGAGTTTTTGACCCTCAAAACCAACCTTGAACTTTTTCACGTTCCTGGAAAAGCCTCGGTTGACGAGCCGATGCCCGTGTGTGGAAACTTTTGTCATCTGAAATAACTGGAGCTCACTTTTTTCAGAAATAGAAACACTTAAACACAAAAAACTAGAATTCTGGAAAAATGAAAAAAATGGGAAAAGGAAGTGATAAAATCATTGAATGTAGAAGTATACGTGGCTTCACGCGGAAAATTTTCAAGAAGAAAAAGAACGTCAACTTCTTTTCGTTTCCTTCCAAACAATATCTCATTTTTCGAAAAAGATTTCAATACTGGATCGATTTAAAAGTGAGAAGAAGTTTTTCACTTTCCCACGAAGTGAAGACTATTTTATAATCGAATCTTTCTTCTCTTTCCTCCGTAAGAAGGAAATAATCAAAAAAACAGGAACGCGTCGAGTTTTTTTATCTAGCCAACAGATACGGTACTTCCATGTAAACAAGCTTTGAGGAGAATAAATATTTTAGAAATCAAAAAAATTAGAGCGAAATGGATCAAAAAAATCTGATAAAAAAATTTAAGTTTTGGGAGTCTATATCTTCACTCGGAAAAACTGAAGGAGGTTGAGCTAAGATTTGAGTATCCCTGAAACATTTCCAAAAAAATGTGCTACTGAAAATTATAAAAATAAAAAAATAAAAAAATCTTAATGGCAATAATGCTGTTTGAAAAGTTTAGAGAAAGAAATCTACAACTTCAGATTTGGTATGGCTTTTTGAAAGATCTGACCGAAGAGATATTTAAATGTCAAACAAATACAAAAACCTTCGAGAAAATGAAAGTGAGACTTTAAAAAAGAATATTTGGAAAGACAAGTCTAAAATCTGGCGGTTGAAATCGCAGCCAGAAAGCTAGCAAGCCTCAGTCCTAAAGAACAAAATCGTAACTTAGAAGTCCAGAGGGAAAAACGAGCTCTTAAAAATAACAACACCTTTAAAGCTTCAAAACGAAGACATCTAAGAACATAGGAACCAGAACTTTCGTAGATGATCGGCACCACCAAGGAGTGTCTCTTCTTAGGAGTCTAGGTTCAAAACGATCTGCGGCCCTATTACCACCCAAGAAATTCCCTAACAGTCCTAAACAGAGCTACCGTAGCCAAGAGAGGCGATGCCGAAAAGTGCAGACGGAACGAATGTCGAGGACAACCGAAGCGAGGGCTTCCGAGGAGACTCCGAGGGGCGTCGGCAACGAGAATCTGGTCGACTCTCCTCTTTAGACCCGCTCTCTCGTCGCCCGGGGTCGAAGTCCGATCGGCAGACACGCCAGAGTCGGCTCCGCCCATTTTGGGTAGGCATCCAGAGTGTTCGCTTTTTTGTTCGTGGTTTGAGCTTCTCGTGGTTTTTTGAAAGGAGTGTTTAGAGTTTGATCTTTTCGAAAAATGAAAAATCTCACCGGAATTCAAATTTTGTCTCATTTTGTAGACTGCAAGAAGACGAAGACGTTGGGTAGGTCTGTAAAATGACTGAAAAGTTCATAGTTTGAACTGTTGGACGTTAATCTTATCCCTTTTCAGACCGTCAGCCTTTTTAAACTTGAAATTCAAGTTTCAAATTTTCAAGATTTTCAGCCTAACCAGATAACCTTCAAATTCCTTACAAAGGCCGTTTTTGAAATTCACTTGACTGAATGGGATTTCGATTTGAGTTTCAATAAAGTACAAGTATTTGGAGTGAATTAATTTTTTTATATAATTCCAAAAATAAAAATATTCGTTCCAATAAGTCACAAGCTTGGACTGGAATCTGAAAAAAATCGTCTTCTTTCTTTTTTTCGAAAAAAATTCAAGTAGTACTTCGCGACTGTATTTTTTTTCAGAACTTTTATTTAAAATCCTTCGAAAAACGTCAAAATTTCAGACTTTTTAGAAGTTTTCTCAAAAGTTCGAAGTGGGAAAAATGTTTCAAAAACTTCAGAAATAAAAGGAGCTAAAAATCCGATTGCTGTAAGACTGTAGCGGTAAAATAGCTAATGAACTTTTTTATTCGAAAAATTCCTTTGAAAAAGTAACTCAACACTTTGTAAAAAAAAAGGTTTTTGATCTTTAATTCTCAAAATTTATAATTTTGGTCTAAAATCGAAGGACTGGTGTTTTAAATTCGATTTCTTGAAAATAAACCAGATTTTAAGAGGCTCTTTGAATGATAACTAAAAAACTGTTTTTGAGCCATTCCAATTGCGGCCACAAACTTCCAAGCTCAGTTAAAAGTTCTCTAGACAGTTTTCTTCAGTTTCTGAATCTTTTCAAGATCTTATAGGTTTAAATAAAGATTGTATTACATCAAAATCAAGAACTGATTTTTCAACCTTTCCGGAACGTTCCAAAGGGAAAGTTTCTCTTCGAGTCTGATATGATAAAACTACCGTAGGCCTTGCTATTTTTTTATCTAAAAAATCAGTTTCGACGACGGAACAGAGGGACCTTTCGACTTTGTTGTTTGCTACGTGAGTGGCATGCCTGTTCTCCTGGTCTCCCAAAGAAAATTCCAATAAACAATTGCGAAAATCTTGCAAAATAATTGAAGATTTGAAAGAATGTGGAAAGCAGTTCTGCAGTAAAAAGCTGAGGAACAAATTTTTCGAAGTGGAAGCTTTGGAACTTTTTTTCCGTGTTGAGTTGTTTCAAGCTAATTTTCTGAGTTACGGTTCTCAGAAAGCTAAAAAATTCGCCTCAAAAAAAAAGAACAAGGTTTTTTTGAGACTTCGAATGCCTCAGAAACGGGATGATTTGCATGATAACATGTAAAATTCACGGGGCCTGATTCGGTTCATTTTGGTTCAAATTTCAAGATTCATCAAACACGTGAGAACTTTATAACGTCAAAAAAATTTTTATAAATTGTTTATGGAGAAAAAAAGAATAACATTGACCTTAGCTTCTCTAACAACTGGTCAAATATTGAAGTCCCGATATAAAATCTCCAGGAGGGCTTCTGAAACTTTACCGATCGCAAAAATTTTTTTCTTCTGAAAAATGTTCACTTTAAATAGCTTTTTGCGCAACTTCTTTGATATTTCAAATCTATTATTTTAAAAATTAGTCCTTTTTCCAGAGTTTCAGATGGGATCAACGCCCGTACGGGAAAATTTTTTTTACACAATTAGTATGTATTTTTGAATACTCAAATGTTTTTTAATTGATATATTCCACTTGGAAATCTTTCGATTCTCAATTTGCAAGCTCGTTTGCAAGTGTTTACCCTCAAAAAAAGAAGGGAGAAAACAGAGACATACCATTATTGTGTCAGATGATCCAACGCATCAGGTCGAAAGGGCGAAGGTCCGGCCGACCTTCGGACTTTTCGACGGGAGACCGCGTGGTGATAGTCCCTTATCGTCTGCACTTCTTGTCTTTTCCTGTTGGAATCGCTCCAAGCTACTTCTTTTCTTTCCTCCTCAGTTTCAAAGCAAACAAAGAGACGCAATCGCTTGGTCCAGTCGAAAATCACGCTTTCTAGGTTCTGAAACTGAGAAAATTCCAGAAAATGAAAGAAATTTGGTTCGATAACGGTGTCTGAGGGGTTTCCACAGGCCCTGTCTTCCAATAAAAAATCAAAGTAGTTACTTGAAAAAGGTTCAAGTTGAAGTAATCACTCAAGAACTTTTGTGTTCTTTAAGAGCTTATTTAGGAGTCTCAACACAATTTGAGAAACTTTCTAGAAAGAAATCAAGAAAAAAAGTTTTTAAATAATAATTTTTAACTCAATTGACATGTTTTGAAAATTTGATCGAGAAAAAATTATTCTGAAATCCATTAGAAAAATCATAAAGAGCATCAATTGTCCCTGACAAAATCGGAAAATCACCTTTTTTATCGTTCCCAAATCTAATTTTCAACCTGAACCCAGTTTGATACTTTTTTCACAAGTACGTTTCTCAAGCGAAATTCATAACTTCAATACGATTTCACTGCAAAATTTACAAAAAAAGTGTCTTTTATAGCTGCTTCTCGTTTGGCAAATGGATATATAGCACAAAAAAAAACAGAAGACACAAGAGTAGTCGAAATAATTTTACAACCGGATTTTCAAAGATTATACAAAAACGAAAATACAAAAAAATTATACAGATATAACGATATATAGTATAACTTGGGGCTGATAACAGAGAAACATAAATAAATGCAGATAAAAACCCGTGGGCTTCGAAATTCAAAGGGAAGAAACACACAAGGCGAGGTATAATTCATGAAGAAACGGCAAAAGAAAAGTGAGTTTGAGAGATAATGGTAATGAAAGGAATGAGGAAGAGAATCAGAGAGTAGCAGGGACGGTAGCTGGAGCAGCTGGACTTGGAGCTGGAGCATCTACGGCTTGAGTCTTGGGCGAGAGCGGCTGAGCTTCGTTTCTGCGTTCGGCTCGTTTTCCTTGAAAAAAATGGCTCGTTAGAACTCTGGATGAGTGATTTTCAAGCTCCACAAAGGACGTCATTCGGCTAAAAACTTATAATTTGTTCTTTTTGTGCTTTTTAATCTTCCTCATGCGATATCAAAAAATTGCTGACTGAAGATCTCAAATTTTTTTCTAACCACGGAATGTTGAGTTCACGGTGTGACTTTTAAATGAGACTAAGTTTGCTAGATGCAGTTTTTCACCCTGATTCCAAGTCTGGTATCGAAAACTGCCCTCGAGTTCTGTGAAAAAAGTTAGGGGCTCTCAAACTTTGGAAATTTCAGTGTCTCCGACGGAGCTCATTTTTAAAGGATTGATAGCCCTTGTTCGCGAAAAAACTTCGACACGTTTCAAAATAAAAAGTTCAGATGAATTAGAAGAGTATTTACTTTCACGCTCGCGTTCCTGTCTCTTCCGATGTCCTCGGTCGATTTTCGCGCAAGCCGCCTTGAGCTCGTAATATCGATCCCGGATCGTCATGCAGTACTGCTCGTAGGCGTCCAGAAGGAGCTCGTTGGGCGTCTCGATCTCGAGTTTGTCGAGGTTCTCCTCGTGTCTCCGACAGACTTCCGCGTAGGTCCCGTCAGCCTCCCACTCTTTGAGCAGTCGCTGGCGGAGGGCCTGATACGAGTCGGTCTTGTCTGAAACTGGACCGAATCATCAATAATTTTCCGATCTCAGAACCAACCAGGACACTCGAAATCGCTGTCGTCATCTCTCTGTTTTTCCTCGGCCTTCGGCTTGGATTTCTGGTACTTCTTCTCCACGACCATTGCACTGTGGCGGTTGTGTGATGCGCTAGAAAAAGGGCAGAAATGAACTTTTGAAGGTTCATTGAAAATCAACATTTTTAAAACTTCGAGGGTATTCCTGGGCTTTTTTTTGATTATCTGGAAGCTTTTTTTCTGAAATAAACCTCACAAAAACTAAATTCTAAAAGGCTCGTTTCAGACGTCAAAATTTGAACAAGCAAGAAATAAGAATGAAAACTGCTAGTCAGGAATTCGGACAACAGAAAAAACTGTTTACTGAATCATTTTCTCACGTTTGTCTTCCCATAGTTGAAAGCTTTTTGGTTTTTTTGATGCCCTAATTCTATTAAAATCGTTTAAACGGAATGTTTTTGAAATATTCTGAATCACTTTCTATTTTGCATCAATCGTTTCGATTCAGCAAATTTTTGCCTGTTGTTTTCAATTTCCTAGAAAAATTCAAAGTTGACCGATATTTTTTTATGATCTTCTCAAGTTCTCTCAAGTCTAAATGAAGTTTCAATGAACAAAATCGATTGATTCCAAACTTGCACTAGTAAAAAAAAAACAGACTCATATAGAGGTTTCTCAATCTATTTCATCCCCAAACAGACTTCAAATCTTATCGATTCCACACAAATTCTTTCGGAAAATCAACAAACCGTTTCCGTTTTCCAGAGCCTCTCAGGTATCGCCCAGGCGCCACCGACCGTCGTTCTTCCTCATTGGCAGGCGTCGATTCGGCAATTTTTTCGTTTTCTGAAAAAAACAAACTATATTAAACAAATCGATGCTTTTTCACCTTCTCCATCCGTCCTCTGCGGCGTCTCCGAGCCCGACGCGACATCAGAATCTTCGAAAATGGTCGCCTCACACACTCGTTTTGCTTCTAAAATGCGATCTCAAGTCAGAAAAGTCCATCAGTCGCAGGGTCGCAAACCCTTTTCGAGCTCCAATTCGCGTTCTTCCTCGTCGTCGGCGTCGGCATCGGCGTCATCGGAAGAGCTCTCCTTGACGTCTTTGGCGACGCGCGACTGGGCGCGGGTCTTCCTTCGGTCGCTTCTTTCCAAAGTCGCCGGGGTCGTCGTCGTCGTCGTCGTCGGTGTCAGTTGTCGCGGAGGTAGAATCGCTGGAAAAATTACTCTTCCTTTTCTTAAAAGTGCAGATTGACTTTTGAATTAAAACCGTTTTTTTTTCTTCTTTTTTTTCGACGTCTAGGTTTTCATGATTTTTCTGATTTAGAAGCCACAGTTGAGGCCTGTTCTTTTGTATAGTTTAGAAAAACTAAAAGTTTGATTTCTAAAGGTTTTTTTCAATAATATGTTTGTTTTAATTCCCGCACATTTCTTGGCTTTTTTTCGGTGGAGACGGTCTACTTTCGGCAACTGTCGATTTTTCTTTCCTCCTTCGGTTCCGACTTTTTGATCTCCTCATCATCATCCACAAACTCGTACTCTGAATATTGTAATAATTATACTATATTTTTTTCTTTACTGGAGCCCTACCATCTTTCTTGACGACTTCAGGCTCTGGTGGGGGTTTCGCCACGTCTTTCTCGTGCTTTTTCTTGGGCTCAGAAACGCTCTTGGTTTCTGAGACAGCCTAAAAATTATTTGCTAAGGCTGAGAGAGATATTTTTTGTAATAATCATGAAAATTAATTTTTGATAAATTTTTGTCTTATTTGAATAACTGCAAGCTTTCCGTATCTTCAAAAAGTTTGAAAATACTAGAACCATTCCCAACGCGACCGAAAAAACTCAAAATCGAGATGAACAAACTATAAAGAGAGAAAAAACCAACGGGCTGAATGACAAGAGCTCCCGACTTGGGCGGCGTCTCAATGGCGGAAACGAAGACATGAGGGTGGATCTTTTTGGGCGACGGGGTCCTGGTTCGGACTTCCTTGACGTCTTCTTTCTGAGCTGCAGGAGACAGGGTCTTTGTGGGCGGAGCTGGGGGAGAGGCGATAGAGGCGGGTGTCTTGCGGATGACCGTGGCGACGGTGGTGGTGGTGGTAGTCGTGGAGAAGTTGACGGATGACGTCACTTCCGTGGCGATCGGGGCGTTGGTCAGGGCGGCGTTGACCGTCGCCGTCACTGTGGCCGAAGACGTCACGCGGCCGCCTGGAGACCTGATGACGTTCATCGGAGATCTAAAATTTGTACATAATTTCTAGCCCACTTCTTTTTCGAAACCTGGAGCTTCGACCGCGAGAATCGAGACCGACGGCAGCCGCAGCCACGGCTCGGACCGTCAGTTCAGGACTACCCATCTTCTGTATGAAATGCGACGGTAGTTGTCCCGATTTCAGCAATCCGGTCTGCACGGAGGTCTGGAACGATGAAGTAGGAGAAAAGTTGATTCGAAGCTGGCTTTTGAAAATAATGAGCGCAATATTGACATCGATTTCATTCGACGGACTGCTCATGGGCTGTTCGATTCAAAAAATTAAGAATCAATCTCTTCCATTATATTCCTCTCATATCACTCTCTTCAAATATATCTTTTTTCATGATATTGGCGTTCTTATGACGGCCTGGAGCAGAGCTGTAATAGACTCGCAAGTTCACTGGAAAAGAATGAAAAGAGGTGTCTTTCTTTCCGCGCAAGTCACTTCCATACAGCCTAGCAGTGAACCAAAGTTTTCTAATCGACGCCTTTTAGTCACCTGCGGATAGTGAACAAACGAGGAGATCATCGAGTTCTTGGCGGCCGCGACTGGGGTTGCCCGCGACGCCGAAGGCGAAGAAAGGACGATCGTTTTGGTCGACGTCGACGTCGGTGGAGGCAACTCGCTCGGGGTCGGCGTCTTCTGCTTCATCACGGCGGCTGGTGACGTCACCGGCGATACTAGAGGCGTCCCTTGGACGGTCGACTTGTGATCCTTTCGGCTGGTGTCGGCGTTGCTCGAGTCCGACTGCGAGTAGGATATCCGGCGGGATCGGTAGCTCTGAAAAAAGGGAAGCGAATGAAAAAGTTCAAATATGACAGTAAAATATGAAGAAATTGAATCGGAAAATTTCATTAAAAAACAAAATTAACCCTTAACTTCAAGTAAGCGCATTTTTTGGTATGCAAAGATCAAACGCTTCAAATCTTGCAAGCGAATGGGATTTAACAGTAATCAATTAGGCAAATAAATATCACAGCAGCTTTCTGGATAGCTCGAAGGTGCAGAAGTTAGACCTCGGTTCTTCGTTGCAAGACCTTTGAAAAACAATCGCGAAATAAAAAATCGTGTGATTCGAGTCTCTCAACTATAGTACTCAAGTTGTCCTGCATTCTTACAGTGCTTGGAGCAGCCTCTTCGCCGGCCGACGCCATTTCGTCATCCGAGAGGCCCAGAGCCGATGATTGAGCCGCCTGGGATGGCGGTCTTTTGGCGAGGGCGTGAGGCTCGAGCCAACGCTGTACAGTGCTCAGCCGTTCGTCAGTCCAATAGTTGCGATCCAGCAAAGTTTTGAGCTTCTCCATCGACAGGTTCTTGTCCTGGGAGGCAGAAAAATTTTAGCTGATCTTCTCTGAATGGCTTTTTCAATGAACATGAGTTACCATGAAGCTCTAAATCTTCGAAATCTAGAAAGGCTGACCAAAAGGAGAGAGCTCAGAGAAAAAAGTCTGCCTCCGCATTTTCGAAGATTTTTGAAGCTTCGTGTTTTGAAAGTTCAGAAATAGGGTCGAAAATTGAAGCAAGTCCATAGCCACACCTCAAGTGGTCACTTAGCAACTTCAAAAAAACTTTTTGCCGCCGCTTAAGAAGCCACTTCAGCTTTTTTGAACACTCGTTTTACCTTGTCGCTGACGCGGATTTTGCTCAATGGGATCCACTCGTCGTAGCGCGAGTTCCAGCCCAGATAATGAACGTAGAGCTCGACCTGGGAGGATATCTTCTGCAGCTGCGCCAGCGGCTCAGGCGGAACTGATTGAGACTGGAAAAAGTAGCAAAAATCAGTTTCGACTTGTTTTTCAAGCTAACCGCCGCGGGGAACTTGTTCATGACGGCCGCAATTTCCTCGGTACTCGCTTTTCGGAACTCTACAAGCCGGGCGTCGTACCATCGGTCGGTGTGCATTGCTCGTACTTTTTGTCCGAGGAAAAAGTGGGAGAAGCTAAAAAAAAAATATAATTTTGCGACAAAATTCTGTTAGGACTGAGGTTGAAGGTTGCAACTTTGTTTATAATATGATATTCTATATAATATTCCGAGAAATCCTAGTCTTGATTTATAAGAAATCATATATGAATTTAATGAGCGTTTTGAAAAATTTTCCTTAAGGGCTAAACAGTATATTGTTTCAAAGAAACGCTGATTTTCTCAGAAAAAAATTAAGAGGATTGGTATGAAATCGCTATGAAGAACCTATAGGACTCAAATGAAGATCACAAATTAAAAAAATTAAAGTTTCGTTTTTTTGAACTCTAGAAAATCCCCTTTTTTTCCTGCAAAGTACCCATTTTTTTCCACCCAGTTCCATCCAATTACAAGCCAAAAAACGAACAGATGAGCCGGACAACAACTGTCATCCGTATTAGAAACGGCGATATCCCCATCGGAAGGTCCATTGGTCGTCCTTCTTTCGCTCTTTTCCCGAATCGAAATCTTTCTTTTCTCCTTCCGTTTTTTGGCTGAAAATGGGATCAGTATGAAATTCGTCTGATTTCTCTGTACCATCCGGCTCGGCATCACTCGACTCTTCGTTCTTCTCTTTTTCCTTCTCTTTCCTACTTTCCGACAAAGTATGTCGTCGCTCTCTTTTCTCCTAAAGTTCATAACTCTCCTTTCAATTTCCTTTACAGAAGGCTATAATTTTCCTTAAGGCGCTCTCTCCGTTTTTTTTTTCTTCAACTACTATAAAATCACGGCTAAATGTCTTTCTCAGCTGTTTGCGGTTTTCAAAAAATTTCTTGTAATAAAAAAGCAATGGTTTGTTGCTAAAACCGTAGGAACTTTGTAGATCGAGAAGCCTTGACAAAAAATCACTCGCCTTATTTTTGTTTTCTCGAATCTATTATGGTTCAAACTCCATGGAATAAACCGTCTTTCAAGTGTTAAGGAATTCAGTTGATAAAAATCGGGAAAATAAGGAGGGATTTTTTTTTTTTCAAAAAAATCAAAATAGGATTTTCAAATTTCTCGGAAAACTCAAAAAAAAAAGCCTTTCAAACAAGACAGAAAACCTTGTTTTAATTGTAATCAAAACCCCTCACTTTAGGTATGGCCGCCGCATCGCTATGCCGTTTCTTCGACTCGACGGGAGCTTCAGAATCGTTTGTTTTCCTCTCATCCGATTTCAGAGGGGGAGAATGGATGGAATAACGACGGCTGCTCCCGGGCAACTGTTCATCTACTTCTGGAACCTTATCAGGAACCGACGCTGGCGGATCCGCGGGCGGTACAGAAGAAGAGGATGGTGTTTCACTGGAACAGAGGAACCCGATACTCAACCATGAAGTGAAAGCGAAATTTCTTCTAAGAACCACTCAAGAGACAATATATTCCTTAAAACCTTCAAAAAAAAACTCTTTCAGTTTTTGCTCTTTCGACACCTTCTGAGTTTCTAAGAGAATACTTCCAAAAAAAGTTGAAATGAATACTTTTCGAAATCGGAGCTTTTTCAGCCTTATCAGAGTTCTAAAACCTATGAGAGTTTTCCTAACTTTCACTGAATGTGAGGATAACGTATTCTTCGTAAAAAAAAATCAAATAAAGTTTTCAACCCATTTGCTCTTAAAGCACCGATTATTTGAGTTTTCCCGTCTTTTCCTCCAAACCTCCTCTGCTTGGAGCTTCTGACTCCTGTGCTCTCAACCGAGGCGCGTCCGACGTCATCGTCGCCTTTCGACGTCTTCAAGTCCTTCGACGTCTCACCGGCCGTCGATTTTCTTCGTTTGATCTTTAAATTGTCATTATTGCTTCAATTTTGTTGAAAATCAACCTTATTTTTATCCTCACTGATAGCGCCAAATCGTTGGAGCCTTCTTTCGCCCCTCGACGTGGAAATCAAGGCCGGAGGCGTGTCGCCGAAATACTCCTTGCAAAAGTTGGTGTACGGCTCGAGGTACCTGGAAACATACATTCACAAGTTGTCAAAGTGTTATTTCAAAAAAAAAAGTTTTGTGAAGTTCAAAACTTGCCGCAAGACTCTCAAAGAATCTGAATTTTTAAAAACACATATTTCTTTTGTAACATTGGTATTTTTATTTATAGAATAAAGTTTTTAAATTCCAAATTTTGGTCTAAAAGTGGTCAGTACAATGAAAACACAAAAAACCTTCTGAATATTCATACAAAACACTGAAAACTTCGGTACTTTTCTTATCATTTTCTCCCCAAAATCACCTTTGATAGGCCTTTCGGACCGTGACGGGAGTAGCTCCAGGACATCCATCGAGTCCCATTCGGTCCTTGATTTTCCGCCAGTGGCCGTTCTCCGTCACCTTCTTCGCCCCGCCGTAATGATCCACGTATCGTTGGAATTGGTACAAATCGATCTCCTTGCCGCCCAAAATCGGTCCTTTGTTGATTGGAGATGCTGAAAAGAGGATGAGAATTGAATTTATCGTTTTTTCGAGTTTTTCAAACCTCTCTCCTCATGGAATTTGTACAGTTGGGCGATGAAAACATCCCTTTTTTCCAGGGGTTCCTCCTCACTTTCTGACGAAGACGTTGTAGATTCCGACCTCAAAATAGTCTATTTTTTCCTTAAAAACTGTTTTTTTCAAACCAAATAGATCGACCTAGATACAATTATTAATGAATTGATAACGGCTCAGTGTTCATTTCCTCACCTTCAGATCCTTTAAAGCTTACCTGCTTATTAATTAATTTTCTGAATTTTTAAATAGTACCAAAATTATGTACTCGTAAAAATTCTTTAATAATAATTCATGAGGCCGCAATTTTCAAGGTTTAAAATAATGAATTGTTTTTCAAACCAAATACTCACATTTGCCGCTTCTTCTCCTTCTCCTTCTCTTTCTCCCTTTCTTTTTCCTTCTCTTTTTCTTTCTCTTTCGTCTTTTCGTCCTTCTCTCGGTCCACCGTCGTCTTCTCCTTCTGCTTCTCTTTTTCTCTTTCCTTCTCCTTATCTTTCGTCTTGTCTTTTTCCTTCTCTTTCTCTTTGATCTTCTCCTTGTCTCTCTTCTTCTCTTTGTCCTTGTCCTTCTCTCGGTCCTTGTCGGATTCTGATTCTCTAGTCCTCCGTTCTTTTTCCGGCTTTTCCTTCTTTTTCGGGAGCTCCTTGTCCTTTTCTTTCCGTTCCTTCTCCTTTTTGGGAGTTGACTGTATTTCTTCACCGGCGAAAATTTGCTTCTTGTTCCAGCCGTTGGGAAGAGTAGCTGAAATAAAATGATTTAACTATTTTTGGAGTTTTTTTAGTAGGAAAATTGCAGAAAAATGACTTTTTCGAAGTTTCTTTTTCCCTCAAAACTCACAAGACTTCTGGAACTGAATGACGAGCTCGACGGAGATTCGAAGATCCGGCCTCATACTTTCCCAGGTGTCCATGAGGGTCAATGGGAAGTAGTCAAAAGGGACAAGACGACCAGGAGAGAGGCTTAGGCTGCAAAATAAGGTGTATAAAATCGAGATCATCGATGAAATCGAAAGCTTCGATGTAAAGACACATATATTTGAGAAAACTGATGGGTTTACGGTCAGCACAAATGAGGTGGAAAGATCAAAATTAAAATCACTTTTGAAGAAACTAAAACCTCTCTAGGAACTTCATTTCATGTTTTGCGCTCAGGACTTTTCTGGTCATAGGACTTTTATCGAAGAAAACATCTCAAAAGTATCGAATGTTCAGTTATTTTCAAAAGTTGCCGTTTTCTTTGTTTTTGAGTTGTCCTTTCTTGAAAAGTTGGAAGTTGTGGGGGCTGATACATTCAAGAGTATTTCAGCCAAATTTCATGAAATCATCGGGCAAAAGACAACCTTCCTTGTGAGGTTCAAACGAGTCTTCACTTCGTTTTACAAACTCAGTGGATCCAGCAAGTACTGAATTTTCAAGTTCCAAGCTCAAATTCCCGTCTCGAAGATCAAACTACTTACTAGGTGGATCCAGTATTGAAGCGTCGGAGGGTGATCTCGCCCTCGCCGATGGTCAACTTCTTGGGGGCGTTGTCGAGGAAGGCCTTCAAGGACACGACGACGGCCGGATACCAATAAGCCGCCTTGAAGGCTGAGGACACCGACGACGACTGAGGCGAGACGTTCGTGTGGATGTCCCGGACTTTCGCCGCGTACGTTTCGTCGGTGAACGCGCAGACCAACGTCCCGACTTTGTAGCGGATCTGCAACGGGAAGGAAGTTTTTTAATAACGAAAAAAAGGGTTTTATTTAATTCACTTCTGTTGAAATTTTATCAATCTATCTATTCACTCATGATTGATTGAAAAAAACACTTGGTCTCCCCCTCAAGTTTTACTCACCTTGTCCTTCTTTTTGGTCTTCACTTCGCCTTCCTTGTCACTGGGGCCACTTTTCCTGGACTCCTTCTCTTTCCTTTCTTTTTCTTTCTCTTTGGCCTTTTCTTTTTCCTTTTCCTTCTCCTTTTCTTCACTGGAATTCCGGCTCGACTCGTATCCACTCTGTTCAGTATCACCCTGAAACGATCAATAGTTGGAAAATCAATAGGAATCGCTCCAACTTGATCCATTTCCCCTATGGCGACGGTGGCGGCAGAAGCGGCCGCCCGTTTCTCTCGTCGTCTGGTCTCTTTCTCATCCTCACTGCCGTCGTCGTTCTTCCTGCTCTTCTTGCTCGGCGATTCTTCCGTCTTTCGGCGCAGACTGAAGTGAAAAATTATTAGTAAGTATTGAAGCTTAAATTTGAAAAAAAAAAGCTGAATCCAAGATAAAATATGTCATGTTTTAGAAGATATAACCTTTTCCAAATACCTTGCTTGGTTAGTGCGGAAGTCTCAACAAAGTTAAAATAACACTGAGACTTCTTGGCCTTTAGAATTGATGAAAAAGATCCTCTATGCGTTTTTAAAAATCTGAAAGGAATCTCTAAATTTCAAGTTTAGCATTTTTAAAGCAATATTGAACCCCTGAAGAATGATAAAACAAACTAGCCAGAAAGAGTTTATTTTTTTTTTGAAAACATAGCGAAAAGGTTATAATTTACTCAATTCATTCAGACACATGATTTTTTCGGGAATAAACCTTCCAACCTTCATGAAAGTTGCCTAGGAAGCTCAATGATAGTTTTCCCAGTTTCTAAAGAATATGGAACAAAATTTGATTTGCTAGAAAATTCTTTAAAAGACAGATATAACTATTTTTCTCAGGATCCGAAAAATCAGTTATAAAAACGTACAATTTGCGTTTCTTGTCCTTGGATCCGCCGGGCTGGCCCTTGTGGAGAGGGAAGCCGAACTGTTCGGGGTTGTAGAGCGGCAGGGCGTCGAGATTGACCGCCGAGTCGAAATGTTTGGCGCCTTTCAGACACATTTGCGTCCGTCGCAACGTCTTCTCGTCGCCGTCGTTGAACACTGCAATCAATTCGTTTTTTTCGGAAAATAATGACGTTTATCAGTAGGAAAAAGTCTTTTTGAAAGAATTCAAGGAAACAAGAGCGAATAAATTAAGAAAAATGAAAACGAATAACCTCAGTGAGCTTTTGAAAACCCGAAATCTCTTGCACAACATAGAAAAAAAAGGAATTTGTACTCACCGACATGATACTGGCTGCAATCTTTGACGTGTAAAATTTGCGCTTTAATAACTTGCCGATTTTGTGTGATTTCGATGATCTGAAAATGATACGTTCTACTCGTGATATTCGATCCAAAATAATCTGAACTAAAAAGTGTAAATTGAAAAACTCTACACTAAAGCTTTAAAGCCCAATTTCGAGCTTTTCAGTTGTCATAGAAATGACGAGAGAAGCTTGAAGTATCTTATTTTCTATTTTTTTGTTGCAAAAAAATCCTTCTGTTTTTTTAAAAATAAAATTATGAGATAAGAGACGAATTCTCTTCATAAATACGAGTTTCTTTCTTAAAAATCGTCCTTGTAAAATTCGAATTTGAAAGATATATTGAACCGAACTTTAGAGTCTAACACTGAGTTGGGCCATAATGGCTTTTTTCAATCATATAATGGATATTTTCAATAATAATGAAAGAATTTCCAACCTGATTCACTTCCAAAATCGATCCTTTGGCGATATTCGCATCTTCGACCAATGTAGTGCCAAACGGCGATTCCTTCAGAACAACCTGAAAAAATGTATCAAGCTGGCAAGTTATTGGAGAAAAATACCTTGCATCGCACATTTCTCGTCACTTTCTTCACTTTTGCCTCACAAAAAGCGCCTTTGAACTTGGCGCTGACTTCGGTGCCGACCGGCAGGAAGGCCGGATCGTCCGACTGCAAAATAGGAATTTTTTTCAAAAAGAGAAAACCTTTTTGAATGAACCCTTATTTTGGCACAAGTTTGAAGAAAAATATGGTTCTGCGAAATATTTTAATCATGAAAAAAGCTTCTTCTCATTGCATAATTTGAGTCAAACTATATCCAATATATCCTTTTCTATCTTCAAAACTGAAATAAAAACCAACCTGCATGCTAACGAATTAGAATTTCGCGTACGCGGTCATACCCTGAAACACAAACAATAGTAATAAAAATGAGAAGAATCTCTGAACAAATTTTAAAAAAAGACGTGAAATCATGAAAAAGTCTTAAGAAGGCGTGACTGTTAAAAAAACCAAGAAAAAAATTTTTCATACGATTATTAATAAGAGAAACGTTTCAAAATCAAGCAAAAATGATCGAAAACGAAGGTTGTTTTTTTCAATTCGGGAAGATTTTATTCTATTTAGGAAACATGTACCGATTCTTCATTTTCGTCACAAAAAAAAAAAATGAAACAACAGGAAAAAGGAACGAAAAAAACTGATTCAAGATATTTTTTTATCATCAATTTTCTTCAAAAAAACTTGCACCAACTCCGCAACTGATATTTTTTTCTGATCAAAAATAGATCAATAGGTCATTTTCGAGAAACTTTAGACCTACCTTTGTCAAAAATTTTTCTTTATTTTTCTCAAAAAAAAAATTCCCGAAGCAAAGGTAGTTCAAATTAGAAAAACATCTGAAGAATTTCTTAAAAGGGTAAATTTTTTCCTGTCAGCTTTTGAAACCTTTTTAAAACTCTTGTGAAATATAGTTCGAGAGAACCTTTTTTTCTTACATAAATGAAATATATTCAATATAGAAAGAAACACTAATTTTGAACAGAAAATAAACAAACCATCCGCGAAAGACCTCAAGAAATTTAGAAATTTTTTTTCCCGCAATTGCAGGCCTAAAATGCCAATTTATTATAGTCGAAAGAACATATCGACACTAAAAAGTTCAACAACAACAGTGAAAATCCCGTCGAGCACGTAAAACAAGTGAACTTATAATTTAAAACTGCCTGAGGACGCTGAAAACCGAAAAAAGCGAAAATATGTGCGGTAGAGCGTTTTTTCTCCCGGGGCATCGTTTTGAAGCCAAAGATAACCTTCAGACTTAAACTATTGGCGTGAAATTGTATTTTCTTACAAATACAAGTGGAAATCGCAAAGGAATTTATTTCGGAAATAACAAACAATCATCAAAATGATACAACAATCCGAAAAATGAGCAATGTACACAAAAAAAACGATTAAGTTTAGTATTAAAGAGTGAGTGATGAGATCAATTGAAGGAATGGTTAAATACACATTTTAATCAAGTTTTGTTAAATGATCAAATAAGGTTCTAAATATTAGTTCATACAGAAAATGATACGTTGTTGTCGATCCGACATGATGACTCCGTTCGCCGAATATTGGTCGATGCAGTTCTGGAGCGCCTGCTCGCTGATTCCCTTCCGGGCGCATCTAAATTCTCTATTTTATTGAAATCTCTGAGGATCTATCAAAATACAGAAATTTCCAACTTCAGGTTAATTCAATTTTTTCTTCAGTACTTCATCATAAAAATCCGTACAGATAATAATGATTTTAAACAGACAAATGGAAATCGTTTTTTTTTAAAATTCGGTCACCAAAATGCCGCATTTACGATCTCATCAAGGACGAAAATCCCTTTTTTCTGAACTTTTAGTCTCTAAAGTTCACCTCTGCACGGCAGTCTGCAGAGAAATCGGCTCTGATGCTCCCTGATTGTGATAAATCTCACGTAGAACCGCGAACGCAGCATCGATCGGCGACATTTTCCTGGAAAACTCGAATTAACATATTTTTTCGAATAAAATCAACTTTTCGACGCGATTTTGGGACGGTCTGAGCGAGTCCTTGGCGAACTGCATCAGTCGCAGAGCTTCCTCGACGTCGGCCTCGTTAACCGTATCCGCCAAACGTAGCTTGGCACGAGCAGTGGCCATTCTGAAGTTCAATCTTCGTCCCTTTTCAGGTAATTGTTTTTACAAAGCAGATATCGAATTTCTTTCAACACTTCCAGCCCACAAGATTTGCAGGCCGATGAAACAAAAATTTCAAGTTTGTCTGCTCAATTATTACGGTCTCAAATTAACGCTGCGTAAACTTTTATTCGTTCATGGCTTCACGTTTCGCTTGATTCCACAATTAAAGAAGTTTTTTCGAACTGTTTCAGGTGTATAAATACATCAGAAAACTCGAAAAATCATTTTTCTATATTGCTTTCCACGACCTTTGTACATTCGAGGTGATAATTTAACAGTCAAGTTGATAATTTGATAAATTTCATATTTTGGAAGAATCCAGGAACACTTTGAAGACTAAAAAACTATTTGAATTAGGCGAAACTGCTCTTCGCGAAACTTCTCTGCCCAATTTTCGCACCTGATAATGGAGAGAACCATTCGGGGCGACATGAACATGGGATCGGTACTGTGGCGGGCTTCGCGACGCATTTCGACGTAGGCGTCGACAATTCTTCCACACAAAGATGGGTCGATTGTTGGGTTTTTCGTCTGGCACAGTTGGATGTATTCCCTAAAAAAACTTTTTTTATTTTTTTTATTTTTTTAAAAACTCCTTCACCTTCAAGATATTTCAACATAAATCGTAAAGCTCTACTAACATTTAAAAAAAGATGTTTTAGAGACTTAAAAACTTTGGTAAGTAAAAATATACATTTTTTAAAACTAGTTATTCCAGGAATTCTTTGAAAAAAATTATTTTTTTCAAACTTTTTAACTGGAACTTGTTATTTCCAAAATGACTTTCTTTTGCCATTTCAAACCTTAAAGTCTCATCCGAGATGGTCTCCTGCTTTTCTCTGTTTGGATGATGTCCGTGTTGATGGACAAAAGTAATATGTTCGGCAAGAGTTTTGTCATTCTCGCGATCAGCCTTGTCGGGAATCAGAATGATGAAGTCGCATCTGAAAAAGAAATCAATGATAGTATGTGAAAAAATAATATGGTATTCCAGCAGTTGAAAATTTTCTTCTGGCCGTTTTTCACGCATTTTGAACCTCAACAGATTTTTTTTTCAATTTCTTTCTACGGTAACCTCCTTAGAAACAGATAGAAAAATTGTGTTTAAAGTTTTTAAGCCAAGCCAAAAAAAAGAAACTCCTTTTTTTTCATAAATCTAAAGCTACCGATTGACTCTCAGGTACTTGTTATCAATGATACTAAAAAATTTGATCGGAGAATTTTTTAGAAAATTTCAATGTGATCAAGGTGATTCCGCGGAATCCAAAATAACCGTCAGAGTAAAAATTAACTGAAATTCTGCATTCCGCGGAAATCACCCTGAACACGGCAAATTTTCCAATATAACAAAATTTGTACCGAGACAAGAGAGCGGCCGGAAGGTTGACATTTTGTTCGATGGACTTGGAAGGATTGTAGCGCCCGTAGGCCGGGTTGGCCGCCGCCACAATAGCCGTTCTCGCGTTCAAAGTCGTCATGATTCCGGCTTTGGCGATGGATATTGTCTGCTGTTCCATGACCTGAAGAAAGAAATGAAGAAATGGAATCGGAAAGAGGAAAACTTCGTGAATTGCCGTCCGGTCGGCGTCCATCATCTTGTCGAACTCGTCGATGCAGCAGATGCCGCCGTCGGCGAGGACCTGAAGCTCAGAAATTTTGAAAGTTCACTTTTTCGCTCAACAAAAATTTTGCTGGATTTAGCTTTTTGACAATTTAATCTAAGACTTCTCGATCAAATGTAAACATTTTTAATGAGCTTCCGAAGGTTCTCAATTCAAAATATTTCAAACAATATGCCAAAATGGGGAAAAAATACTAGGTTTATTGGAAATGGTTGTTTTTGTTGTTGTGATTTACCTAAAACTTGAAATTTCCGAAAAATCAATATCAAATATTCACCAAAGCGCCTCCTTCCAGAGCCATTTCTCCAGTCAAGGGGTCCTTCATGACGGCCGCCGTCAGACCAACGCCCGAAGATCCTCTTCCGGTAGTGTATTGAGAACGAGGAGAAAGTCTGTGGACATAACTCAGAAGTTGGGATTTCGCCACACCGGGATCTCCCATCAACAGAACGTTGATACGGCCTGAAATTGGATTGTAAAAATATCGTCCGAGATAAACTTCACGTAAAGATAGGAAGGCTGGAAGCTTTCAAGAGTATGAAAAAAAAAATTTCCCAACATTTTGGTTCGCGACCGCCCAAAAAAGGAAAACATCGACTACTTTTTCAGAAAAAAATGAATTTTTTTCAAGTTTTTTGAGCTAAAAAAGGCTTCAAAATACTTTTCTCTGAACTTCGAAAAAAATAGTCGAACCGTCAGCTAGAAGAAAAGTTGGAATTTCCCATTAAAAGATCTACCGTAACCCAGTAAGGGGCGGAGCCTTACAGTAACTAGCCTAAAAGTTTACACACTATGTCTAGTAATTGTGATAATAACTTCATCTAACGGAATTTGAAATTCTTGTACCAACGGTTCATCCTGAATCTGGGAGAATGTGTTTAAAGTTGGAAGTTAGGTTTTATCATTTTTCGGTGGAGGAAAACACAATCGCATCTTTTGATCATATTGTGTAACTCACAAAATTGATCTTAAAAATTCAGTTGACTCTCACTAATGGCTTGAAAAAAACTCAATTATCAGTTAATTTTCAAGATTACCGATGAAAAAATTCACAAATTCGCACAAAACAAGTTCCACCTTTGAATGAATTCTGCGCAAACCCCAACTCGAAAAGTCCAAAATTTCTTATCTATCGATTTTAGGTAATGTTTGAAATTCATTTCTCTGCGTACCTCGAATCTTCATCCCTTCAGAAACGTTGTCGCTGCCTCCAACGAGTGCCAACAAAAGCGCCTTTTTGACATCGACGAGCCCATAAATTTCTGGCGCAATCGACTGGGCCAGAATTTCGTAGCAATCGCCGCGTTTCAGAATTTGAAGCTCCTCCGATTCGATTCCGGCGTACGTAGGGTTCTCGTCCAAATTTACGACATTCTAAGCAAAAATTTAGTTGAAAATTGATCATTTTCTGTTTTAGAATTACATGAGCTTCGAGATAAGTGTCAGCGGTGAGGCCACCGGTTGGCTGGAATCCTGACCGAGCCAGGGGCAGGAAAATCCCGCTCACGCGTACATTGTTTCCAGTATTGCAACGGCGGGTCATCTCGCCGTACAAATGAACGGTGATTTGCCGGGGAATGGACCCCATTGGGACTTGTTCACACTGGAAACATAGGATTATCAATTCACAATTTTCTCTTGAAAAACCAATTCTTGGAGCTTGATCTCTTGGAACTTGATGAACTTCGAGCCTCGGAGTTGCATATGAAGACGGCCGTGAGCTTTCGATTCGACGCAGTCCTTGTTCGGGCAATTTTGCGGCGGAGTGAAGAATGGACCGTTCACCTGCAACATTTTTTTAAATCCTATTTCTTTCTTTGGAATATAACTGAAATTATCAATATTCTCGCAAAAATTTCTAAACTGAGAGAAGATTCCTGAACCGCTCTCTGGCGTAAAACAAAAGCAGGGATTTTCTAGAGATCGAAGGAGAAAAGATTGGACTGTAAAGTTCTCGAAAAGGTTTCAAAGCTACACCTACACGAACTTTCAACATGTTGTGCGAGTCGTAATCTAAAAATAAAAAACGACGAAAAAAACATCTAATTTCAAACGAGGATGCTTCGGAACTAAAGTACTGAGCTGAATGTTCTTTTTGACCAAAATTTCTAAAAATACCTGAATACTCTGATTTTGTTTAAACTCACAGGCTGATAGGCTTCAGCAGAACAAGTATCGCAAGTGTAGGTCATCACTTGGACGCACGGTTTGACTTCCGTGGCCCTGGTGACGAGGCCACGCATCGTCACCAGCTGTCCGATGTTCGAAGCCTTTACTGACCTTACCGACATCTCCCTCAGACTATCATTTTCGAAGTAAACTTCGCTGAAAAAAATAAAAACTACTTCAAAAATATTCCTAATCTCACAATCTTTGCAGGAGCTGTGGTGGGTACTGCTTCAATCTCTCTTCAATACTGACATTCTCGCGGTCTTGAGCTCCTTCGTGCTTATCCATGTAGGCGCGTTGGAACGTGAATGCGTCCAGAGCGTCTTTCACAACAGGCTGAAAATTTTCGAGAGTTCATCGAGTTATCCTTCAGAGTTTGAAAACCAAGTTATCCCCTCGGAACGTCATTATCATCGCCTGGATGATTTCGTTGAACAACTTGACGTATCTGAAATTTTTTGTTTGAGCACAATTTGGTTTTTTTGAGCTGTCAACCTTTTCGCGTTACTGGTTATGCTGTCCGCTAGTTCAGGATCATGCTCACGAACATGTTCCAGTCGGACGACCATCTCGACTTTGTCTCTTTGAGCCAGCTGCATTGTCTCATCTCGATACACAAACACCTAAATCATTTTTTTTTTCATTTAAAATTCTTAATATGAAGTTTTTTTTTAATAACCTTCGCGCCGTCATCATCTTCGGTGTAGTAATTGTCGAGGAAATCACGAACTTTCTCCTTTTCTTTTTCCCAGTCCGGGTTGAAGGTCGGAGCTTTCATGATGACTGGACTGAAAAAAACCTTTTTTAAAATTTTTTCCAAAGAGAATGAAAGTCAGGAGGAATAAAAACCGAAAGAAAAAAATAAATAGAAAACGGGGTTGGCCAAAATAAAAAAAGCGATGCGGGAAAATTTGAATGCTCGTAAAAATCGCGCCTTCCCGCCAGAATCAGAAGCACGCCACAAGACCTCTATAGAGGAATGGCTGCGCGCCTTTAAAGTTGGACGGGCTGCCAAATTTGGTAAAAAGTTTTGACTCTTTTTTTCTCGTTATTTTTTATTATTGTAAAATGTATTTGAATCTCGGAATGCAGGATTTCAACCTCAGGTTGCTGGATCATAAGGTCCAAGTGGTTTTTGAGTTTTTCAGTCTATTTTTTTTTTCATTTCTTGTTGTATAAAAGTTCTGTAATTTTTTTTCTTTTTCTTTTTGATAATGTTCGATAATTTCTTGCTAGTTTTTGTGCTTTTAAAAAAATTTATTTGAAAAATTATCATCGAATTTCTGGGTTCGTGAATAAAGTTTCCCGATTTAATTTTACCATGAGTTCTGAAAAAAAGAAAACTTATTATTTGAAAGGGTTTGATGTTAAAGGTTTTTTTAAAAAGCTAAGGAAGTAGCTTCTAAAAAAATTGTTTCTCAATGGTTTTTTTCTCAGTATTTAATTTTTAACAGTCACTCGGTTTTTTTAAGCTTTCTTTATAGACTGAAGAATATATGAATTTGAAATTATTTCTACGGGTTTCAAGCTTTTTATTATTTTTATGATGAAAAATTGTTAAATTTTCATTTCAATTAGAACCTAAATTACTAAAATTTGCTTGTTTTTCAAAGTTACCTTCAAACTTGATATCTTCAAGGATTCCTTCAGCAGTGAGCATCGACGTTCATCCGCTCTGTTTTTCTCTTTCTAGTAAATTTTAATTTAATTTCAATAGTTTTGTTCAGCATCATGGTCGCTTGGAGAGCCGCCGGACTGAACTACGTCCGTTTCTCGCAGATCGCTGCCGCCGTCACTCGTCAGTGTGCAAAGGCGACCGGAGGAAAATCTATCGCGAAGAAGCCTGAACCAACTATCAAGGTAAATATAATATTTCAATTTCTCCAATAAATCCGACTTTTCAGGTCTCCCTTTGGGAAAACGGAAAGCAAAAGAAATAGTTGGAGTTTCATCCGGTTAGCTAGTTCCATTATCACATTCCTATTATGTGTTTCACTTTCTCCGTCATTCCAATAAATCTTATGCGCTTCTATTTTTGTTTGATAGTTTTGAAACAATGTTACAACGGCAAATATTTCCAATCGACGAAGGATAAAAAGAAACTACTTAGGTAATTCAGGAATGTTTTCCCCGAAAAAAGGGGCCGGTAAAACTAATTCCGATGAGTATCCACCAACGGCGATCGCTCGCCAAGGAGTCAGTCCTTGGTTTTTGGGAAAACCGGTTAAAAAGAAGAATACTTCAACGGAAAATATTCCGGTATACCGACCACCAGTTGATGATGATGATGTGGGTGAATGTTGGAGCGTGGAAAAATGATAAATAATGTTTTATTTAGATTTTTATCGAAGATAATGAGCCTGAAAATGGCTTCCAGGGCAGGCGGAGTACTGAAAACGCCGAGCAGAGAAGTTCAAAAAGTTGAAAAAAGAATGAATATATAAATGAAATTTTTTTTAGCCACCAAAAGCAAAAACTTAGTCACAGAAGGCCCGTATTGGAGAGAATGGTGACTAATAGAATTTAGTTTGATTTTAAAATAGAGGGTTTTTTTGTAGTTTCGAGAGAGGATTGAATCTCAACAAAAGCCTCTCGAAAAGGTCAAATAATGCAGGTCTGAACTTTGACTTTTCTGCCGATCCAAAAGTCAAGCGGGTTCGAAACAAGCTGAGCGAAGCTTTCGGTTCGGTGAGTTTTCGGTGTATTTATTTCAAACTTTGAAATGGATGATTTAGACGGGAATACGAGAAAATAATGAGGAACTCAAGAAGAATCTTGAACATATTCCGCGTAGAGGAATCGAGACTCCTAATGCACATAGAAAGAAACCGAGAAAGTTGGTTATTTTGAAATTAATGAGTATATTTTGAAGTATAACGACTTGAAGAGTGTTTAGAGGCTCGGAGAATCCTGTATTTCACTAACTTTCTTGCGGATAAGTTTGCATAGTTCTATGAGAAACTTCAATTTGTTCTCTGCAAGGAAATAATTAAAAAAAAATAATATTTTCGAAGTTTTGATGAAACTTACTGTTAGCAATAGAAGTATCATGATTTAATTTCAGTTTCTTGCATTTTCAAAAATCAGAGAAGAATCAAACCGGTCTTTTTTGTTAACTAGATTTCTCTGAAACATTTAGTTTTTTTTTTTCCTTTTTACCTTATAAGTTTTCTCCCACATTTGGTCGAAAATGTTCGATTTGAAAAGATTCTATTTGTAGCGCCGGGATCACGGTGGCATCAATCAAAGAGTTCACAATGGCGACTGGGGGGGAAGTGGTCAGAGAAGTGCGACAAGTGGTTCCGTCCCGAACTAACAGTGACAAACTGAGTGATGTAATTAAATACTATGTTATATCTCAAAAAAGGGCATTTTTTTCTAGAATGACAGTCAACCGAAATCATACCCTGGCCCAAGAAAAATTCCCTCTTTCACGGCTCCTATCGTCAAAAAGGCGATGGAGATGGACACGGCTGGCGGTGGGAAAGGTGATCTTTGATTTTTATCATAGAAAATCAGAATGCAGTTGATTAAAACTTTAAAAAAAAATTTTTAAGCTAAATTCCGAGATTTCTTCGAAAGTTTAACGAAAATTGAAAACGTTTTTTATTTTTTTTTTCAAAGCAATGACTTTTTCTTTGCCAATTTTCAGCCGTTTTTCTTGATTTTTTTATGTTTTCATTGGAAAAAAATTGAAGATGAAGCTCAAGGATTGCACGCAGAACCGTCGTTGAAAAACTTCGACGAGCACATCATTTCACTCATCGAATCTGAGGTGAATTAACGTTGAATGAAAAAAAGTTTTCCAGCTTTTTTTCTCCAAGGACTCATTTTCTGTAAGTGAATTAATAATGGAAGAAGCATTATCAGAAAAAAAGTGAATATAATAATAAATGATTTCAGAAAAATCTGAGCGTTTTTTTTGCTTCAAAAGGGACAGTTCTCGTGTAATACATGATCTCGGATTTTTCGAGTCCTTTTTTTCAAAAATTTTTATACATTTTTTTGGAAAAAAATATTCAAATATGATGACAATCTTATGAAGATCTTCCAACAGTGTCAGTACAAGACATGTTTTCAGATCTTTTGTCATTTTTTCATCATTTTTTCTTCAGATCATGTCAGTGTCCACTTCGATCGGATGGAGCGACGTTGCCGGTCTCGAAGGAGCGAAACAATCTCTTCGAGAAATCGTCGTTTGGCCGTTTCAGAGACCGTAATGCGCTCCATAGACAATCAAAATTTATTTGTTTGTTTTATAAGAGATTTATTCAAAGGACTGCGGGCCCCGCCGAAAGGTGTTCTACTTTTTGGGCCACCGGGGACCGGAAAAACAATGATTGGTAGGTTTTTCTATTCAAAAGTTCTTCCCAAGGTTTCTGAGAATGGCTTTTGTCTTGTCTTGTTCATTTTATCTTCCCATTCTCTTCAAATACACCATCAAACACTTGTACACCAAAATCGGCTAAAGCTTCACTAAAGGCGTTTGAAAAATTAGCTTTGAGATTTTTCCTATTAGTTTTTATGTTTTCAGGAAGATGCGTCGCTTCGCAGTGTAATGCAACGTTTTTCAACATCTCGGCCAGTTCCTTGACATCAAAGTGAGAACTTACAGAAGAAATAAAAGAGATAGTTTTGAATTCAGATGGGTTGGAGAAGGAGAAAAGCTTGTCAGGGCCTTATTCGCCGTCGCTCGTTTAAAACTTCCCAGCATTATTTTCATCGACGAGGTTGATATTCTCTAATGAACTTGAGGATCTGTGTTTTCACGAAAAAAATGAAATGTTGTGTAGTTTTCAATTTTGCTCTCACGCATGTTCAAGGCGGCCGGCCGTATTACGGTAGTCAAGCTAGGTTTTTCAATAATAAAATGAAAACTTGTGTACTTTTTGTGACGTAACTTATCTTGTAACCTCGATAAATAGGTCCTTAACAAATTGCGAAAAAGGAAAAAAAATATTAAAAATTTTCTGGCTCCAAAACTGACAGTGCAATATTGACCGGCCGCCGTAGCACTGTCTTAAAGTGCTCTGATTAGACTTCTGTTGAAAAATTCAAATTCATCTCCCCTTCTTTTTCATACTGATTATGTGAGCAATCAAACGTTCGATTTTATTTCAAAAAGAGATTAGCCAACTATTTTCTTTTGCTTTTTGAATAGTGAAGGTATTTAAAAAGGTTCTACCAAAAAAATTATTCCAAAAATTAAGCAAGAAATTGAAAATATGATCGGAAAAAAAATTCTCCCATTTTGATGAGGTTTATAGATCATGAATGGAAATCCTTCAGATCGACTCAATCTTATCGGCAAGGTCGGAAACTGAACACGAATCGTCTAGGCGGATCAAAACCGAATTTTTGGTTCAAATTGACGGCGTCGCCACTTCTCGGGACGAACGTTTGCTGGTCCTTGGGGCTACCAATAGGTTTTCAAAAGATTTTATGAGATATCTTAAGAGGAAACTGTGTAAACTGAGCCGTTGGATAAATTATTCAGGATTAATTAGTTGTGAAAATATTTCTGCACGAAGCTGTATCTTCGGAAAAAGGTTAAAAGTTTACTCTCGATTCTAAAAAGATTTTTTTATTCAAACTTCACTTCGCCTCTAGCAGCTCTTAGTTTTTAAATTCGACTTTTATTTGTTTGATTATTTTAGCCTTCTAACTCTTTAGACCCCAAGAATTGGACGAGGCGGCCAGGAGAAGATTCGCAAAAAGGCTGTACATTGCGTTGCCTGAAAAAGTGGCTCGGGTGACGATTGTCCGGAATCTACTCCACGGTAATGAACACGTGATCGACGAGAGTGGTTTGGATACCATTGCGGAAATCACTGAAGGTACTTTTTTTTGGTTGTGAACAAACAATACTGCAAGTTTTTGCGGAAGGGGCAATTTTAACTGAGATGATAGATATTACTTTTATTACTTGTTTGAAAAATGGTTTTTGGGTAAAAAATGTCCAGAAGATCATTTAGAAACATTGCATGTTTTTAAGAATGTTCATTACCCTGGGATTTTTTTCCATTTGCTAGGGTTGCACTTGGAGTCATGTTTCAATTTTAAAGTTTTCTGGTTCATTAAAAACTTCTTAAAACATTCTTTCCGGTTCTACGAAATCTGCTCATATTTCAGTATTTGTACATATTTCAAATTTCGGTGCAAGAAAAACCGATTAAAATGTTTCAGCATATCGGAAACTCATTTATTCTTTAAATTTAGGGTATTCTGGTGCTGATATGTATCAATTGTGTACAGAAGCTGCTATGGGACCGGTTAGAGATGTGAATGGCGCCATTTTGGAAATCGAGAAAGATGAGGTTTAGTTTTTAATTACTTCTTTTTGATTGATAAAAAATATATAGCAGTGTTTCAAAACAGTTTGGCATAATTTTGAGAAGATTTTTGTCAAAAAGGGTTTTGACTTTCTCCTCTTTCATCATTGAAAAACTCGTGGTATGCAACAAGAATTTTCCAGAAAATTGATTTTCGATGACGAAATTTAACGAAAGGTGAGAGAAATGAGTCATGGAATATGAAAACAAAAACGCAAATATTCATTTCTCTCACAAAATTTTTCTCTCACGGCCTTTTTTTTATGTGTTTTGGATTTTTCCGTAACAAGATCAAAAGTCCAAAAGCGAAGAAACATTCTTTTTATTCTTGGTTATAATGTTCTAGAGAACTACTCAAAAGAAGATTTTTGAATTATTAAATTCCGTCTCTTCTCTTTGGTATTTTAGAACTTTTTTCATTCTTGCAATGTTGGCTGATTTTGGCAGTTAACAAGCAGTAATGCCGCTTTTAAATGGATTTCGACCGAACGAAAAATTAAGGAGTAAATAAATTATCGAAACTTTCGGAGAATGAGGCATCATTTTGAAAACGGCAAAAGTTGCGTCTTTCAGCTGCGCCCAATCAACCTGAAAGATTTCATGGAAGCTGCGGAACAAGTTCGGCCGACCGTTGTACAGGAGGACCTCTTGGCCTACGAAAAGTGGGATCGCCAATTTGGTTGCAAACCTCGTTGATCCCTGGAAAATTCTCTTCATTTTTATCTTGTTCTATCATTTTTTCTCCCCCATTGAGATGTACTATCACTGTGAATTTCGATTGTCCGACTGTACAACATATTTTTTTGGCCCCAAAATATTCACTTTTCAATTTTTTTCCTCTCGATTCTCGGGTATAATATTGCATTATCACTATTTTTTTAAATTTCATTCTTGGCTATCCACTTATCGCGTTTCACAATTTTTCAATACAAATTTTCAATTTTTCTTCGTGTTCGTGATAGCTTAATTTTTCATGCGGTTTGGAGCATCCGCAATCTTTATATTATTTTTAGGGGCTCTAAATTTGCAAATAAGAGAAAATTCGAAAAAGGAAACCGCCTTATAAAATATATTTTGTGAGCGAATTCGGAAGAAAAATAGCATTCGAGGGCCCGGCGTATACCGGAAAATTACAACGATCCAATGAAAAATGTGGTTTCCAAATAATTTTTGAAGTTTTGGTAGAGGAAAAAGGTTGCCTAAAGTTAGTTTCGAAACCAGAAGTTCAAACTGGAATTTTGAAGTTAGAGAAGTAGAGGTTCATACAGTACGAGCTCTTTAGTGACTTTATTTTTGTGATTAAGAAAAAAAAAAAACTGAAACGGTTTTATTTCCCATTGAAATTTCTTTCAAGAAACATGAAAAACTCAGGATGACTGTGCAAAAACTGAATTCAGTTGAAGAGTACAACCAATTCGTTGCTGACCCAAGGTTTCTCTAAATTGAAAATAAGAAAAAAATTGAAATAAATTCAGTCCGGCACTCGTTCATTTCTACGCGGCTTGGGCAGCTGCGTGCGATCAAACCAACGCTCTTCTTCAGGTATTTTTTTTCCTCTTTTGAATTTTTTCATAGCCATTCTTTCTTTCAGGATCTGATTGAGGATGACACATTCGCCTTGAGAATCGCGTTTTTAGAGGCTGAAACTTTGGCAGAAGTTTCCAGGAAGATGAGAATTAGCGCCGCTCCAACACTTATTTATTATAGGGTAGGGATCATAATTTTCACATCATTTTTTTTTTAGTAAAAGTTAGAAAAAAATTTTTTTTTTATAATTGTGTCATAATTCCAATATGAACTATTTGTACCATTTCGAGCGAATTTAAACTGAAGCGTTCTATTTGGGGACAAAATTGAACCAGAAACTCAGATTTTTCCGATTTAAAAAAGTTTTTGAAGCGTTTGAACTTTATTCCATGTTTTTTTCTCGAATTCGGGGACTCTTACTTTGTGGTTCATTCATGAAAACAGTTTTTTAAATGATAAACTTTGAAGCAAAATGTTTTTTTTTTTAGAAATCCAAGGAAGTCGCAAGAGTGAATGGGTACAATCCCGCAGAAATCAAAGAAAAAGCCTTGTTAACGTCCAGCCAAATTTCGGCCAGCGACGCCCTTCCCGCCGCTGGCGATGCTCACATCTCCAAGGAGGTTCTTCTACTGAATTTATGCGAAAAGTTCAAAAAGGGTATTTTAGGCGCTCAATGAAAAGCTCAAAAAACTGATCAATCATAGCCCTTTAATGATTTTCATCAAGGGAAAGCCGGATGCTCCCAAATGCGGTAAGAATCGAATTCAAAATAGAAAATGCTATATAAAATGGATCTTAAAAGTAGAAATTTTCTATCCTTTTTTGGTTTTTTCCTAAAGAAATTACGATTTTTCACATTTGATTGCTTCAACATCCGAATTTTTTTGCTTTTTTTTTTCTTGTTCTGCTTCAGCTCTTATTTTGAAATTTAGAATTTTTTTCTTGAAGCTTCTAAAAAAATGTTTTTTTAAACGGAAAAAAATGGGTCTAAAAACTTTCTTCTTTTATTCATGAAGCACACGGCTTTTTTCCAGTTTTTGACTTCATTTGAAAGGATTTTTATTCAAATTTTCTGATTGTTGGCAATGAGAACATTTTGATATTTCTCTAACAGTTCCTTTCAAAAAGCCCAGTCCGGCTGTTTAAATAGAATTGCATACACTGAGGTGAGCTCTTTTCCAGGATTCTCTCGACAATTGATTCAATTATTGGACGAGAACAATCTCCAATACGGGTCTTTCGATATTCTGTCGAATGAAGACGTTCGCCAAGGACTCAAAGTTCGTTTTTCTTCATCTGATCGAATTTAATTTTGAGAAATAGGATTATTTCTTCAGGAGTACTCAAATTGGCCGACTTATCCCCAGCTTTACCTCAACGGAGAGCTTCTTGGCGGCCTTGACGTCATCAAGGCGGAGCTGGAGGACCCAGAATTTGTCAAGTCCCTTCCGACCAAAAAAGGAGAAAAGGAGCTGAATGAACGCTTGAAAGAAATAATCAGCAGTCATCAGTTGATGCTCTTCATGAAGGGAACGAAGACGGATCCTCAATGCGGTTAGTAAAAAGAAGCAGTTTCCAAATTGATCCTGAAAATGTTCACTGGTTTTTTTTTTCAAGTATCTTGCCTAGGACTTACTGCCACAGAAGTTCGAAGCAGATCAGCGATGATCACATAAGACACTTCCCTTGTGAGATAGGAGTTCAAATGATTAAAACAAAAAAAAAAAAAATTAAAAACTCATATTTTTGAAGAAGCGTTTCTCACTTTTTTGCTATCCAGGCTGATTGTGGAAACGTTTTTCCTTTTTTCACACTTTTTGGAAAATCATTTGCTTTTTCTAGCTCTTTTAAATCGGCTCAGCGTTCAAAGGTTTGGTGCAAAAAATAAAGTTCTCAAAATTTTTTCAAGCTCATCTGTGTCTTTAAAGGCAATTAGAGGCGTTTACCATCTTGATGTTTGCATATTTTTGAGCCGAAAATAAATATTCTGCTTCTTTCTGCGTCCTCAAAAACCTCATAAAGCTGCTATAAATCGATTATACTCAAATTTTTACAGGATACTCAAGAACCATCGTCGGCCTTCTGAACGACGCCCATGCTGACTTCGGAACTTTTGATATCTTGAAGGACAATGAAGTTCGGGAAGGCTTGAAGGTCTTCATTTTTCTTGTTTTGTGAAAAACCGCGAGAATTCACAGAAATTCTCCAACTGGCCGACTTATCCGCAGCTCTACCTCGATGGAGAACTCGTCGGAGGACTCGATATCGTCAAGGAAGAACTTTTGGACACGCATTTCCTGCGCAGAATTCCACGCATCCGTAATTGAAACTTCAATTATCAAATCGCCCTTTTTTATGTACTTGTTAATTGGCCCCGACTTGCGACAAAGATATTTAACTCCTTTTTTTTTTGATAAGAATTTCGACTTTGCTTTGAAGATTATATAAAAATACTGAGTTTGTTCAGAAAATTGTCTAAAATCAGCAAATAATGCAAAAAGCCTTTCAAAAAATGGGATTGAACTTTCCACGAAGGATTTTGCGTGGAAAACAAAATGAAAAGACATATTTATCTTTTTGGTTCCGTAAAAGATTTTGGAAGCTATGAATAGACTTGAAAAATTGTAACTCAATAATTATTGAATGAATTGAAGGTTTTTTTCATTTTATTCTAAGAAAACATAATCCTTGAAGAAAATATCATTTTCGACATCTTCCCTACAAAAATAAAAAAAGGACACAGAAGATCATTGTGTAAAACTTTTGAGACTTGGACCATTTTTTTTTTATTTTTTCAACAATTTTCATGCTCTTATGAACCCCAATCTTCTAGATTTCAATATAAATTGCTCAACTTAGACGGTAAAAGGGAGGAATGGTTTATTTTGCGGGGCTAACGGTTTCCTTCACTCGCACTTTCATGCCTTTCATGTGGTGCTTGTGGCCGTTCCCGTCGTCGAAAGATAGAGATTCGACGTTCCTAAAAAATGTTGAATTGTTTTTCCTAAAAGTCGGGCGCGTCGAAGAGAAGCCTCATTTGTAGCTCAGAGGAAAATAAAAACCGTAACAAGCGGGCGCGGAATGGATTACAAAACTCCCTAATCAGTTTTTTTACAAGCTTTTTAACGAACATCTCTCTGATCCACTTCTTTAAAGAAACTTCAGAAATGAGGGTGACCAGCAAACCAGAGACGTCTCCGTTAAATCCTAGCCATTCCGAGTTTTTCAAAAAGAACAATAACCCACCAAACGTCTGAAATGAAAATTCTCAAACTGACTTGAGAGTATCGTCGCGAGAATCGCTGGGAGGTGGCGCCATCGGTACGTTGGGAGGCATCGGCGACCGAGCAAATGGACTTTTCGCCGGACTCAGGCTGGGCGTGAGCGATTTCGCGCGCGGAGGAAGCAGCACCACTCCAGTTGTCGAAGACTTCGACGGCAAGCTCTTATCCTTCAAAAAATTATCCATTGACACGGAATCCCCACATACCGTGTCTCTCTTCCCCGATGAGCATGTTGCAAGGATGAAAAAAAATTGCTGCAATAAAAACTTTTTCTTGTCAAAATCGATCGGAAATCACAGCGAAACTACAGAAGAAGAAGCACAACTGAAGCCAACAGTCGCACGACGTCATTGCTGTTAGAAATGAGGGATTCGCCTCGTTCACGCTCTGAACTTTCAAACACTTTTTTTTGGCTTACCGTGAGTTGTTTTAGTGCCCACACGAACTGTGCAGTTTTCCGTTTTACGCAATTTTGGAAATTTTCGAAAATGTGTTTTTGTATTTTATATTTTTCGTTTTTTACGGTTTATTTCTTTTCTTTCCAAGTTTTAAGTGTTTTTGCAAGAGCTGCCTAAGTGTTCAAAAGGTGTATCGATAACGCTTGATTCAAATACAGCAGTTATGTGAGTCGAAAGTTTCTCAGTTTTTTTTTTCGCGTCTGTAGTTAACTTAAAATGATCTTCTCAATCAACTTCTCGCTAATGTTTTTGTGATATTCTAAAGCGAAAATTTTGATACAATTTATTATTTTTTAAACTTCGGAAGACTTGTGGAATAGATCTCAAAAAAATAGCGCTAATATTCCAAATTGAGCTGATTTTTTTTTCTTCAAACGATATTTGAAGTTTTGTCTTTTCTTTCTTCTTCATTTTTTGTGGATCATCTTATTGTGAAATTTTTTCTAATTTAAGAAAATGCCACCGAAAAGACGAAAGATGAGCTCCGTAGCTGAGGATCCAGTTTATGAAGTAGAAGCAATCATCGGCCATTTGAGGTTACTGGCTGAAATTTTTGGGTTTGATTAGAACAACTTACTATTTAGTTTTGAAGAAGCTCACCAGCGTGAGCTGAACGGTATTTTGAAACCCAAACTCACCCTTTCCATGAAGGAAAAATCAGCTAAAAAGCACAGTAAATACGTTTTCCTGGTTGGTTTTTTTTCATAGCCATATCTAAAAATTTTCATATCTAAAAATTCTCAATTTTTTCAGACGAGATGGCTCGGTTGGGGCGAAGCTGGCGATACCTGGGAGCCAGAGTCCAATTTGACGACCTGCAAAACCATTTTGAAGGAGTATAAGAAGAATAATAATCTGCCCAAGACACATCAGCGTTTCATCCAGTCTTTTTACCTGGAGTTGGTGTCTTGATTTGAAATTTATGGGTTTTTTTGTAGGCAAAAAAATATAGTTATGTATTCAAGGAAGTCTCAAATAAATTTTTTTGCAGTTCGTTAATTTTAATTTTTTTCAAATCGAGAAAAAGGTTTTTTTGAAAATGTTACTATTTGAAGGTGAGACTCGACCTCAAATCCCGAGGAACAAGGTGGAAAATGTTATCGATGTCATATCTTTCGAAAACTGGACTTATGTGGAGAGAAGTGTCAGTTTTTTCTTCAAGTATTGAAATAAATAAATAAATCTCTTTAAAGCATTTTTGTTCGATTTATGACGCGACGTGGGTTTTGACCGGTTCAAATCAGCCCGTAAATGTAACTGTAGCGGTGAGAAAATATCAATAGGATAAAATTTTGGAAAATTTTGGAGATCTTCAGGTCTATCCCGATGATAAGCAGACGAAAAGCATGATAATTGCGTTGAGGCTCATCAAGTCGGTTTTTATAGTCAATGTTTCCCGGCTTGAAAGGGGAGGGAGGCGGGGCAAGGGGCGGGACGCGTAGCGTGTGCGTTCGCGGTTCTTGGCACGAGTTCAATTTAATTGCCTCCGAATATTTAAAAAAAGCTTGGCAACCACTCTTTTTCAATGTTTTCTACTATTTTTGATGAACATATGAACATAAACAATAATTATTTGAAAAAAAGGAATGAAAAAAAGGCGAAAAAAATGAGCTCTCTGAATGCTCGCTGGCGGTTGAATTGAACTCTTGCCAAGAACCGCGTACGCACACGCTACGCGTCCCGCCCCTTGGCCCGCCTCCCTCGCCTTTCAAGTCGGGAAACATTGACTATATTAATTCTTCGAAAAATTTCTATGATGGAAAAAAATTTACGATTTGATCATGTTCTTGAAAAAAAGTTAGTTAGTAAAATGCTTATAAAACTAGAAATTTTTTTGAAAAAAATCTTGTTCAATTCTCTGTTATGAGAGTTAAAGTTTCTAAATTAACGAAAAATAATGTTTAAAAAATATTAGTCTGAAATCTGGCTTGAAATTTTTTGAACTTAAATATTTTAAAAAAGCTTTTTTGCTTGTCCATTTTGTTTTCTGGCTGTTTTGTCGTTTTTTTCTAAAAAAATTGCGTGAAACATTTCTAGTATCATATTTTTTTCCCTGGAATATTAAAAAAATTTCTTTTTAGAATCACTCTTAATTTTTAGATTTTCAGAATTTTTTTGTCGTTTCGATGTGTTTTTTTAGTTACGCGGAACTGTGTACTGACTTGAAACTTTTGAAAAAAAAATTTTTTCCAGACACAATCTGATCGTTCGCTGTTTCGGAAGGACGGTTTTGAACGGAAAAATCGGCGTCGTTTTCGAAATGCCTGAAAAACGGCCGTCGCTTTATTCAAGCGAACCGAGAAGATTTTTTGAGAGCGTCAACGGAGAGGAATCGGTCAAGAGGTGAATTTTTTCAGAAGGATTGCATTTTTGACTATGATAATAATAGGAATAACATATTCCAGTCCTCATGAAAAAAACAATCATCAAGATTAAATTCAAAAAAAAAATTAAAGAACCGTGATGAGAGTTCAAAGGACAAAAAAAGGATAATTATTTTTGCGATTTAGAACTTCAAGGCAATCGAAACAGAATAAACATGGTATTTGCAGATAATACTAAAAAAAAAATTAGGGGCAAGGAAAAAGATATAGAAAAAGTAATGACCAAAAAAGGGTGGGAAGCCAGAAAAATGAGTCTGAACAGAAGGTAGGAAAATCCGCTTGCAAAATCTCTGTCCAGTCGTTTTGGAAACATTTCCGGAAATAATGAAAAAAGTTGCCTATGTCTGGGAAACTGAGCGGGACTAATTTCACGATTTTTTTCTGTCCAACTCAAGCTTCTCACAACTTTCTAGCCAAATTTTAATGATTTTGAGATCTTTTTTTCGTTTTTTATTCAATTCTCAATTTCGGAATGACGAAAGATGTGCTCTGCGCGTTGCGACACATCCATGAGGTCGGAATCCATCATCGCGTCAGGCCCGACAACATTTTCATTTTGAATAACCGATACGTGGTTTCAAACCTCTTCTCTTCAGGAAATTTATTGAATAATTCGTTTTCCAGCTTGGCGGATTGGAACTTTTCACTCCCGGCCCAACATGCTCCTTGAAACATATCATCGGCCCCGTCGAATATTCGGCTCGAGACTTTTATAATGAAAGTCATGATTGTAAGGTGAACGATTAGTGTGGGAACATTTTTTTATAAAAATGAATGTATGAAAAAAAGTTCTTATGAGTTTTGAAGACCACTTTTTTTTCCTAAAAAAAAAGGTGAAAGTGATTATATTTTGAACTAATAATGCGAATCTCCTGTTTTTGCTGCCTTATTCATCAAAATCTCTCTTTCCTGAAGAGAAAAAAGAGTTGGAATCGCATGTCTGAACGTTTACAGCTTTTAAGTAAGTTTGAAAATTTGAAAACTTGAAAATTTCTACTTCAAAAAAACCTGAAACGTTTTTTTTTCTTGAACTCATTTCCGATTTCTCATTAAAAATCTGCAAAACGCAATCTTCGATTTTGAAGACCTGTTTTGTACAGTATTTTTTAGGTAGACGTTTTCGCCCTGGGAATCATTCTTGTCAAACTTCTGAACCACGACGAATTCGCTGGTAGGAATCAGAATAATGTAATGAATGAAGTTTACTCAAAGAAAAGTGAATAAGATTTTTCAGCTTCTCGAAAATTTGACTCCAATTCAAAGCTCGTTCGTTGGAGGTTTGGTCCATCCTGATCCAGTTATGAGGTTTTGAAAAGTTTTTCATTTTTTAAGGAAAAAATAGATTTCATTTTCCAGGTTCACAGCAAAGGGCGCCATTGAACACCCGTATTTAGAGTGCTTGAAAAGGTACTTAAAAAAATTAGATGAATTATTTTTTTTTTGGAAGCTTTTTATGGTGTTTTTAAGATCGTTGAAAAGATCTTTTTTTTAAACTGCTTTGAACTTTTCAGAGCAATTTCAAAGATTAGGACTTCTAACAAAAAAATATTTTTTTGAACCGATTCGAAAAATCATGTATACTCTATTCTCAAATTTTTCCTCGTGAAATAGATTTTAAACTTCTAAAAAAATGAAATCGTTTGATTCAAAAAAACGTGATTTCAGCGATCTGAATGAACCTTCCTCTCAGTGGATGACGACCCGAGGCGATGTTTTGAAATCTGGGAGACTTGAGGTTTGAAATAAATTTGGCAAATGCACAGTTTAATCTCATGTAAAACACACAGAAGGATGAGATTAACGGTAGAAAAACTTTGATAGGAATTTGAAGGAACGTATAAAATTTTTATGGGTTTCGAGATGATATTCCGTCTTTTGGTTCGTTTTCATGCTATTTAAGACTTCCTCACGTTTGAAAGTTAAGTAAGGGCTTAGGCTTAGGCTTAAAAAAGTCACAGTGTTGTTTCAAAAAGTTTGAAAAGTTTTCCAGAGGCCCGAGGAGAGACTTCTTTTGAAAAAAAAACTGGAATTTTCGGGTTTTCAGGAAATCATAGTCGTCTATGAGAAAGACGACACAGTCAGATCATTTTTGGAGCGATATCGGAAAATTCAAGCCGTTGATAATGATTCCATGTTGATGTGAGATCTCTTAAGAAATTCTGTTTTGATAAATAATATTTTCAAGTGCCCTATCGACGAAAAAAGACGCTGATCATCACATTTTCATGGATCTTGACAGGAAGTTCGGCGAATATCTCAGTTCGGACAGGGTTTTGATCTCTTTTCTTGAAAAAAGGAAAAATCGAATCTAAAATCAATTATTAAGACTGTTTTCCTGCAAATAATGCACAATAATGAGTTGGAACCGACGCCGTCGCATTTTATATCATCTTTCGATTCGCTGCATTTGACCTTCGTCAAGGTCAACGGCTGGCGGCATTTCCGGAGATTTGTAAGGGTGAGTTTGAAAGATTCGATTCTAATTGAGAAAAATTCAATAAAAATATTGTTGAAGGTTTGTAGAAACGATATTTTTTTTCTTGAGCTGTGAAGTTTGAGAATAAAAGAAAATATTTTCCACTTTTTTTTCCGCAAAATTAGCCTCTAGTCACTTAGTTTATATAACTTTTCTCCAGTTTTAACGACGTAAAACGGGATAGAGACTTTTTCGGCCTCTTACTCACTATTACTCCGATTTTTTTTAAACTTTTGAGCTTCTTAAGAAGTATCTTTTTGAAAAAAATATTTGCAAAAAGATTTTTAAAGGTCAATGTCATAAAAACTCATTTTAATTTTGAGACTCTCCAAAATTTAGTTATCTTTTTTTTTCTTCAAAGGCGTTTCTTTGCATTTTGCGTCACTTTGAACACAGCATTAAACCATTGAAATAAGACGGACAACGACGTCGACGTCGACGAGTTGGCTCGACTGGCGGCGAAAGATTCGCCGATGGAAACCGAAAATGGATTTCCAGTCTTGATTTCAAGTCTCAAAGCGACTTGCTTCGAATTTCCGTCCAATATTCGTAACAACCTCCGAATATTTATTCATTTCATTCATATTTATACAGACATTTCCTACATGGAGCTGTTCATCGGCCAGCAAGATCCCGACAAAATTCCCTCACGATGACTAATTTATTGTTTCCTTGTACTTTATTTTGTTACATTTGTTTTCCTTGTTGTTTTTGTTTTGTGTATGCATGCACGTTCATTACATTATATTACATCTTACATGTTCGAAATAATAAAATAATTATTCTCTTTGAAAGATGAAGAAGTTCAAATCATTTCTTATCATCGCGCCTTCGCTACATGAATGTCTTTTCAATTATTGAACTTATTTCTGTTGTTCCTTTGGCTGTTCCACTCCAACGTCGTGCTGTTGTTCTGTTGCATAAGGAAGAGAAAAACGTCGCACTGTGGTTTTCTTCTTCTTCTTTTTTTTTTGGATTTTTTTTTTTTGGAAGACGCGCTAGAACTCCTTTAAGACAAAAATATTTTTTCCAAAAAACTGTTTCTCTATTGGATTTTAACTTTTATTCTTTTTCTGTTTTCAGACAAAAAAACTTGGATCCTTGATAATTAAAGTCATTTATTCTATAAAATACACTTTTAGCTAAAGTTTCTAGCATGAAAGCTTCACTGTTGAGAACAATATTTTTCTTGTATTGAAATAGTTAGGTGACATTCAAATGCTCTAATTGTAGCACTGTTTGAATTTTCATTCCAGTTTCATTGAGAATTATTCGATTCGAACCTGATTTGTAATGAAAAGAGCGTACTCGTCAGTTGTTCAAATGAGAAAGATTATACAGAATGAAAGTTTATGCATTTTATTGAAGATAAAGCATCGAGAAAAATATCGAGAGAAATGTCGAGAGAAAGTCGACGCGTGTTGGAAACGCCTATGGAGAAAAAGGCGGGAGACGAATTTGTGAAAAATGAAAGAAAGACGTCGGATTCGTCGGCGACACCTTACACGCCGACGACGTCTTCTAACAAGGGGTCAGTTCGAAGATTTGCGAATTTCAGTTTGGAATATTCTGTTTTCGAAATTTAGTGTTCGTCCTACATTTTTTTGAACATGCAAGCCTAAAAAACAAACTGATACTATTTTTTCTACACAAAATTTGGATTCACTGTTCGTTTATAAGTTTATAACCTAAAAAAGCAGTTTTACACGGACTTTGGAAACTGATTATATAATTTGATGCCTGTCAAAGGTTTACTAAACACCGTTCTCGAAGTTGTTTAGCTAACTTTTATTTTTAATTCGCATAGGCGAAAAAAAAAGCTTTAGAGTTTCTGGAAGCCAAATCGAATTTCTGTTTTTTTTTTAAATCAAATTTTAATACCCGCGTCTTATCAATCTTATCCACTTTTCGGGCTCCTTTTGTGAATGAAATAAACAGATTTTTTTCGAAAAAAATCTTCCCAACCTTTTAATGAAGGAGAGCTTCCTTTGTAGACGTCGCTCGAAAAAACGCGGCCATCCCTGTCCTTCCGTTGAACCTTTGGTGAAAGCTTCGCCTCTTCCGCCTTCCAGTGGTTCTGATGTAAGGAGGAACGCCATCGATGATTCCCATATCACATCTTTTAGTTTTCTGTGACTTGCAAACAGCGCTCGGAAAAGTTTGATAATCTGACAGTGTCCGACGATGTTAACGAAGTCAAACTTATTCAAAGAAAAGTTGACGCAAGTGAGTTTATGACTTCAAAAAAATTCTGAAAAGGGAAACTTTAATGAATTCGTTTTTCAAAAAGGAACCCATATAGATTTAGTCGGCGGGCTATTATCAGCAACGCTCCCTTTTTTCAGAAACTTCAAATAAAGTGGCATTTTCTTCTGTAAAAAATTGAAATTGAGGTTTCAAGGATTTAACTAATTTTTTTCATGCATAAAAAAAGGAAAAATTTTTTTGATCCAATGTATGGCAATTTTTTTCAAAAAGGTAATTATAATAAAGAAATTGCCCTGGACCGATCTTCCTTCTCTGAACATTGAACATAAGTCTGGATTTTAAAGGGCGTGTTTGATCAGTTTTCACTCTAACTTCGACAAAGACTACTTTGATTCTTCCATGTCCTATCGTTTTAAAACAATCCCCTGACTTTTATTTTGGAAATTCATATGATTTGATAATTTCCTGGCGGGCTAATTATGAATTTAGAGTCTTGCCAAGTTTTTTTCTTCGAGAATTTTCGAGGAAGTAAAAAAACCGTTTTTTCAGCCCTCTATGATACAAACCTGAAGAAAACAGCACAAGAAAGGGCGAAAGCCGCAGTTGATCACGAGAAAAAGTCTCCTGTTGATATGGTTTGAATGACCAGAAATATTAAAAATTGAAGAAGTTTTTTTTTCTAGGGCGACGATACTTTGAAAGGCGTCGAATCACTCCAAATGGAGTTTCCTGATCAACCTACTAAGGTTTTTAGGAGGATTAAAACTGTTATATCTAATTTATTCCAGAAAACATCAGAGACTTTGGTCACTCAAAAAATGACAATTACACGTTCTGAAGTAAGAAATGTTTAAAAATAGCTGCCTCTTAAAGATTTATTCGTAAAATTCTGTATTGAAAACGACTTGAAACGAATTGGTCGCACGTAGAATGGCTCAAAGGGTTGTAGTTGCGCTGCCGTTTAATCTGAACCTTTGAAGTTTTCTTTTGACTTGATTCAAAGTTCTAATGAGCGAAAATCGCTTCATGGTCGGGCCTGTGTAATAAATTGGAGTCTTTCTAGGTGCGACCACGGTACTTCCATGTTCATTATAATGCTAATTGAGAATCGATCTGATTTTCACAGCAGGGTTTTTTCCTTTTATCGGGATTTTATTTTTCATAGTTTTTTTTCTTTTCGAATCAAAGCTATAAAAAAAAATTTAAAAAGCGTTGATAAAATTTGTTATTTTTTGCTACTTCCAGAAACGCACTCAGGAGCACAGTGACTACGTGGGTCACCGGAAACTGAGCCCCGGGACGAAACAAGAGGTCAACCTCTACGCAATTTAGAGGCTCTTCCTCTTATTTTTTCGGAAAAATACAAACATAAAACAAAACTGATAAGAAGGTGAAGAAAAAGAAAAATGTATATAGATGGTCTTACCTATTTCAAAGGCGGAAATGAAAATTTCAAAACTTCATTGTGGATAAAATCTGAACTCGCGAAAGAGGTATTTTCAGTAGCAGACTTTTCAAAAAACTATGACGGAGAACTGAAATTTCTGTCGTGCTTTGTTTGGATTGTTCGATTGAAAACTGCTCGAAGACTTGAATCAGTTTTGTTTTTCAATACGGTGTACCTAAATTTTCTAGTAGCCAGAATCGCCTCAAAATCCTCTCTTTTTGGTTGATTTCAAAGCTATTCGTCGTTTTCCATGAAGGCTATCTAGTTTTTCTTTTCTTAGAGCAGGTGTGGTTCCTGATGCCGTGTTCAATTTGGTTCTGCGAAATGCAAAATGATACCTGACTCTCCAAAATTTAGTGGTCTTTTCCTTTCTCTAACGGTTACTTTGCATTTCGCGGAATCAAATTGAACACGGCATAAAACTTCGATCGAGTTTTCTTCAAATTGCTGAAACGCTAGAAACTCCGATGTGATTCATTTCAAAGTTTTCATTACTAGGCGTTTTATAAAATCCCAACTGTTAAACTGCCTTCGAGCAGCTGAAACTTTGAAGAACAAATCTTTCATTTTTTTATTTCGTTATCTCATGTCGTCTTTCCTGAATAATCTGGAAGAACATTTGTATGAATTTGACGCGGCGAAAATCGTTGATGGATTTTATGACGCTTTCATCATGCAGAAAAGGTTGGATTTTTTATGCTCTTGATGAATTCTTCGCTTGTGATCAAGTATGAAGGATCATTGGTCCGCGAAAAAGTGGTTCTGGTGCGAAACTCGCATTTCGTTTACTTGAGAAATAAAACGAATCTACTTTTGCAAACTTGTCTCGAGATGATATGTTCGTTTCATCCAAAAGCCACTCGATTTCTTCATTCTTATGAAGGGGGCCTCCCAATTTGTATTGTTGCCCGAAATTCTGGGCATATGCTCGGCGCCTTGCGAGCTCTGATTATCGCCCAAATCTTGTCGGCATTATTGATTTGCCTCTTTGATTCCAATCACCGGACTCGACTGTGTCTTACCGATTCCAATTTTATTCAGCCATCATCGAGATCTTCTCCCCTACCCTCAGTTCACTTATTTTTTGTTTGTTTCTCTCAGTTATATTTTATTCCTCGCCGTCGTCCTCTGTACCCGTACCGCCATTTGGAACGCCTTGGTCGCTTGTCACGTTCAATTCTTCGAGTGGAGCCACGAAAAGAGGCTTAATTTCGTCGAAACCGTCTATGCTGGGACTTTTGTGGCTTTCTTCGTTCTTATTACCTACCCGGTGATTCATGTCGTGGAATGGGATCAGGAATCGATGTGGACGGCGGCTTTTCGAACTGATCCAAGAATTAAGGACTTTTTCATCGACTACAAACCCTTTTTCGTTTGCTACAAGAAATGGATCTTTGTCGTTTGTTTTTTAATCGATATAATTTTTTCTGGCCTGATTTTTGGATTTATTCATCTTGCTCGCATGTGAGTCTGAAAGATTGGAGAAAAAAAGAAAATTAAGTTCAAGAAGTTAATAGAATTTTTTTCTGTGAAAAAAACTATGACTACGATAGAAATCGATGATTTAAACGCAATCTTTCGATCTTCCATTGTAAATTTTCAAATTTTTTATAGTTGTGTTTGGAACAGTTTTTACAGGACCATAGCCTCAACATTCACCAGATTTCTTATTTTGCGACGAATCCAACGCCGTATTTTGATCATGGAGCTTGAAACTATAGTTTCTAGTTGTTCTGGTCTTTGTGCCCTTGTCTCTGGCCGCCTATTTCAGTATTTTTGGATCGAGAGAGTTTCTAAAGTTGTTGCCTTCATTAAAAGCTTCTCGACCGTTCTGTTTTCCAGAATCCCACTGATTCTCGTCATTTTGGCGCCAGTTCAAATTTTGTGTTTTTCGGTCTGCACCATGAACTTGATACTGATCACGCCTTATCAAAGCACTTTTTTGTAAATTTTTCGAAGGATCGCGGTGTTCAAGGCAGAAAAAGTTTTTAGGATCAGTGAAAGATCTCGAAATTTGATAAAAAGTTTTGTGAATAAATTTTTGGTTTCAAACGAATAAACGGCAAGTTTCAGAACTCCCATTTTCTAAACTACTTTTCAAACATTCGGTTATTTTGGTTTTGATTACAGCTTTCAATTAGGGTTCCCAAGTTTTTCACTTCCTTCGAGCAGGTGAAATTACAAGAATCGTAAACTCAAATTCCTTTTTTCTTCTTTTCACTTTTTTATGTCCCCTTTACTGAATTATCTTGAAGAACATTTGTATGAATTCAACGCGGCCGAAATTGTCGAAGGCTTTTATGACGCTTTTGTCATGCAGAAAAGGTTTGTTTCGAAATGATTCAGAAAGTTGCGCGGTCGTTCTAAGAGTTGAAGACAATTAGTAAAATTCAAAAGCACATACACAAGCTATATTTATTTTGAGCGCAAAAAACCGATTTGATGACAGCAACTTGAAAATAAAATGTCGTTTTAAGCTTCATCAGAGTTACCAACTACATCAATATCGGTTTTGCTATTTTCAACATCCTCTTGTCGTCTCTCACAATTTATATTGTGGCTCGTCATTCAGGCAAAATGCTGAGTGCCTTGAGAGCTCTGATTATCGCCCAGATCTCGGGAGCGTTGTTACTCTGTCTGCTGATTCCAATCAGTGGACTCTACTGCGTCTTACCGATTCCGATCCTGTTCAGCATGCACCAGGGCTTTTTCCCCTTCCCTCAGATGACTTATTATGTTTACATTACGCTCAATTATACCTTAATGTTTGCGGTGGCCCTCTGCACCCGCACGGCAGTTAGGAACGCCCTGACTGCTTGTCACGTTCAATTTTTCGAATGGACCCACGAAACGTGCTTGAATACCGTTGAAACAATCTATGCTGGCAGTTTTTTGTTTCTATTCGCTCTGACAGGGTACCCGGCCATCCGTGTTGTGGAATGGGACCAGGACTCGATGTGGGCGGCGGCTTTTCGAACTGATCCAAGGATCAAAGAGTTCGCCGCCGAGTACAGACCTTTCTTCGTTTGCTACAAAAAATGGGTGATTGTCATTTTTGGACTTGTCTCCGTAACCTCCGTTTGCGTGGTCTTCGGGTTTCTTTTCCTCGCTCACATGTGAGTCGTTCGCATTTTTTTTACTTATAAAATTTACTATATGTGTATTTTTTACGAATATTTCAGGACAATGACCTCAAAGATCACTAGATCCCCTACATTGCAACGTATCCAACGCCTTATTTTAGTTATGGAGCTCGGAACTATCACCGCTTTCTCTATTTTGGTCTTTCTTCCTCTGTTTTTGGCGGCCTACTTCAGTATATCAGGACCCCGAGAGCTTTTGAAGTTTTCACACTCTCCGAAAAATTTCTAACATTTTTCTGAACTTCAGACTACCAATTATACTCGTCATTTTGGCGCCACTTCAAACTTTATGCTTTTCTGTGTGCGGCATGAACCTCACATTGATCGCACCTTATCGGAACGCCTTTGTTGCGATTTTCCGAAAAATTAAAGTTTTTAAAGCAGAGGAAGTTTCGAGGGTCAGTGACAGATCTCGAAATGTCCTTTTTTGAAATGAGTTTTGCAATAAATTTCTTTTTTAACGGATTGTTCTCACACGAACTTTAGAGCCGTTTTCTTCGAAGTTTTTCTAAAAAATAGTTTATTCAAACTTTTTAGATTAAAAAACTTTATTTTTCTTCTCAGCATTTTTTTCACTAATGCCACGATTAACGTTATGACAATGTTTTTAAAATTTTTTTATCACTGGTTTTTTTGAGCGAAACTTTTCTCACTTGATCGATTAATTAACGGCTCAGAAACGTTTGAAAGAAGTGTAAGACGCTTGGCGCTACCTTTCGGTATCAGTAATTTCAATTTTAGAGAAATCTCGATTTTTCAGTGAATTTCTATCAAGGTGTACTTTGTATTCTGAAGTCTGAATTTCAATCAGATTTTTCATTTGCCTCAAGAAAATTTTCTCTTTCCGAATTCTCCGAAACGCCAGAACTTTCAGTTTAATCAATTTAAAAAAAAACTTGGTTTCTCTGATTTCGAGGCGTTTCGTAAACGTGGTCTGGCTGTTCATTTTCTGACGAGCAGGTGAAATTTTGAGGATTGAATTTCAATTCCTTATATTCATTTTTTCATTTTTTCATTTTCTCTTTTCTTATGTCGTCTTTACTGAATTATTTGGATCTACACTTGTATGAATTTGATGCGGCCGGAATCGTCGATGGATTTTACGACGCTTTCATCATGCAGAAAAGGTTCGGTTCGAAATTATTATTGAAAGAATACTGGAGTCTCAGGTAAATTAAATGACCTTTAAGAAGTGATACTTTGTTTTAAAAAAAAGTAGTACTGATAAATTTTTTCAGCTTTATCAGCTTCACGAACAAGATTACTGTGGGCACAGCCATATTCAACGTGTTTTTGTCAAGTTTGACTGTTTTCATCATCGCTCGACACTCTGGGAAAATGCTCAGTTCTTTGAGAGCTCTGATTATCGCCCAAATCCTGGTGGCTTTGTTAATTTGTCTCTTGCTCCCGATCACCGGACTCTACTCCGTCTTACCGATTCCAATCATGTTCAGCCTGCACCAAGGCTTATTTCCATTCCATCAATTCACTTATTTTATTTATATTTCTCTCAACTATACTCTGATGCTTGCTGTCGTTCTCTGTACCCGCACCGCTATTCGGAACGCCTTGGTCGCTTGTCACGTTCAATTCTTCGAATGGAGCCATGAAACGAGCCTGAACTTGGTGGAAACCTTCTATGCTACCTCTTTCGTGATTGCGTTCATCATGAACATTTATCCGGCGATTCATGTCGTGGAATGGGATCAGGATTCGATGTGGGCTGCCGCTTTCCAAACGGATCCGAGGATAAAGGATTTTTTCATCGAGTACAAACCGTTCTTCGTGTGCTACAAGAAATGGGTGATTGTCATTTTTGGAGAGGTTATTGCAGCTTCCATTTGCCTGGTCTTCTCGCTTTTCTTTCTTGCTCACATGTGAGTTCTTATTCTTTGGCAATTCTATGAGCCTTTCCGAGCTAGTCGCGATTTCGATAAAACGGGAAAAGAGAAAAAAATTGAACAAGCGGAAAATACTTTCTTTGAAAATCCTCGAAAATTTCGCCCATTTTTTTTTCTTTTATTTTGGCTCCAACTACTCAAAAAGAGCTTTTTTGAGTAGTTGGAGCCAATAAATGGGCTCTCTTAAACACTGTTTTTCATCTGTTGATCACGTTCCTCTTTGATTTTTGAGAAAAAATGCAGTTTTTTTTAACGAATTTTTGTATTAATTAGAAGAGCTGTTTCCAATATGAACTCAAGCTTCCAGCCGCCTATTGGGAGTTGTTGATAAAAGTTTTTCAATTAATCAGCTAAAATCGAAAAGTGGATGAATTGAAAGCTCATGTTCTATCTTCATGAATAAATCCTCTTCAGGGCTCCTCAAAAGTAAACTTTTGTCTTTATTTTTATTTTTCTTTAATTTTTCAGGACAATGACTTCAAAAATCACTAGATCTCCTACTTTGCAACGTATCCAACGGCGTATTTTAATTATGGAGCTCGGAACTATTGTCGCTTTCGCTATTTTGGTCTTTCTTCCTCTATTCCTGGCTGCTTATTTCAGTATTTCTGGGTCCCGAGAGTTTCTAAAGTGGTTGACTTCTTCCGAGATTTTAATCTGACTGCTAATTCCAGATTCCCAATGACTCTCTGCATTTTGATGCCGGTTCAAACTTTGTGTTTTGTAGTTTGCGCCATGAATTTGACGCTGATCACACCTTATCAGACAGCCCTTTTAGCTATTTTTAAACGAATCACAGGAGCAAAAAAAGAAGAAGTTTCCAGTACCAGCCTCAGATCTCGAACTGTCGTCATCTGAAATAAAATATTGATGTAAAGAGTTCATGATATAAAAGTCAATATAGTATTTGGATAGGAAGTTTCGTAATAAAGTTTTTTTGTAATTGCATTCGATAAAAAAAGGATTTTTTTGATTTATCAGTATTTTTTTACAATTCCATCCAATTTTTCATAGTTGAACTCACAACTTTTTTTAACGGTTATATTCGATGTAAAAATCTCGAGAAAAGTATTGGCTTTAATAATAATAAGAGAATTGGGAGTTGTGAACGCGCAAAGTTTTCTTCTCCTTCAAATTCTCAGAGTTTAGGGAAGTTATCAAACGCTTTCAGGCAAATGTTTTATTTCCCAAGTTTGCTGAGCTCAAATAAAATGATAATGAACGCAGCGAGGGTTATCTTGAACCAACGCGACTTTCCAGAGTACGCATAGCTTAAGGGAAAGTCGTTTAAAGTCGGGGGCAGCTCTTGAATAACTCGCGAGGTTTAGACTCTTTCCGAAAACGATGCGCAACAGTGACATTTCGAGCCAGTTCGTGCGTTCGAAATGTTCTTATTTCTGATAAATCGAGTATTAATGGAATTCGAAAAAAAAATTGAATTCAAATATATCTGCATTTCGGCTAACTATTTTAACGAGAAGGGGGGCCTGAAGCTTCCACCTGAAAGCCTACTTGCGTCAGAAATTTTTTTCTTCTTATTTCCAGAACCACAAACACTCGAGTTCTGATCGATTTCAAAAAAAATGATATTTATGTTTTAGAGTAATTCCGAAAAATGTGGCAGGTGTAATTTTAAGGAATAGATTTCGAGTTTTCTTTTCATTCTGCCGATGTCTTCTTTTTTGAGATATTTCGATCAACATTTGTATGAATTCAATGCGGCCGACATTGTGGAGGGATTCTATGACGCTTTTCTCATGCAGAAAAGGTGATTTTCAAATAGATTTGAGAGAAAAAACGTGGACTTTCAAGCTTCATCAGCGTCACCAACAAGATCACTATAGGCACGGCCATATTCAACGTATTTTTGTCGAGTTTGACAATTTTCATAGTCGCTAAAAATTCTGGAAAAATGCTCAGCGCCTTGCGAGCTCTGATTATTGCCCAAATCGTAGTGGCTTTATTAGTTTGTCTATCGCTTCCGATAACGGGACTTTACTGTGTATTACCAATTCCCATTCTATTCAGCCATCATCCAGGCCTTTTCCCTTTCCATCAGACGACTTATTTCGTTTACATTTTCCTCAATTTCACATTATTCCTCGCCGTTGTCCTCTGTACCCGCACCGCTATTCGGAACGCCTTGGTCGCTTGTCACGTTCAGTTTTTCGAATGGAGTCATGAAATCACTATAACCTTTATCGAAAATATCTATACGGGTGTTGTTCTTGGTGGTACTTTCATGAACATTTACCCGACGATGAATGTCGTCGAATGGGATCAGGAATCGATGTGGACAGCGGCTTTTCAAACTGATCCAAGAATTAAGGACTTTTTCATCGACTACAAACCCTTTTTCGTTTGCTACAAGAAATGGGTCGCTCTTATTTTTGGCGAAGTTGTCGCTTTTTCCGTTTGTTTGGTCCTCGGACTTCTATTCCTCGCTCACATGTGAGAGATAATTTATTAAAACTTTTTTCGGCCTAAAACGGTTGTATGTCGCGACGCTTTTCGCTATAGTTTTCTTAGACATAATTGATTGATTCAAATCGAATACTTTCCAAAAAAGATCGATTGGAATATTAATTTACTGAATGAAAAATATTTCTGCCAAAACTTCTACTAATGAAATACTTTTTGAAAAAAAATTGGGATTTGATGAAGATCTTAGTGAGCAGACATGGGTTAACCATTTTTGAAGGCCGCCGGCCCGTCCTCCGGAATTTTCCTGTGCTAAAGCTAATATTACCTCCCTATGGCTAGAACTTTTACTATTAAGACCGAAACTACATCCCCGAGGTTGAAACTTAATTTTATTCCTAATTTTCCAAAATTCTGGTAAGCCAACCCCTTCTCCCGGGCTGAATGAGTTCTGTTCCTGCCCATCTATGTCATTGAGTCATTCTTCGAAGAAATTTTACAGGACCACGACTTCAAAAATCACTAGATCTCCTACATTGCAACGTATCCAACGCCGTATTTTTATCATGGAACTTGGAACCATTATCGCTTTTGTAGTTTTGGTTTTTCTACCCCTATTTCTGGCGGCCTATTTCAGTATTTCTGGACCTCGAGAGCTTTTAAAGTTGTTTCGTCTTTCAAAATGTCTCATCCTCTGATCATATTCAGAGTTCCATTTTCGCTCTTCATCTTGATGCCTGTTCAAGCTGTATGTTTTGTAGTTTGCGCCATGAACTTGACGCTGATCACACCTTATCAAACGGCGTTTGTGGCTATGGTGAAGCGACTCCGGGGAATGAAAACGGAGGAGACTTCCAGGAAAAGTTTAAAGTCGAGAACCACGGCTATTTGAGTATTTGCGCGGACTTCTTTTTTTTCACAAAAATAGTTGAATAAATTGTTTTTTTAATCATTTTTTTTTACTGAAACGAAGATTCTGTTATTTTCCGTGGCTATTCTTCTGAAGATTTTCCAAAATACTTGCGTGCCCGACCTCATCTGAGGCCTGTGTGGGAATGCTAGGGAGCGTTAGAGCAGGCTTTTTTTTTACCAAGTCGTATTCGAGCCATTCCGTCCGTTTGGCTTATAAAACATCTATTTAGGCGTCTGCTCTCAGAAATTCGAAGAAATGAATAGTGAATCTGTTATCAAGTTGTTTACTACGCAATTTTTGCATTGGAAAACGGGTAATCTTATCCAGATGACTTTTTCTTCTGAATTTTCAGTTTTAGCGGTTCTTTGCGTTATACTCGTTTTGTTATATATTTTCCCTTGAAGCTAGAAATGTGAAAGATTACAAATTTGTCTTTAGATTTTTGTTCCGATTAGTCAAGTTTTTCTCGACATTATCTTCAGCCAAACCGAACGACATTTTTTGAAATTCCGCAGCTGAACATTCGACGGCTGCTCAGCTTCTTGTGAGCAGGTGAAAAACTTGTTTAGTGCCAAGAAAGGAGAAACTGCTTTTATTTATCTGCTTTTTCCTGTGATGTCAGCCTTTTCGGACTTTTTGGACTTTTTGGATGAACCAATTCATTCTTTTGATGTGGCCACTGTTGTCGAAGGATTTTATGAAGCTTTCCAAATGCAGAAAAGGTTTTTTTACAGTTTGAACCACATTTTGAAATTTCTTATTTCAAAAAACCTAAAATACAGCTTTCCTTATTCGAAAGTTTTGAGAAGTACTAAAAAGCTTTTTATTTCATTTTTATTTAACCAGTTAATCATTTTGAGCAAATTTGAGTTCGAAAAAAAAGGAGCAGGTTTAAGTGACGAGATGAAGAGGTTAACAGAGTCTTTTTGCGTCTCTGACGTCTCTTTGGCCTGCGATTTATCTCTTTCTCGTCTTTTGAAAGTATTTTCAGCTTTTTAAACATTCAACTTGAAATGCCGTCATGCTTGCCAAAATTATGATTTATTCAAATTCATAAAACTCGTCCCTCTCCTGCAAAACTTTATGGAACATAGAAGTTCAGATAAATCAGATAATCATAAGCCTCGATTTCGAATGAGTAGAAAATAGTTCAAATTCTCAACAAATTTTCGTTATCTTTGAGCTTCTTCCTCTGTTAAAGTTCAGATTCCAGTTATATCGCAGTAACCAACTACGTCAGCTTGGCTGTCGCCATTTTCAATGTCACCGTGGCTAGCTTCACTATTTATATCATTGCCAACTACTCGGGAAAGATGCTAAGTACTTTCCGAGTCTTGATTATTGTCCAAATCACGGCGACTCTACTACTCTGTTTGTTGCTCCCAGCTTTCGGTCTCTACACTGTCCTGCCGATTCCGATCCTATTCAGCAGCCATCCGCGTCTTTTTCCCTCCTATCAATGGACTTATCTGGCTAATCTATTGCAGTACGGCTTGCTTTTCTCGATCGTGACTATCGGCGGACGGGCCATAATTAGGAGCGCATTCATCTCGAGTCACGTCAAATTCTTCAACTGGAGCCATGAGAAAACGCTGAGGTTCGTAGAGTCGATCAACACTTGGATTTTGGTCTTGGGCTTTCTGCTGAACATTTATCCGGCGCTGAACATTGTCGTGTTCGAGCAGGATGAATGGTGGGCGGCCGCTTTTCGAGTTGATCCAAGGCTTGTCGAATTCGGCGAAGAATACCGGCCGTTTTTCGTCTGTTACCGCAGATGGGCTTTCGTCATATTGTTCCAACTCCTCGTTGGATGTCTTGTCGTCCTTTTCAATTATATCTTTCTTGCCAGAGTGTGAGTGAGATTCTAAATTTCACGTTATAAGTATATTCACGACGGTTTGGAGCATTATCAGTGTCTGCGCTCTCTAGTCTTCATTTTGAGAAAAAGACATTGACAAGTTGAGCGAGCAGACACGCTGATGAAGCGGAAATTTTTGGTAGAAATCAGAACCTCATCAATCCTTGAAGAGCTAGTAAATTTTTGTAAAAATGGTGCTGGCACAAAGGGCAAAAAATTGTGTAGAAATCAGAAATTTACAGACACTTCACGATAGATTTTAGCTCATTCGTGCTCTGAATCAACAGTATATCAGATAAAGATAATAATAATAAAAATGAGATTGATAGCTTTCAGAAACGATGTTTATAAGATTTTTTTCATCGTGGTTTTTTTATTACTACTTTTTTTTAAGCGGATTTCAAAGCTTGAAAGTCTGATAGAATCAAATGAATCTCGAAATTCCCGTTTCTGAGACTCGGAAGGAATGGAGGCATAGAAACTGCTTCGGAGATTGAACCGCGATTTAAAGTTCCACGGTTGGGTCCAAAAAGGTCAGAAAGTTGTCTGGAAGATGAGAAAGAGATGGATCATTAAAATATAAGATCTTCATAATTTTCAAAAAAAATGTTATGAACTTGAAGATCTTCTCTTCCCCTATATCTTATCATAAGTTTGCCATCAGAAATTTCTATTTTACTGTAAATCTTTCATTTTTTCATAATATTTTGCTACTAATTTTCAGGAAGTAGTACAAAACTGAAATCTCGATATTTCAAAAATTAATCCAAAAACATAATTTCAAAAATTGCAGAACAATGAATTCCTTGGTGACCATGTCGAAAAAGTTGAAGCGCATTCAAAAACGTATGCTTCTCATGGAGGTCGCTTCTTTTGTGGCTTTTGGCACTTTTGTTGTTATTCCACTGTTTTTGACGGGATATTTCAGTATCATGGGCTCCAGAGATCTGTTGCGGTTAGTTCTGAAAACTTCCAGAAAAAAAAAATGATAAAAAAGAAAATGGTCATTTGGTCCCATCTTTGTATTTTCCAACGGTTTTTCATAGCATCAAAATTTTTATTTTGTTTTTTCCTCGAAACACTGAACTTTTCAGCATTCCGTTGACACTAATGCTGTTGGCACCTATCCAAATGTTATGCTCTATATCGTGTATCATAAACGTGGCTTTGATCACCCCTTATAAGGAGGCTTTTCTTGAAATGGTACGAAAAATCATTTTATTGCGACCGCCGGCTGTTTCAGCAACCATGATAGCGAATAGATCAGTCTTTTTTTGAAATAAATATTCACCGATATCACTTCAAAAAAAGGTTGAAATGAATCCAGCCGAAGCTGCAACCGACCTGAAAAGATTTGCGCGCAGGATCATTGTAAAGTCATTGTCAAGGTGGCTATAGACAACCGCGACTTTGAGTCGTTTTACGTCCGACCAAAGATTCTCAAAAACGTTGAATAAATATGGGCAAACATAAGAAAAATGAAATATATATAATTATATAACTTCACGTTTTCAAAAAATCTTAGATTAAAAAAAAAAAATTAAAAAAAAAAATCTTTATCTGGTTCCAAACTTCTGTCAAAATGCAGAGTTTAGTGTAATTTGAAATTTGACACAGCTACTTTTTAAAATTTTCACACCTGATATGCCTTTGAAGAATCCTGAGACGAATATAGAAAAAGGAAACAAGTATTCGTAGTAAACCTAAATTATTTCCGTTCCGACTTGAAAGGTCGAAGGAAAAAATGTCCTTTCCGAGTGGTTCCGCTGAAATCGGGCGCCGGATCTTTGCATGGAAATATTCGCGACACGTACGCTACAATTTCTCCTTTCTTGTATCTTCCCAAGTTTCAAACTAAATTTCGCTACGGTCGGTTCGGTACCTTTTTAGTTCGAAAATTTGTTTTTTTTTTATGGAATTGTCCATTTCCATGATTTTATTGCAAGTTGCTAAACTGAAAATAGTAATTGTGAGGAAATACGAGCTGATAAAGTTCTGTTTTTCTTTAACTTTTACTTAATAACGCCGTGGCTGCACGTGGAATGGCTCAAAATTGATTATGTCCCATACCATTGCGCGAAAGTCGTTCGAGGTCGGATGCTTCTGGAAGTCGTGAAGTGTCGATCCATCCCACGGGCCAACACGGCTTTTTAAAGTCGGGCGGTGCATTTTAAAAAAAGAATTTTTTTGTTTTAATTCTATCAATTTTTCCATTTTGTTTCAGATAAAGAAGGTGAATGAGAAAAACTTCAAGGAAGGTTTTCTCACTTCTAACAATAACATTTGCTTTTTGTAAGTTTTTGAAATTGCGAAAAAGTTCATTTGGATCACTCATTTCAGTGTACTTTAAAAACCATGATTTGCTGGATGTGAACGAGAAATTGGCAGAAGAGAAAGCGACGCGGAAATTGATGAAAAAAGAAGTTGTGTTCAAAAATGTACATCAATCATATCGCGTTTTGATCTCTCCCGACAGCTCTCAGTGTTCCGGGTTTGTTTTTGTAAATATCGATTCGATTGAGAACTTTGAAGGAGCATGAGAATAAGTGGGTAAAAGTCTCGGCGCAAAACGCTTCTTTTCAATTTGAAATTTGTTTTTTTGACTTTGTTTATCTCATTCCTGGAATGGTCTTCGGATGTTCAAATCTGGATATTCAGAAAAAAAATTTCATTCTATTATTATTTTCGAATTAAGTTTCCCTTCAAACTGATGAAGTTTTTTTTGCACAATAAAGGATAATAGTTTTCTTGCATGTATAGCCCATGGCTGACTTAGCACAGCGAACGGGCGGTTTCACTTTCGCGGCGATGGTAGATCATGGCGGTCAAATATGCGCCTTTAATAAGAGCCTGTGAATTATTTCTGTTTCTATTGAGTTTATTTTATGTTTACATTCATTTCATTGATTTTAGATTTTCTTAAATCGACGAATAATAAGAGAAAAAAAATAAGTCAAAAATGGGGCTTCGATGAAAGGGGCATGGATAGTCGCCATGATCTACCGTCGCCACGGAAATCAAACCGCCCGTTCGCTGTCCCAAGCCAGCCGTGAACGGGTTATACATGGACCACGTGGCCAATTTTTTCAGACTTAAAATAGAATAAGAGAAAGTATCACTGAACGTGCGCTCCGCGGAAAAGCGTGGAAATGGGATTTTCGAAATTTACGAAAAACTGCGATGTACGGCTAGCTTGCATTTACGGGCGCTAAGAAAATCTCCACTCACTAGGCACTCTTTCTTCTTGCATAGGACCATTTTTTCGATGACTCGAGCCAGTCGTGAATCGGCTATAAATCGAGACGTCTTCTAGATCACATTCGAAAAGAGCTCTCTTCCTCGAAAGAAACATTAGTTCTTCCTTCTTCAACCATAGCAAGGATTAAAACGTTTTTTTTCTGAGTTTAAAGTTTTTAGAAGGCCAAAAGTTCTGATCATTGTCTTATCAACGGCTGAACATTTTGAACAACGGCAAGTAATTCGAAACACTTATGGGAATCCGAAACTCTCTAAATCAGTTGCGGTAATAAGCTTAGAAAATACTAAAAGCTTTCTCATGAAAATATTTTTCCAGGAAAAAAAGATTCTCGTCAATTTTATAATGTCGCGACCGAAATCTCATGACCTCATGCAGAAATTAAATAAGGAGAGTGCGATTTACGATGATATTGTTGTGACTGATTTGCCTGAACACTATTTTCTTCTGCATTTAAAGGTTTTCTTTCGTCCTGGAAAAAAAAGGAGATTTTTCAGGTCTTTGCTCTGCTGGACTTTTTCCGAGACAATTGCCCCCAGGCGGATTTTGTGTTGAAAGTCGACGAAGATGTCGTAGTCGACGTTGACCGGATGCTTTATTTTATCGAGAGAGATATTCACGCGAATATTCTCTCGATAAGTGGAATCGTTTGGGTTGCATCAAGTGCTCTACGAGATCCGACCAATAAATGGTTCGAATGTCGTTCTTTTTTAATTCACGTGGAATAGTTCAACGCGTGACGGCCTGACCTAACTCAAAACTACTCGTGCACATCAGAAGAAATCAGAACGAGCTTTTGAAGCTCATCTTCTCAAAGCGACCGCATCGCTTCGAGCCATTCCACGTGCAGCCATGGCTTTTCTAGTCGTTATTGAATGAGTCACCAGATTTTCAGGTACGTCACTAAAGAAGAATGGCCCGAGTATTACTATCCACGTTACTGCGACGGACCTTTTTATTTGATTGGTCGGTCGGCGGTCAAACGATTATTGCACCATGCAAAAACGACTCACGCTTTCCGATTCGAGGTTTTTTTCTTGTGATCTCTTTTCTGTTTAAATTTTCTTTTTTCTTGAAAAAACGTGAAGAAAGGACTTTGGAAGAAATTTTTGAAAATCTTCTTTTCTTTTGTTATTGATGTGGCCTATGAAATATGAGTCTTTGATATATTTATGATATATTGTGGAGCTTTTTTTCGAGTTCTCAACCATTCCGTTCAAAGTTCACATTAATTTTCTCTAAAAAAAAAAATTTTACGTTTTGCGTACAGCAAAAGGTGCATACAATTTCATAAAAAGGGGGGGGTTTCAAAAAAATTGACTTCGCGTTAAATCGCAAACCGCTACTCCCTGACGTCATCCCTATGACATCATCTTCATTTGCAAAATTAGCACACGCATCCATATCATTTTATTCATTTTTTTTACGTTCCCATTTATAAATTAGATTCGACGTGAAAAACTTTTCCGGTCACATGAGAAACAAAAAGATATCACACTTGAAAATCCGCTTTTTGATTGAAAACTTTTTTTTATTCTTCTATTTTGAATGAATGAATGTTTATTTCGCTCACAGACAGATCTGTGGCGTGGAGGAAGAGAACCATGAAAGTTATATTTGCCTCCACTTCGATAAAGTTCCACTTTAATCTAAAAAAATATTTTAGGTCGAAATCGAAGAGAATCAAAAAAAGAAAAAGTAATCTATAAACGAGTTGAATCATTTTGTGAAATTTGCAGCTTCCTTATCAAAAAACCAATTTTTTTCAAACAACTTTTAAATCTTCTTTGGTCATCCTCAAAAAAACCATAACTCTGTTTAAGCCGTTCCAGTATTTATACACGCGTTGCGTAATAAAGTTATAGTGAACATGATGGATTGGTGGTGGTTCGAGTTTAAGGCCGTTGCCTCTCAGTTGGTTTCGTCTATTTGATATCGTTTGTAATTTGAATGGAGATGGACACCAATAATAGCCATATATGAACTGATGTGTAATTATGATATCTTTTCGCAGACGCCTTGTCCATAGAGTGTCTAGAGAAAGGGATTTTAGTCTTACAGCATAGGTTTCTTTTGGGAGAAGCCGTTTGGTGAATTTTCTTTGAACCGATTCTAGCCTGTTTATGTCAGATTGGGTTAGTGGAGAGAATAGCTCCGATCTATACTCTAAAATTGGTAGAATTTTGGCTTTATAACAGTTCATAAAGTTTTTGACGGAAAAAGTGAAGCAACGGAAAAGATTATTGATTATACGAATGCTTTTTTTGACTATTATGTCGATATGATGATGCATTTTCAGATCGGAACTGAAATTAACTCCTAAATCTCTAATCACCTCTTGTTTGGGGATGGATTCCTCTCCTATTCTATAGTCGTTCCAGATTCCCCTTCTTTTTACCATACCGCACATAGACGCTTTTTAGAGCTAGAAATAGATAGTTGCCTTTCTAAAAAGCCAGTATCTTATTGAGTTAATATCTGATTGCAGCTTGAGGTTATAATTATCAGTTTCTGAGCTTATGAATAATTTTACGTCATCTGCATAAATGAGCATTTTGCTATGTTTTACGACACTAGTTATATCATTTATGTATATCAAGAAAAACAACGGTCCTAAGCAGCTTCCTTGTGGAACCCCAGACAACACCTCGGTTTCGTTGGATACCTCATCATTAAGGCGGACAAATTGAGTTCTATTTGTTAAGTACTGTGAAAACCATTTGTGTAAGCGACCTACACACCCATAAGCTTTTAACATTTTAATGAGCCTCCTACACTAAGAATAACTGCCGAGATAAACGCGAGACACTGGCGGTACATTGACGAGCTCGCAAACATCTCGCTTTTTTTCTCGCGCCGGTCTCGCATTTTTCTGGGCGCCAGCTCGCACTTTTCTAGGCGCGAGCTCGCATTTCTCTCGCAATTTGAAAATTTCCGAAATGCGAGATAAATGCGAGATGGCGCCGAGAAAAATGCGAGGTCGCGCCGAGAGAAATGCTGGATCGCGCCTAGAAAAAAGCGACATTTTTGCGAGTTAGTCAATGTACCGCCACCGAGCTCGCGTTTATCTCGTCAGTTATTCTTAGTGTATGTGTGACTGAATCGAAAGCTTTACTAATATCTAAATATACAACGTCCACATTCTGATTTCTACTGGCGCACTCGATTAAAAACTTCTGTTTTTGAAGAAGTTGCGTCGTTGTATTTCTATTGTTGAGAAAGCCGTACTGTGAATCAGAGAGTATATTGTTGCTCCATAAGTGATTTCTTAAAGCTCGGACAGTAATAGATTCGAAAACACGACATGGAACGCATGTTAGGCTCACAGGTCTGTAGTTTTTCCGCTTTTTTTGAGGGCTATTTTTTTGAAAAATTGGTCTAACTATTGATTTCTTCCAAAGAGAAGGCAATATGGAGGTATCCAATGACTTCTGGAATATTAATGATAAAGGCAACGCTAGGGGAAGGGCAAGTTTTTTTTACATAAAATTGATGATAAGTTATCTGGTCCGGATGAGTAAAGAGGTTTTAATTTTTTTCAATGCTTCATATACAACATGAGGTTCTACGCTCACGTTGTCTATAGTGAATTGAGGTTTGAAAAACTGGATCGAAAGATTTTTTTCATCATCAACTGTATATACGCTGCTGAAGTAATCATTAAATACATTTGCTTTGGCCCTGTCATTTGTGATCAGTTCATCGTTCAAAAGTAATGCAGGAGACTCTTTGATTACACGTGTTTTTTTGATTTGACGTAATTCCAGAATTGTTTACTCGAATTCGATTTTTTTCAAGAATGTTTTTTTCTTGATTTATTTTATATTCTTTTATGGAATTCCGATAAGATCTCATGCTGGCTTTGTAAATTTTTAAATTTTTCTCGGTACAAGACTTTTTATATTTTATATAATTCTTCTCAGTTTTTCTCTTTTTGAGCCTAATGAGGTACGGAGGGAATTTAAAAGGTTTTATGATTTTTTGTGGAACAAATTCCGCTATAAGTGGGTTGAGTATGTCTAAAAAAAGTTGGTACATAGCCTCCGGAGAACAACAAGTACTAAACCGATAATTCCAATCTATGTATGACAACTTTAGTTCAAGAGCTTCGAAATTTGCTTTTGCATAGTCATAAACCAATTTTGAAGAATTTTTTTGTTAAAACTGGATTTTTTTCGATGTTCAAAGTGCATTCAACCGTGTTATGGTCTGACAGGGGCTTTCCTATATCAACAGTACTGATAAGGCTTTTTGTCCGATACGAAAACCAAGTCCAAAAATATTGTCACCTCTTGTACATTCTCTAACCTTCTGTGTAAGACCATAATCACAAACTATTCTAAGAAAAACTTTTTTTGAGATTGAGTCGGTTGCACTCAAATTGTTCCAGTTTATGTTCGGAAAATTGAAATCTCCGGCAATTATGTGGCGTCCGTCTCCAATTGATTCGTAAATATGAAACATATATGATGAAAATTCTGATATGAAATGCGGATTCCAACCGGGAGGCCTGTATAAAACTGACAAATACCATGAATTTTTGCTATTGATGTTTGTAATTTTGATGGTAATGGATTCGAATGCTTCGGAAATGTTCTGACGGACTTAAATAATAATAATTTACTCATCCACAAAGTGAAAAGAATAAATAAGGTTAAGAACCGGTTTTAGGTCACCCTCACGAGTGACTTCACCGGATAGGGAATAAATTAGATATCACAGTTGATAAAAATACACGTATATGCATATTGAGATTTTTTTGAGATCATAGTAGCCGTCTAGGGATGCTGATGAATAATTCATTGTCGGGGATGTTGTCCAGATGAGATTTGAAAAATTTTTAGGAGGAACAGAGACGTTGAATCTAGAGCAGATTTTGTTCCAGATTGGGATCAGTTTTTGAAAAAGAAAGAATCACATAAAGGACCAGCCTGAATTAACCGCAGAGGATGTCGACCCGAATGAGAGATTCTGAAAAAAACCTGTGAGCGCTTGGAAAAATGATCTATCTTGAGGACAATTTTTGTGAAGTGTGCAGAGTGCAAGATTGAGTCTCCTTCTGTACAAAGCATTAGTTTCGAGCTTGAGCAATCTTTCAGAATATGAATTGAATCTTAAGTTTCTGCGCATGAAAATTTCTCTAGTGAAATACCTATAAGGTTTTTCGAGTAGATATGCCTGTTCGGAATTTATTGCGGGATAGAAAAACGTCACTGCAGTAGTCGAGGTGAGGTTTCACGAATAGGTTGAAAACCATATTATACTGTTGAATTGTGAGACAACGAAAGCTTTTTCAGAATTTGTTTACTTTTTGAGCAAAGAGGTGTTAACTGCTTTTTGAAATGTGAGATTTGAAAAAGTAGGGAACTGTCCACCATGACTCCAAGATCTCTGACAACTTCGGAAGAACTAATAAAAGTGCCTTTAATTGTATAATCTGTCCTAGGATTTGATCTGCCTAGATGGAGAGCTACAGTTTTGTTTTCAGCTAATGGGAGTCCCCATGTTTCGGACCACATAGCAAGTTGGTTGATTGCATTTTGTAGAGCAATTGGGTCAGAGGAGAAAATTTTAAGATCATCAGCGAATAGATAACTGGAGACGTCATCACTGAAATTTGCAGCTAGATCATTTATGAAGATTAAAAACAAGAGAGGCCCCGTAACCGTCCCCTGGAGTACACCAGATTTGATACTAAAACTGTCGAAAGAAACCTGTCCATCCAATAAAACCCAAGATTGACGTTCGGAAAGAAAATTTTCGAACCAACCAACTAGTTGAGAGTTGAGACCAAAAGCTCTAAGCTTGTCCAACAAAAGGTTATGAGGGACATTATCGAACGCTTTTTGGAAATCAAAGTAAATAACGTCAATAGATCTACGCTCCTTGAGCAGTGCTTTCCAATTGGAAACACAGTCGAGTAGGGCAAGTTTGCAGGATCGATTGTTGAGAAATCCGAATTGTTTATCAGAAAAGGAATGGCGAAAGGTCATTTTAATGTGGTTCGATAGTATTTTTTCCATAACTCTTGCTAAAGGATGGGTTAGCGAAATAGGTCTATAGTTGGCTGGGTCAGACTTTTTCCCTTTCTTGAAAACAGGTATAATGTAGGACTTTTTTTCCACATACTAGGAATGGACTTAGAAAAAGAAAGACTCATAAAAAAAGCAACGAAAGAGGAACTGCCAAGGCATCTTTACATTTTTTTAAGTATAAAAAAAGTTTATTAAATCAGGCGAAAAAAACCAATTTTTTTGGGCTGAGTTTGGACAAAACATTGCATACCGTGCTAGGAGAGAAATCAGGGGTGGGTTAAAGAGTTCTCGCGTGAAGGGAAAAATACAAGGTGTAGCGTAGGTCTGATGATTCCTATTTGATTTAAAAAAGTATTAAGAAAGGCTCTAGTTTTTTTCATCTGTAGAGGTGAGAATGGAACCGTTAGTAACTAAGGAGGGATGTTGGTTTTTGGCTTGAATTTTCCAGAAATAAACCTCAGAATACCGTTATAATTTTTTTAGAACTTACTACTTTCTTCTCGTTCTTTTTGAGAAACTTTAAAGCTTTTCTCCTCATAATACGAATAATTAAAGAATTTTGAACTAAAGCTTGATTGTTGGCAGGATCGTTCGCACGCTTGAGATAAGCTTTTTGTCGAATCAGCCGCCTTAACCCACGGCATGAGTTTATTAGTGGTTTTTTTGAACAAGAATGGGGCAACATAATTCAATGAATTCATTGAGAACCTTAGTGAAGTGTTTGTACTTTTCTTCTAGTGAGGAAAAATAGGAGAACTGTCGTGGCCAATTAAAAAGCACTTATGAGAAAAAAATCAATCTAGGAACGTCGCATTTTTTTGTAGTTGAGTTTTTTTACGCTGAGGAGCAACATTTTTCACTATGAATGTTGGAGGAAACTGAAAAATTCAACCGCTAGGTGGTCTGTTGTAATAGGAGGTATAATTTTATTGAATGCGCTAAGACGGTCGGAGGAATTAGTTAGAACTAAATCTAGAAGAGTTTCAGTACCGCTGTTATCAAGTCTAGTGTTGAAGGGAACCATCTGTTCAAGATTGTTTTCTAATGCAAATTGGAAAAAACAGTTGTTAGAGCTATGTCTGTCAATGGTGTCAAAACCCCATTTTATACGAGGTAGATTTAGGTCACCTAGCAATATGTTAGCCTCACCATCGAAACTGAATGCTTTTTTTAAATTCTCAATTAGGGCTTTGTCAAAAAGGAGAGTCTGACCAGGGGCTCTATACACTAGGCAGAAACGGATTTTTGATTTGTCCTCAAAGATAAGATCAAAGCAAAGCAACTCACAGAAGTGTTGGGGATAGTGCTCATTCAGGTCAACATCCTCCTCAGCAATTTGTAAATTCTTTTCTGAACAAAACTGCAACGCCACCGCCGCAGCTTTTTGAAATGGTCTGGACGACGATCACATCGAATATGAAAAAAAGAATTGTTAGTAAGCATTGAATCAAGGAAAGAATCATTTAAAAAAGGTTTCGGTAATAAAACAGATGTCATATGAGTTGTGTTCTAGAAAAATCGACTAAAACTGAAAAACTTCGCACTCGATGCGATAGAGCGACAATTGATGAGTAAACATTTAACATTAGAATATATATGAGATTGAGCAAAAGAGTTATATAAATTAGGCTGACTTAAGTCATTTCTGTCTCAAGGAGACATTGGTACAGCGTCGTCGGCAGCTTGAGCTGAAGCCGTAACAGGAGTCGGGGACGGCGCACCAGGTTCAGCTGAGGAGGAGACCACGAACGAACGACCATTTCGAACTTTGATGACGGAGAGATCGTTCAAATAGCAGACCACGCGGCCAGCAGCAATGTTGGCGTCGTATACTTGTTTGCGCAATGAACGTAGAAGTCTGAGCTCGGACAGTGTCATGTCGCGTCTACATCTAGGCTTCAGAGGAGCTGAAAGTCGAACTTCTTCCAATCCTTTGGCGAATTGTTGGATGAAGGAGTCGCGGATACGAGTAGAAGAAAAAAAGCGACTTTGAGCGGTCGGATTTTTGGCGGAACATTCATGGCGATAGACTTCGACGGGATCATCGATGTGTATCACTTTACAGATGTCTTTGATGAAGTCAAGGTCGAGAGCATTTTGATTTTCATTTTTTGCATCTGGGAGTCTTTCTATGACGGCACGGCGGCTTTTTTCGTCGAATTGAGCGGCTTCTTTGGCGATTTTTACACGTTCGGCGAGAGATAACGTTTCAGCGGAGAGGGCCAGAGAGGCAGAGGGCGAAGCGTGAGCGCGGAGCTGAGAGGGGCAGAGACGTAGAGGAGTCCTCGCGATTATTGATTTGCGCTGACATTTTTTTCAGTTCGGCGACGATTTGGATTTGAGAAGATTTGATGTCTTTGATTTGATTGAATTGGAGTTGAAGGAGCTCATTTTGTTGTTGGATGGCGATCGTAAGAGTCTTGAGCGACTCGAATTCTTGACGGAGTTGACAGTTGTCGGCGATCACAGCTTCCAGTGAACGTTTCAGCTCGATAACTTCTTCCACCAGGTCAGTCTTTGTTTTTTTGGCGATGTTGTCGGCAGCGTTTTCGGTCTTACGTTTCTGACCAGATGTTGTCGACGAGGCCGGTTGATCAGGTGAAGGATCCATGAAAATACGAGGGAGAGCAGCAACAGTCGACAAAAAAAGGGGGGGAGAGGGTTGATTTGGTCACCACTCGCTGCCAAGGAAGAGAGGACTTCGAAATGTATATAGTTTTTTGGATAAAGAATGAGTAGACCACCACCTTTTTTATGATTGGGACGACATATGTAAACAGAATTATAATGATTGAAATTCGTAAGAAGATCTAAATCATCGTTTGAATTTAACCATGTCTCTGTAAAAATGTAAAAGGTTGAGCTGCCAATTCCACATTCTGTTTCTAACTCTATTAATGATTTCTTACTTTTTAACCCTCTTAGATTCGACATATATAGTTTGCTTTTAGTAGAACTCATTGCGAAGACTGGCTGTTATTATTATCTACGGGTTCAGATCTTTCCTCCACCCCACCTGTCTTTGAAGGTACGTGAAGAGATGCTGGGGCATAGAGAGACTGGTTGTTGGTGGCGACGATGGCAAGGTCCCGAACGACGTAGCACTTCCGACCGACTTCTTGGTTCATGATGTGGCACTGTTGACGGAGGCGGCGGTCTTCTTTCAGCTCTTCTATGCTGAGGTCGTCGCGGGCGAATGTTCCAAACGTCGACTGTCCGAGGGCTTTCTTGATCGGGAAATAGCTTTTCCTTGAGGTCAATTTCACTTTGATGATTCGAGTAGAACCGGCTCTTTTTGTGCCATGACGGAAGACTTCGGCAATGTGTGTTGGATCGATATTGTTGGCTGAGAGGATTTCACGAGCACAGCCGGTCAGGTCTTCTTGTTCCGCTTCTTGATGTCCAACTACGACGATGGTCAGGTCTTTTTCATGGGCCGATCTTGACTCCAACGCACGTTGTGCCTTCATAGCAAGGGCAAGTGGCGAAGTTGTGGTAGGTGCGGCGACGACATCCGAATACGATTTCTTGCACTTCAAAACATCACGGACTTCACAGACGACGGCTGTGAGATCAGAAATTGTTCTCAAGATTTCTTCGAACCGCTCGTCGGATTTACGTTGCTGGTCTCGAAGAAGACGAATTTCCTCTGATTGGGCTTGAACGAGCCTTTCGAGAGCTGCGACCCGCTCCTCCCCGCGTGTGAGAGGCGCCATCAGAGTAGGCGTACGGGAGACGACAGAGAATAGAGCAACCGCACGGATGACACTTTAAGCGTGGAATGACACTTTAAGCGTGGAATGACACTTTAAGCGTGGAATGACACTTTAAGCGTGGAATTTTCTTACTTTTTTTAGAAAACTTTTAAAGGTTTGGAATAATCCGAGGCGTCGAGGCCCACGCTTACGCACAGTATGCTCCTTTTAATTTTCTTTTTTGGGAAATACATTTCACAGATTTTTTCGCTACGCGTATCAAGTTTGCAAATCGTTTAGAGCTATTTGACGAATTTTTCACTGTTGCTCAGTTTTTTCGAAGCGAGCCACAGTCGGCTTCGCGCTATGCGCGCTCCGCCTCCGTGTGAAGCCTTAAAACTAAGCCTATTTTCTTAAGTAAGGCATGAACCTGTAGGCGCAGTTTTAATGCAAAGGCGCAATTCAGGCTCTTCCCATTCTTCTATTTTTTCAATTTCAATTTCAATTCAATTCAATTTATTACGGCGGTACAGTACGGCGCCCAGCTTGTCCGGGGCTGACGGGCGTCGGAATATTATCCCATGAGAGAGCGGCAATGAGACTGACTAGTTGACGTGATGAAATGAGATAATAATAATCTGCTGAATCATGTTCACGTGAATAAAATGAATATATAGCCAAATATTTCGATTACGCTTATTTCTTGTGTTACGAATGATGTCATGAAATGAGGTCAGGGAGGAGCGGTTTGCGATTTAACGAAACCTCAAAAATTGTTAGTTAAAAAAAAACTGATAGTTTACTTTTGAATGATATATTAATGAAGGAGTTCAATTTGCAGGACGTATTGTTCACTGGAATCATTGCGGAAAAAGCGAAAGTTCGGAGGAACCCATGGAGGATACATTTGGTGCACTGTGAAATAGTTTTATTTTACTAATTACGGGGGCTAATTTCCTGTTTTGCAGGATCCGACGTTTGGTTGCTATGAAGGCGTTGGAGTTCGGGTGCCACGTCTTTTCGCTATCCATGGTGTACACGATTCGGCCAATTTCACGAGAGTCTTTCACAAAATACGCAACTTTCCTTGTTAATGAATCAAATAAAGAACGGGTAACAACAGTATTGATACTACAATGTACAATTTACAATTTATTCAGTCTTCAGAGTAAGATGTAGAAAAAATCTCTGCTGAATCATGGTATGATCGAAGAGTTAGTCAGTCGTTGGCGCGGATTACGGTCCACAATCGTTGTCCAATAAGTCCCGGCGTGACAGCTGGAGTTGGGAAATACAGGGTGCGCAATAAGTATTGAAACGCGTTTGAAACGTTATAACTTTCTCGAAAATCAACCAAACACCACCAAACTTGGAACAAATTTTATTCATACAATATAGAAACAAAATTCAAGAATAGTTTTCAAAACGTCCTCCTTTAGCATTGATAACGGCCTTCAGTCTCTTCGGATATGCATCGATCACGGCACGAAGGTAGTCGTCGTCGATTTCGTCCCATTTCTTGATGAGCGCGGTCTTCAGGGCTTTGATATTTGGGTAGTTCTTAGAAGAGACCTTCTCGGTCAGATATATCCACACGGCATAGTCCATCGGGTTGAGGTCGGGCAAGGAAGCAGGCCAATCAGCAGCCGAGATGAACTCGGAAAATTGGCGCGATACCACTCTTGAGTCCCTTTGGCACGATGAGCGGGGCGCCGTCTTGCTGGAAGGTCCATGGTCGGTTTCCGTAGTGAGAATTGGCTCAGGGCAACACCCTCAACTTTAAAATCTACTCCCAGTAGTATACTTGGTTCACTTTGACTTCAGGATCCACAAAAATCAGCGGAGTTTTGCCGTCAGCGGTAATTCCGGCAAAAACCATCACGGAAGCCGGATGCGAAGTTTTATTCAGAATTTTTCCTTTTTCACAGGCACTCTGATAGTCAGTAGCGATGATTCAATGATTTTGGCCTCCTTGTTCGCCTCCACAGTGAAGATTTTCTCGTCGGTAAATAGTGTCGTCAGATGCGAGCCATCTTTCGTGCCAGCGAGCAGCTTTCGAGCCTTTTTCATCCGCAATGTCTTGTTTTTTTGATTGAGGGAGGCTCCTTTCTGCATACGGTAGGGAATCATCTTCAGCTTGTCCTTGACAACAGTTCTCATCGATTCTCGACTCATTTTGTATTCTTTTGCCATCTTTCTCACGCTTCTTTCCGGAGTGCGTCTGATTTTCTCTCGAACGGCTTTGACTGCTTCTGGAGTCGTGACGGTGACTGGACGTCCACTTCTTTGCATGTCATCTGAAGTACCGAGACGCCGATAGCGTTGTGCAGTTCGAAAAACGAGAACACGAGACACTTTCAGCTTTTTACCGATCTCTGAATTCGTCATTCAGCTTTTGACACAATCTATGATTGCGGTACGGTACGGAGATGGGGCCACCATTACCTGAAAACTGAAAAGTATGAGCTGTAACTTCAAACACATGATAAGAGAGCATGAATGAACGAAATAAACAAAAAAATTCAATGACCAGTCCTTTGTGCAAAAAGCAGCGATCAAACAAAAAACGGTTTCAATATTTATTGCGCACCCTGTAATGTGATCCCGTGGGTAGTGCCAGCGAATAAACTGCTTCACCATGTTGGAACAGTACAGCGCCCAGCTTGTCCAGGGCTGACGGGCGTCGGAATATTATCCCATGAGAGAGCGGCAATGAGACCGACTAGTCGACGTGATGAAATGAGATAATAATATTGATACTAGTTAATGAAAAAAAAAGAATCACAAACGTTTCGTATGACTTTTGCAAAGAAGAAAAATTGAGGTCATAGCTGATTTTTTTAGGCGAAAAAGTCATAAAATGCAACGGAAAATAGTTCTTCGCCTTGAGGCTTTCATGAAGGTTTTCTATGATTTTTGAATAGCCTACTAAAGAGGTCATAGGCGAATCGAGAAAGGGTATAGCGAGACCATCTGAGGTATATCGCAGGCTCTGAAGTCTCTAGATGGTACCTCGAGGATACCTCCGAGGATTTTGAGCAAAATGAGAGGGACTTGAGAGAGACTCTAAAGAACCTCCGAGATGGCGCAGATATATCTAAAAGGTAGGTCTCACAATGGACACATTATGGGATCTTCACGATCCATTTGGAGAGGTACCTTTGTGGACACATTATGGTACCCTCTCGATTCGTCTGTGGTCGAAATAGAATATAAGTTTGAAAGAAAAGTGTCTGTAGACGTAAAAGTTATCCGTTCTTGGGAAAAGTTTTTCGCCCTTTCTTAGGAATGAAATATAATGGTTTCAGACTTACCTGCACCTTCGAAGAATTTTTGAATGTATACAAATTCGATTCCGCGTGTCTGAAAACTATCAAAAAACTGATAGCATTTTTTTCCGTTGAAAACAAAAATAGGAAATTACAAAAAAAAAACTTTGTTCCCTAAGAAAGATTGAAATTTTTTTTTTTGAAGCAGAAAAGTTGACAAATTTTAACAAAGAAGTTCTTGGTATAATAACGATGTTTGAAATATGAAAGGATGAAAATGGTGTTCTGCTTTGAAAAAAAGCTTTTCGGAGGTGAAACAGTGTCTTTTTTTGAGAGGTCCCGCTCAAATCAGGCGGCGGATCTTCGTATCGAAAGTTTGCGACACCCATGCTTCAACTTCTCCTCTCTCACTTCTTCTTAAGATTTTATTCATTCTATTTTTTTCAAAAACAAAAATAACGTACAGATATTAAAAAAAGAAAAAGATATAAAAATAATTTTTTTGAAAGACGATCTTTTTTTCTGTAAGATTTTTTTACATTTTTTTATCCGACTTTTTCTCTTGTTTTTTTCCTCAATTTTTTTCAATAATAGTTTATTTGTCGTCTGCCAAAAATATTACAGATGTAATCCCATCTTTTTTGCCCATTTTCTCGCTGATCCTGTTAGCTCCAGGGAATTTTTCTCCATTTAACCATCGGTGATTTGAATCAATACTTGAGAAAGGCCTGTTGAGTTGTTCTTTTTCTTTTTTTCAAGTTTTGCACATTCTCAAGTTGTTACTATTATGTAGGAACTTGAGATCCTCACTACATTTTGGAAAGAAAAATATAACTATCTGATTGAATCAGGTGGGAAGAGAGAGAGCTGTCATTAATTACCATCGCTTACAAAACGGAAAATTTTTATTTTTCGTTTTCTTTTTTTTCACTGGAAAAACTGAATTTGTGTCATACGAGACTTTTCTGGTTTCTTTTCGTTTTTTCATTCACTCCTTTTTCTATTTCTTTTTCTTTAGGGTGAAAAGGAGCTATGACAATCTCCAGAAAGACTATTTTACTACTTTCCATTACTATTGCCCTCTGTAAGTTTTTAATGTTATTTTCTGAGAGCCATTAAAATCATTCTTCACAGGGATCTTTTACACATTTCACCTGCTTCATTCGAAGAAAGCTCTGGCAGAAGAAGAGAAAGCGACGCGGAAAGAAGTTGTCTTCAAAAACGTACACAAAACTTATCGATTATTGATTTCTCCCAACGATTCGCAGTGTTCCAGGTTCGTTTTCACAAAACTTTTAATTAAAAAGTCTGAGGGAACATGGGAAAAATGAATAAAAGTTTCGGCGCGAAAAGCTTCAGCTTCAGCCAGTGTTAGTTTAAGCGATATTGAAAATAATAAAAGGTTGTTTGCAATGAGAAAAAAATCATATAGAAAGTTCCATCAATACTTTTTTTCCAATTTTCAAGCTTAAAAAAACCATTTTTCGATGAAACTTTTAATGAGACAGTTAACTTACACGTCGTTAAACGGAAATTTAGTTTTTGAAAAATCAAGTTTCTGCAAACGCCAGTAAGTCTTAAGACCTGACCTCATTTGAGAAATACGCCTATTAAATAAAAAAAAATCGTATTTTCTGTAATTTTTCATTAATGCATTAATGTCGAAAATAGCGGTTTTATTTTTATTTTAATATTTAAAAATAGACAGTATGGCCAAAAATGGTCTTGTATGGTCAGCGGAGACGGCGCAGGGCAAACCGGACTGGTCCCTGTAGGTCTGAACTGTAACCACTGAATATTCCATTAACCCTTGAGGGACATTTTGAAATTTCTTAGAAGAAAAAAAATGGAAAAATAGAAAAAATCGATGAAAAACTGGTTTTCAAACATCTTCTTTTTTCCAAGCTTCTGAGATTCGTAAAAGTTAACTAAGAAAAATTCAAAATTGAAAAAAATATGGACTTTTCATTTTCCTTGGAGCGTTTTCGTAAGGGTCTTTTTTCATATTTAAATCTCTCAAATTTTTTCTCATTCAAACTCTCTTGTGAATGGACTCAAATTCAATATTTTTCAATTAAGGAATCCAAAAGTTTTGGTTGTTGTGTTATCAACGGCGGACAGCTATGATATGCGGCAGGCGATTAGAAAAACTTATGGAAATCCGAAAATCTCCAAATCGGTTGCGGTGAGATTCGAAAATGATCGTATTTTTCTTGTATTAACACTTTTTTTCTAGGAAGGCAAGGCTGTCATTAATTTTATCATGTCGCAACCGAAATCTCACGGACTCATGCGCAATTTATCGAGAGAGAATTCGACCTATAACGATATTATTGTAACGGATTTGCCAGAAGATTATAATCTATTGCATTTGAAGGTCTTTAGCTCTTCATGAAATAATTCCCACTGAAATTGTTAAGGTTTACGCTCTGTTGGACTTTTACCGAGAAAACTGCCTTCAAGCCGATTTTGTACTGAAAATCGATCACGACGTTGCATTGGACGTCGACCGGATGTTGTATTTTATAGATAAAGACGCCAAAACCAATAGTATGTCGATTAGTGGAATCGTCTGGCACGAATCGATGGCTCGACGAGATCCCACCGATAAATGGTTCGATTGTATAATGTTTTGAAGACTTTTTCAAAAATATTTTTTTGAATTTTTACATGCTGAGAATTTTTTCTACTTCAGACAAAAGCTAAAGCAAAATGAGTTCTTCATTGGTATTTCGCGAGTTTCTAGGTATATTACCAAAGAAGAGTGGGCCGGATTTTATTATCCACCTTACTGCGACGGACCTTTTTATTTGATTGGTCGAAGCGCCGCCCAGCGACTCTTGATTCATGCAAAAACTACACACGCTTTCCGATTTGAGGTTTTTTTTGGTTCGAAAGGGAAAAAACTGTTTGAATGAAATTGTAGGACGTGCTGTTCACAGGAATCATAGCCCAAAAAGCCAAAGTGCACAGAAATCATTGGATGCGACATTTGGTGCACGCCGTCGTGGTATAATCTTTCAGACATTGGTGGAAAAAAAAATGAGAAAGTTTTTGAACCGAACTCAGATCCAGCAAACAAAAAAGTCAATTATCTAGTTTTTTTTTGTCGAAAAAGTTTTCTGGATTGCTCTAAAGAATATGGTGGTACTCGATTCTGTCGGTCAACGCGTTTAAAACTTTTTTTTCCCTTGCTGCGAGGTTAAACTTCATGGGGGAGAAAATGTGTGGCGAAAATAAGATGCCTTAGCCCCGGCAGAAGCGGTATAAATATGGATTTTTTTGAAAAAATTTTATCCCTTTTTAAAATTTTCTCTGTGAAAGGTCCATTGAAAACGAAAAAAAAAAGTTTGAAATAAAAAGACGAAAAATTTCTACAGAGTAAAAGACAATCAACCTTCTCAGAGCTTCTAACAGCTTAATTTCAAAAAAATGTTGCAGGACGAGACGTTCGTTTGTATAGAAGACAATGGAGTTCAAATACCGCTTCTTTTTGGGATGCATTCCTTCAAAACGGCCGCCAACTTCACCGAAGGCTTTCTTCGAACTCGACATCGAAAAATGCGAGAAAAATTATTGACAAGATCGAGTAGAAATTATATGACAAGAATTTTCGATAAAAAAATGTCTAGATATATATTTTTATGGTTCAGAATTTGAACGCGCAGCAAGGTCATAACTGACGTGATCATTTTACAATAATTCCTCATTCTCCGATTTTTTTGGAAATCATTCTTCTCCCTCATTCATAGATTTTCAACGAGTTTCAAGAGAGGAACAATTTTAGAAAAATTCTCTGGCTCTGAAGCTGACGGCGCAATATTTACCGGCCGCCCACTGTCTTAAACATGCGTGTCCTATTACTCTGGCAGAGTAGGAATGGTGAGAAATGGCGAGAGGCTCAGAAAATGCAACAAAAAAGTCCCTTTATCGAGCTTCCCATTTTTTCTGCAATTTTAAAGACTCAAGAAATGGTGGAAAAATGGAGAGGCAGAAAAAATGGTGCGTTAGAACTGATGAAAATGGAGCAAAAAAGAAGCCTTTTTTACCCTAGAAGAAACATTTGTATTTATATGGAGCTTTTCTCCACTATTTCCGACATCCTTTCCGACCTGCCTATGAGCACTCTAAATTGACTTTTTTCCTGTTTTTGTCTTCTCAATCATCAAGAATTTTCCATTTTTTATATACCCTGACCTCTAATTTAACAGTCTCTTTTTATTCCATTATACCAAAAAATAATGGAATATATAATTTATCTTCTCGTGCCTATATATTTAAATTTTTTTTCTTAATTTTATCTTGGAATCTCTCGTTCGCTTCTATTATTTATTTTCCTTGGCGTTTCCGTCCGGTTTTAAAAAAATGCGAGTTGTAATGATACTCTTGATTTGTCCAACATTTTCACCGATAAACGATTTTATGAACTTGGTTTGATGAAGTAGAAAGTCTTTGCAATTTTATTTTAACATTTTTTTTTCGAGATGTCAAGTGGGAAAAAAGTTGAAACGGTTATTTTCGTTATCGGCGACATCAAGACGCGGTCGGCGCTGCTTGGGCTCACAGGACCTGCTTCAAACCTTTTCTGTATTATATTTTTTTTTATATCAATTCAAATGCTACATCTAGTTTAGTGCACAACGTCTACGGAAAAGATATAGGTCATTCGGCGCTAGATTGTCACAATTTCCAGTTTATTCGGAGCTACAGTAGCCCTTTCGGCGCTTCGCTTCGATGCTCTCGGTGTGCCTCCCTGCGTGCGCGTTCAATAAAACACATCATTTCCAAACTTTGAAATTTTCTTATTCTGCAAAAAGTTTTTACATGAAAATTTATATCAAACTAACTAGGAAACTACTCGGACTCGGCTACGCGTTGAAACTTTGGTGGCTTATAGACCCGGGTAAGAGTACTTGGAAACAAGAGAGATTATCTCTGCTAAACCCCATAGGCTTCTGAGAAAAAAAGCTTTTTTTGAAAATGAACAGTTTAGGCTTGAAAAATAATTAAATTTTTGCTTTCCTCCTTTTTTTGGCTGGAAAATAGTTTTTTAGAGTTTATCATAGCCGGATCATTCAAGGCGATTGCATCATGTCGTCATGATCTACCTTCGCCGCGAAAATTAAACCGTTCGTTCGCTGTCCCAAGTCAGCCGTGAACGGGATATAGCGTCTCAGCAGGGGCGGAGTTTGCTGGTTGAAATTCAAAATCTGAATAGACTATAGTACAAAAAGAGCGAGATGACCAACGACAGTTTGGTGGTATGAAAAAAAGACGAGCGAAATCTCTAACGGCGACTTTTTATATGGCTAGGGAACTTTCCGACGAATTTTCCGAATCCCTTTCCATCTTTTTTATCGATAAACTCTTTTTTCTGGAACTTCCTATATAGAGTAGGTAGTTGATACATGATAAACACACAAAGAAATAGTAAAAAAGATGTTAATAGATTTTTTTATAAACCGAAAAATATGAGGGAAAAAAGTCGGAAACTTCTCTGTCAAAAAGTTCCGATATGAAAAAGTCAGAAAAGTCGCCGTTCGAATTTTCGCTGGTATATTTTTCATCACTAAGAATAACTGACGAGATAAACGTGAGATCGGTGGCGGTACATTGACGAACTCGCAAAAATCTCGCTTTTTTTTCTCGCGCCGGCCTAGCATTTATTTCGCAATTTGAAAATTGTCTGAAATGCAAGATAAATGCAAGGTCGTGGCGAGAAAAAAAGCGACATGTTTGCGAGTTCGTCGATGTACCGCCACCGATTTCGCGTTTAACTCGTCAGTTATTTTTAGTGGTCCGTGCCTCAGTTATCTGAAAAAATGAGGTAAGAAAAGAGAAAAAAACTGCAAGAAACGAAGAAAAGTTTTGAACTATGATAAATCCTGGGAAGTGCTTTTTAGGAGCTTTTATAGAGTTGAAAATATTTTTTTTACCGAGTGAATAAAAACAAATCGGCTCCGAAAAAACGATATTCGCCAAAACCGTGAAGTTTCTTCAAGCATGGATCAAATATGTATAAGCCGATATTGAGTTTGTATAAATTTGCACGAGCTTACTAATACAAATTCTCTTCTTTAAAAAAAAACCTTCTACTGTCAATATTCACTCAACATAATTGCCTATATCGCAGCGGGCCGCAGGCGATATATAGTCTGTTCAGATTTTGAATGTCAAGCAGCTAACTCCACCCCCAAGGCTACAATATCCTTCGCGTCAATGTTTTATATCCAGATGACGATGAACCTTTAATAAGGCTGCATTTTTGACTTCTTTTTCTATCTTTTAGATCAAAAAAGATCAAAATTAGTCCCGCGCGTAAAAAAACATCGACGCGAAAAGATACTGTGGCGGCAAGGGCGGAGTTATCTGGTTGACACTCAAAACCTGAACAGACTATAGCCAAGGGATCTTGCTGCGACCTCGTCAAAGTCTCGCTGCCATATCGCTCCCTCTCAAAAATTTGAAATTAGAAAAACATTTTTTTTGCTTTATTTTTGATTATTATGATGAAATAAATCAAAATCAAGAAAAAAACATTTTTGAAGAAAAATTTTTTCAGAGAGCGATATAACGCAAGACGTTCGCGAGGTCGCAGCGAGAGGCGAGCGATATTGCTCGCGGCTCCTCCGCGATATAGCATTATTCTCGCTGTGATAGTCCACAATATTGGGTGTTATATCCAATCTGAAAAACCTGAAACATCAAAAACTTGAATGGAAAGCAATAGCATCGAAATCAAACCGGGAAAAAATTAATAATTGACAAATAAAAAAATTACCCCATTTTATGTAATCAACAGGAGAATTTTGGTCATGACCAAGTTTTTTTTGTTTTGTGAAGCATTGGAAAACATAATCATTAAGAAAGATGATGGCCGATAAATCGAAGCTATCCAGGTTCAAACGAAATTGGAATGTGAACATGCCCTGAAACTAGAGGCAAAAATATAATTAGATTACGAAATTTCGTATTTCGCGAAATATAAAATATAAAAATGATGAGGCGGATCATAATTTTCAAGGAGCAAGAAAAAATTTCACTTCCCCTGAAAAACTTTGACTGGAATTCAAATAGCTTCAATTACAAATGAATCCAAAATCTCGAAAGTTAGACATGCCAAGAGAGGTCGATGAAATAGCCACGTAGACCAAATATGACCACGCGGAAAAAATGAAAAAAAACCCACGTAGACCAAATTTGACCACATCGGAAAAGTGAAAAAAAAACATTATTGAACAAATTTTACAACTGCTACGGCTTTTTGCTAAAAAGGTTGGTTATTTTTTTGTTTTATATTTAAAAATTTCAATTATTTGAAACTAGTGTGTGTGTGTTGAGAGCTCCGTCAAGCCTAGTTTTTTTGTTTAAAGACCGCCAAGCCCCGCAGTTTTTTTGTATTTGAAAAAAGATATATCGACACGTGTAGATCGAAACAGTTGAAAATTGAAAAAAACCTCTTTCTTCCAGCTAATACACTTTGTTTTTACAAGAACATCATCCGTGGAAAAATCAACGCGTCTATCCTACTTTTTTTCTGTAAAAAGCTCTTAATTTTTTCAGAGAATGTAAAAAAACTATTAAAGTTTTGAATTAATCATAGAATAGCAAGAAATGTAACAAACTCAGCGCGTCAATTCGCGTAAGATTTGACGTTTGCTGTGTGTATACTATTGACGCAAACTCCCATACTGATCAATATTTCAATTTTCGGAATTGACAAAACTAAAAAATTCACCGATATAATGCCGTGTTCAATTTGATTCCGCGAAATGCAAAATACCCGTTAGAGAAAGGAAAAGATCACTAAATTGTGGAGAGTCAGAGATCATTTTGCATTTCGCGGAAATTACTTTGAACACGGCATAAAACTGAATAAAAAGATGAATTAAGTATACACGAAAAAAATTTTTCCAATTATTTGCGTGGAATTTCCATATATTCTCAAGACACTGGTAATCATTGAAATTCAGTCGGAAGAAGTTTGAATTTCAAGTCAAAAGTATGAAAGCGTAATTGAACGATTTCGCGCTATGAAATAACAAAAAAAAAAATCATTTCAAGTTCATTTCAAGACGTACTTTATATAGCATATGCCGAAATCAATCTAGATAAATAAGCACCAAAAAAAGGTGGTAATATGCAGCAGGTTTCTTTAAATAAAGCAGGAAAGTGCAGGAAGTGCGCTCCACCGTTAGCTTTATAAGCTTCGCACCCGATACAATGCGAGAGAAAGTCGCGGGAAACTTCTGAAAAACAAATTTCGTTAAATTGTGATATATATATGTGAGATCAAGCATAATATTTATGAAGAAAAAAACCAAAAAAAGTGACGCTTGCTGATGCGTTTTAATACTAAAGTTTTAGATCAATTTTATAAAAATTTGTGAGCTGGAAGAAAGAAGTTTTCTGTTTCATTCACTCAATTCCTACATTTTTGTCCAGCATTCTATTCAAAAAATATATCAAGAAAGAATTGGCTTTGCGGTTTCCGATAAAAAGTTCCCATGAAGGTTATTCTGAATAACATGGTTTTTTCAGTGTGAACAAAGAAAAATTACTTACATCACAGAAGTTGTCTGAAATTTACCACCAATGAACTAGAATCCCGGAAGAAGGCTCTGAAGCATTTTTAATGAGAAAAAGACTTCTAGTCTCGAAACGCGTTGAAAAACAAAAATGCCAGTTCAATAACATAAGTTTTCTAGCACAAAACACTGAGTGAATTCCGAGATTCTTTGGATCAAAAGTGATAAGAATGTGAGGAATAAATCACAATTTTTTTCTTGAAAATATCAACAAAAAAAACCATATTTTCTAGAAGCTCGCCTCAACTTTTATTCATGTTCACATCGTTGATTCTGAAACTCAAAAAGTATACATTTCTGGCTAACTGAGATATTAGCAAGGTTGAGATTATTTTTTCATCTTTAGCAAATAAAAGGTCAGAAAATTTCAAAGTTGGATGTACACTGACGTTTCTTCTAAAAAAATTTCCGACTTCGATGAAGACGATTTTGAACTTACGGTCAATGAACTTCCATTCAAACAAGCCAAATTTGAGATAACCTTATGACTTTCAGTGAAAATCAAGGCTGTTTCAGAATCATCGATTTTGAATCTCAATAGAAAGTTAAACCTAAACCCAAATGGCACAAAAACAAGTTTGCACCTGAATTTCAAAAAAACTTGACAAAAAGAATCAGAAAAAAAGGAGAAAAACAGAAAAACAAGAACGATAATAGTAAATTAATTTTTCCTTATTCAGAGTTATCAAACAACCTGAAATGGACGCCCAGATGAACATCCAACAGGTTCGTTTTTTTATCTTAAATCATTTTTTTCGGACAGAAAATGGCTATTTCATAGAATTTTTCAAATCTTTTTGTTCGATTCGAACACGGACTGAATTGAATAAGTCTGAAAAATTGGCCTAGAAATAAAGGATCAAAAATTTGAAAAATCAGTCTTATATCAAACTTCAACGTCTTTGCTGAACTACTCAGATTTTTTTCGAGGCGTTTTGAGATGAGATTTTGTCTCGGAATGTCTCGTAAAAATTGCTCTCGTCTTGTATCGAGAAGGAAAAAGAAACTACCGTAATAATTTGAGCTTTTTTTCTTGCTCTGCTAATTTTTCTACTTCTCCCAGCCAAAAAATAGGTTCTCAAAGGCTTGAAAACTGCGAAAGATGAAAAAATGCAAGGAGTTGAATTTTTTTTTTGGCTTTTTGCAGATTTCTGTTAATTGTTTGGCAATAATTCAGGCCATTCCAATAAAAAACATCACCTTCAAATTGGAAGGAAAAACCGACAACCAATTTGAATGTCCCAACCTGAAAAACGACTTTAAATGAATAATCAGACTTTTCGAAACGGTCTCAACTTTTTTGAACACGGGGATTTTCCGGAATAAAAATCGGAGCAAAATTTGCGTTTGAGATGAAAACCTTAGCGACTCAAGCTTTGCCCGATTGCCGAAAAAAATAATAACACTTTGAAAATTCCTATCTTTAGCAATAGAGTTTCGTTCCAAATGTATTCAGATGTAGTTTTCAGGGCCAAAATTTACAATAATTCATAATTTCAAACTTTCAGATCCCAAAGTCCGCCGGCTCCCAAACGGACCAGGTGGGATTTTTTTTTCTCAAGTTATGCAAAGAAAAAGGATAGCATCAGCGTTGCAAAAATGGAAAGATGAGAAGAAATGCCGCGAATTTTACCGTTTACTTGAATTTTATAGTAAAAATAGTTCTCACTAAGTAGAAGAAGAAGCTGAGCGTTCAGAAATCGACTCAGGCTTTTTTTACAATTTCTTTTTTTCGAACTTTTTTTATGATTTTATTTTCATCAGTTTCCTTCAATTTCTATGAGTCTTCCATAAAAACTAAATTTATAGAATTAGATAAATCTTTGAGACCTTAGTTCTCGAATTTTATAACACAAAAACTTTCTTTTTCCGGAAAAGTCACTTTGAAGTCAAGTCACTCTTCAAAATCGCAAAGTTGTCAAGGAATTTTCTTATACCGTGTTCAAAGTGATTCCGCGAAAATCGAAATAGCCGTCAGAGAAAGAGAAAGATAACTAAATTTTGGCGGGTCAGAGACAATTTCGCATTTCGCGGAAATTACTTTGAACACGGCATTAAAAAAACATTTGAAATTGTTTTCATTAATGAATAGATTAAGGCAAAAAAGTTTAGTAAGGCAAAAAAGTTCAGTAGAAAAGAAGAATGAAAACCAGAAAATTTTTAACGATAATCTATTTAGGAGAGGTGGGTGTTCGATGAGGTACTGGTCCAGCGTGAAGGCCAAGACGTTGAGCTTTATTTTGAAGCTCCGGTAAGACTTTTTCAAGCTAATTTCACATAAATACTAGCTTCGACTGCGCGAAAATTTTGAAGGAAATTTTCGAAAATCTTGAAAAATTTAAATTTTCATATATATTTATCCTTATTTCAAGAATAAAACCTTTCATTTATGAATAATTGTTAATTCAAAATTTCAGGAAGACCGCCCAACCCGCGAATGCGGCAACCAGACCGCGGTGAGCCTTTTTTCTTTTTTTCGATAAAACTGAATACCTCAACTTTGCGAGAATTCAAGCTTCTACTTTGCGAAATAGCTCGCACTTTTCTTTTAGTAGACACATGGGGAAGCTCTCACGCATCAGAAAGAATAGTCGAAGAAGACAAAAAACGGCGAGAGTTGAACGCCTGAAATTAAGAAAAGTTCATGCGTTTCAGCCTATAACGAAAATCATGAAATTTTCTAAAAGTATATTTTTTTACTACCGCAAAAATGAGGAAAATTTTCAGCGCCTCCCGGAAAGAGTGGTGGACCGTGCTTTGGCCGCCCACGAACAGCGTATCCGCTACTACCTGGATACGCTCAAGGCCAGGTCTCAGCACGGAGGTACAGAATAGTTTCAGAAGTATCAGTCTTTCTCACGATTCTCAGCTAACTTGACTAATCCAACTTTTCAAGCTCGCAGCAAAAAACGGTTCACGACTTTTTGCTTAAATTCAAGATAGGCTGCAAAGTTTTGGAAACTTGGAAATTTGTAACCATGATTAGGAAGACGAAAAATCCGTCTAAAATGAGAAGAAAAGTCTTTATCCTCTCTACGAGTTGATTATTATTAGTAGGTAGAACTTTTTTGATCAAATACGGAGATTTCGAGTATAAAAATTTTTTATAAATTGGAAAATTGGATTGCTTAAAAAATATATATAAGATCCCTATCAGTATCTGACAGGGCTTACAGCTAGAAGTATTTCATCGAAAAGAAATAATAAATGAATAAAAAGGATTTGACAACTTTTCGCCATCTTTCAGCTAATATCAAGTCTGTCAACTATTCAAAAATTGACTCAACGATGGTAAAAAAACAACGAGACCAGTAAAATATAAATTGAAGAGAAAAAAATCTTAGCTCTTTTTTATATACTTTTTTTCCATAAACAAAATATATAAAGCTTTTGGAGCGTCCTAACCTCGAGAATCGGATATAGTTTTTTTTTTTTAATTTAGGCTCAGACCTTGGTAACGCGAATGGGACGCGAATCGGACGTGTCGGGACATTTCTAGTGACCACTTTAGTAGCCTCAGAACTCTCAAGTGATCCCTAGAATCGCCCAGAAACGTCCGGAGCACGTCCGTTTCGCGTTACCGATGTCCAAGGGAGATCTTAAAGTGCAATTTAGCGAAATGTCATCATAAGTTCAACCGGGGACTGAAAAAGTTCCCTAGTGAGAAATAAAAAAAAATCAATATCACAGATAAAAAAATATTTAAAACCTTTTTTCAGCACCACTGAGAAAGGACGCCGGTACTGCAACCGACGAGGCGTGGGCAAAAGAAATGGAGAAAAAGGAGGAGCTCAAAAAAGAGCTCAAGGGAAGAGACGAAGAAGTGAGGTACGAATTTATCAGGAGTCCAAATAAGAACTGAATAAACTAGAAGATACAACTGTCTTATACAGAAAAATAATCATTCAATTCTGAAACACAACCGATTTTTTGAAAGATCGAGTTTCGCATAAAACAAAATACTACTTTTTCGAAAATTCGGTTTTTTTTAATTTTTATTTTTTAACTGAACCGTATCAATCAGAAACTGTATCACCTTGGAGTAAAAATATTGTTTCGCACTGCAATAATTCCCAAAAATTTTGAACAGAGAAAAAATTATGATAGAAATGATGTGATTGAAAAATTATTAGCTCGCGATTTTGAGCAAGTGAATCATCAAAGTGAAAAGAAACCAAGCTGAGAAAAATATTCAGAGAAAATGAGATTGAAGTCAACGAACAGTTGAGACCTCTGAATGAATTCAATAATGTTATAGGCAGGAAAAGGAGAAGGCGATGGAGGCGAACGCCGAAAACGGCCGTCTGACGGCGAACCTGGCCCAGACGACGCTCGCGCTAGGATCTTCTTTGGCCAGAGGTCATTTTTCTTCTTCATGAATTTATAAATAAAATCATTTGCAGAAGAAGTCCTGCGCCAGGAAGTTCAACTTCTCCGCGCCAGGCTCGCCCAAGCCGAGGAGGAGAAAGGCAGGCTGGCTGCCCAACTCCAGGTTACTTGAAAACTAAAATAATCACCTGTATAAGTCTGGGAGAGCAGTTATTGCTTAAAATACATCAGATTTGACTTCAAAACATTATCGAATTCATCTGAAGCTCTTTTCTATCTCAATCAAAGCTGATGTTTTGAAATATCAACGGAGAAGTTTCCGACTTTTTAAAACTCTTATTTTTAAATGTTCCTATATAAAGTAGGTAATCGATTCATGACTAAAACACAAAAATAAGAAAAAATATGAATAAATGCTTTAGAAAACCGAAAAATGAAAGAGAAAAAAGTCGGATAGTTCCCTAGAGATATAAAAAAATCGGAAAAGTTTTAGTTCGAAATATTGTTGCCTTTTTCATAGTAACCTCCTTTCAAGTCTGGAATAATTGATCTATTTCGGTTTTCGCGAAAAAAAACCTTGACGAGAACTTTTGAAATATGAACTTCATTAGTAAAAGGAAATATTTATTTTGGAGCCTTTTTTAATTGGACGAGTTATCAGAAACCAATAAAAAAATAGAAAAAGAAATCAATTTGAATACATTTAGGCCGCCGTACAGGCCCTCGACATTCCCGTCGAAGCGGAGCTGGTGAGATTTTTCTTTTTTTAAATAAAAAAATTTTTCTCGTACTAGTTGCCATTAAAATGTGAAAGATCTATACCAAAGTTCAGAGTTTAAATTCCAGAGCAGATTCAAAATCAGACTTTTTCACATTTTCCGTTTTACAATAAGCCTTTGAATTCAAAAATATATATGCAAAAATTTTGCTAAATAAGCAACGAAGTGAATAATTTAAGGCCGCCGAAATCCAGCCGCAAGAGGACGAAGCTGAGCCTCTTCTCCGCCCTGAAGTGAGGATTTTTTTCATGAAATTTTTATTAGCGAAGTTAGCAAAGCTGTCGCGAGCACTATGGGCACTGCACGTTATGAAAAAAAAAATGCCTTCAAGAGTCTTTTGAAAAAGTTCAAATCTCTGTCTCGACATGAAATTAGCTCTTCGATAACTCTTCTCTGAAAATTGTAAAGTTCTGTGGGAATAAAAGACAATCAAAATCTTCAAACTAGCTTTAGCTCACGAATTTCAAATAGGCTTCCATTCCAAAAACTTCAAGAAAAAGCTTACTAGGGAACTACGCGAACTCGTATTCACGGATCGAGTCCAAACTGGGGTGGTTTAAAGATCTAGGTAAAGGTACTTGAAAACGGGCGATATTATCTGCTAAACCCAATGAGATACCAAGTAAAAGCTTTTTGAAAATTATCAAATTTCGGTTTTTCTCCTTCTTTTGACTGGAAAAAAGTGTTTAGGGTTCATTATAGCGAGATCATTCAAGGCGATTGTATTGAAATATAAATGGAGATAAAAGCAGTATCCTAAGAATTTTCAGGCAATCTGCACGTTTTCTACAAATTTTTTTTTTCAACTGCGAAGACTTTTAAGTAACAATAACATTTAGAACTAACGATAACGGAAAAAAAAAAATCGGCTTCTGGACCAAATAGAAAAGGACGCAGTTACTTCACGCTCGATTACAACTATGAGTGGCGGGCTCTGCCAATTTAAAAAAGTTTTAAAATCATAGTTAATCAAATACGAAACTAGTCTAGAAAGAAAGCTTCAGGCTCTGTTTCGAATTCTCTCTGAGCCGTTTCTATTCACTGTGATTTTCTTTTTTATATCTTCTAATTTTTTCAATATAATATTAGAATTAGTCAAAACCTTTTCTCCAACCAAATCATAATAAAACGGCTGTTTCTGAAACATAAAAGCTGTCGAAATCAAAAAAGATTCAAATTTTTCAGAGCTTTCATTAAATTAATTTAAACGAATTATGTTATTTTTACTGTTATTGAACTGAAATAGTGATAACCTTTGATAGTTTTCTTCTTTCAAAAATATGTGAAAAAGTTCGAAATCTATTTAGTTTTGTAAAGATATTTTCAAAAACTTTTCAAACTGATACTTCCTCATGTAAAGCTTTGGCTATTCGAATCAGTGTACCTGAGAATTTTCGAGTGAAGGTGAAATGGAAGACATGACGTTGTGGTTTCTGAAAATGAGATCGCAATTAAACAAATGCGAAAAATTGGCTCGAACTTCCTATTTCTTCAAATAAAATCAGGGCTACGGAAAGAGTTTATAGATTTGAAAGAGAGATGGAAACTTTTACGGATCATTCTTATTCTTCCGACTTAAAAATCAACAGAAAAACAACTTTAGATGGACCAGGCCAGTCCCAGGAAGCGGAGAAGAAGCTCTTCTTCATGCTCGGACGGCTCCTCTGTGAAGAGGTCCCGAAGTGGAGCCGAGAGCCCGGACGTCTTCCGGACGCCGGAACGTGGCGTCGAGCATGCCAGAAATGGCCACGACGCCACTTCCGGCCAAGAAGAAGCAGAAGAACGGGAGCCGCAGTTGGAAGAAGAGGACGAGGTCGTCCCGGAGAGCGACCAAGAAGAGCTCGCCGAGTCCTCTTCTTCCGGCCCAACATCGCCGGCCCCGTCGACCCCGCCAAGATCCCCGCTGCCCCCGGCGACGCCACCAAGGACGCCCACGCCGCCAGTTCAGCCAACGAGACGGGTTAGTTTTGGCCATCAATACTGAAATGAGAGGATCTTGAACCATTCAGCCAGTGAGAATCCAGATGCAAAAATCATCTTAAACAGCTTTATTTCTAGGTTCTGACAGTCTACTTGATAACGCAGTTTTTTGAATGACAAGTGTTTGAAATCAAAAATTTCAAAATGAAAAAAAGAAAAAGTTCTTTCATCGTTTTGTCTTCGCGTGAGATTTTCGCGTATGAATCTGAAATGAAAAAAAGTTGAAAATTGCTAAATTATATACTTGAAAAGCCTGCAAAATTCCGATTCATTACTCCATAGGAACTCAAAAATAAGTACAATATGGTCAAAGTGAACTAAGATAGAACACGTTCAAATTTATTTGTAAAAATAGGAAATTACGCTTTTGATAACAGAATAATCACGAGTCTTTTTGGAAGAAAAGTTTGAAATGAGGGTCCTTCGATTAGAAAAAAAAGGTTAACTTTTTCAAAAACAAAAGCTTATTTTGCTATTTTTCAAACTTAAAGCGGCTGTTCCAAAAGAAAGATTAGAAGTATTACATTGAATCGTAGGAATAACAGAAAACCGGAAACTCTGATAAACTTTCAATAAAAACTCTAGGAAAATTAGCACTGCTCTGTTAAAAATCCAACATTTATCAAGTGGTTCTCCTTAATTTTACAGAGTATCTCTATTTTTCTTTATATTACCTTTTTTTCTAAATTATCAAAGAACGAAGAAAAATCAATCATAATAAACAAATTATGATTGTTTTTCAATATTAGAAAAAGAAAAAAAGTTTGAAAAAAAGAAAAAAATTAGAAATAAACACCAAGCTTTTTTTCTCCTTCCAACTCCAGCTGCTTGCGTTTTCATCTTCTTAAGAACTACAAGTTACAGTCTAGTCAATGATTTCGAAAAAGAGTCGAATCTGAAGATAATTACGGAAAACGAAGCGAAATTCAAAAAACAAATTTCAATGGAGAAAAAGCGTTCCGATTTCGAGCATAAAGCTTCAAAAAGTCTCATATATAATGAAAAAAATTCACGAACTATTTTTTTCGAGGACTAATACTTTTAACATTAGTTACAAATGGCTAAGCTCAATGAATAAAACCTTTTGGAAAAACGAGTAGCATAAAGCAAAAATTCAAACGAATCGATTATTCTTTCAATGGTTTGCAAAAAAAAAAACAAGAATGATAACCTCAAAAAAATTATTGATTTCAGTAGTTATTTTGAATATATGAAAACAAACGATATCTTTTCAGCAACGGCGCGCCCAGGCGGTCATGGGGGTCCTCAAAAGGTCGAGCAGGATCGGCAACAAGCTCCCTGGCCCCCAGCCCAAGCCGCCGGTGGACGCTCAGCCGATCGCGTTGGCAGTTCTGGCGCCGCTGACGGCCGCCGAAGTCAGCGCGACGATCAAGAAGAGACTGGCGGACTACGACAGCGGGGTTTACATCCAGAACCTCGCTGTCGTGGTCAAGTTGGGAAGGCACCTCACGACGGCACGCAGACTCTCGAGGCACCTCCCGTCATCTCCCAAGGACTTGCAGGACCTCGAGAGTCTGAAAGAGAGTCTCTCTCGGCTCTTTTGAGGTCAGTGTCTCAGAAAGTCAAGAAAAAGCAATAAATTGAGTCATTTCACAAATGTATGTCAGTAGTGCTCATTCAAATTTAGCCCTTTTCAGTCCTTAATCACCGTGAAGAACGATAACGTATTGGAACAATAACTTTAATCAGGAAACTTGGAGAAAATCTTTGCTTTTCAATTGAAAGAAAAACAAAATGAAAAAAAGAAACAGCGATTTACGTTTTTGAAGTGACACATCGATTAGAAACCAAAAAGAAAAAAGTTTAAAAGTTCACGAAAAACTGACTGAAACATGGCGATATGAAATATTTCGAAATTCAAAGTGATTCTCATGAGAAAGTTATGGCAAAAAATGCCGGAAAATTCCCTAGTGGTTTTAGAAAACTGGAACAGTCGTCAATGAAAAAGCACAAAAGATAACTTACCAGTCTGGCGCAAGGGAAAAAGCGAACTCGCTGGCGGTACATTGAAAAACTCGCAAAAATCTCGCTCTGCCCTGCGGGGGCCTCGCATTTTTCTGAGGCGCGACGTCGCATTACGGAAACTCTCCAAATGCGAGAGCGCCTCAAGGAAAATGCAAGAACACCGCATCTCGGACACATTGGTAACGCGAAACGGACGTGCTCCGGGCGTTTCTGGGCGATTCAAGGGATCACTTAAGAGCGTTAAGGCTACTAAAGTGGTCACTAGAAATTCCCCGACACGTCCGATTCGCGTCCCGTTCGCGTTACCAAGGTCCGAGATTGAAGAAGCAGCTTTGTTAACAAAACATGTTTGAGGTATTGAATGTACTGCAAGCAACCTCGCTATTGCCTTCACAGTTACTTTTTGTTGATAAATCACCTCGAAAATTTTTAATGTGCGTAATTGCGTCGGTGTGATTAGACCAAATGAATGACCTCATGCCGTGTTCAAAGTAATTTCCGCGAAATGCAAAATACCCGTTAGAGAAAGGAAAAGATCACTAAATTTTGGAGAGTCAGAGATCATTTTGCATTTCGCGGAAATTACTTTGAACACGACATCAGGTTTAAATTTAACAGGAGCCCTTTTTTAACTAGAGACTTTTTTCAGTCAAATTAAAAATTATTGCGTTTTTATTATTTTTTCTTTCAATAATTATAGTTATTATAACCGAATCAAACGCTGTTTGATTTCTTACACAACTCATTCTGAGAAACTGTAGCCTTCAATTTTTTTCAAGTTTCTCTCGATAGCTGAAAAAAAAAACTTGACTTCCTTCTTATCAAACATTGTGAATAATATCTATCGAATATTTACTTTTCGAAGCTTGAAGGTCTCCATTGAGACATTTTTCCAACTGAAAAGCCGCTTGTGAACCGTTGAAAAGTTTATTATTTTAAGTTCTTCCCAACCGTCTGCTCCTCACCGTACTCGCTGCTCTCTGCTCACCCTTTTCGGTTAGTTATTTTCTTATCAAAAAAGCTTGAGTCGTGGGAAATAAATATAGCTGATTCACGGCTAGGTTGGGACATTAAGGGGCGTGGCCTATCAGCGCTCTCCACTAACCAGGCACTCTCTCGTGCATTATCATGTCAGGACCCTTTTTCGATGGCTCAAGCTAGCCGTGGATTAGCTATAAAAAACAGTCTGAGAGTTTTGTAGCTTGAAATTGAAGTCATGTTTCTTACTTTCTGATTTTTACATCCATCAAAACTTTTTTATGATGTACAGGGTGGCCAATAAATATTGAAACGCGTTTGAAACGTTATAACTTTCTCTAATGTCAACCAAACACCACCAAACTTGGAACAAATTTTATTCATACAATATAGAAACAAAATTCAAGAATAGTTTTCAAAACGTCCTCCTTTAGCAGTGATAACGGCCTTCAGTCTCTTCGGATACGCATCGATCACGGCACGAAGGTAGTCGTCGTCGATTTCGTCCCATTTCTTGATGAGCGCGGTCTTCAGGGCTTTGATATTTGGGTAGTTCTTAGAAGAGACCTTCTCGGTCAGATATATCCACACGGCATAGTCCATCGGGTTGAGGTCGGGCGAGGAAGCAGGCCAATCAGCAGCCGAGATGAACTCGAAAAATTGGCGCGATACCACTCTTGAGTCCCTTTGGCACGATGAGCGCGGGCGCAGTCTTGCTGGAAGGTCCATGGTCGGTTTCCGTAGTGAGAATTGGCTTAGGGCAACACCCTCAACTTCAAAATCTACTCCCTGTAGTATACTCGGTTCACTTTGACTCCAGGATCCACAAAAATCAGCGGAGTTTTGCCGTCAGCGGTAATTCCGGCAAAAACCATCACGGAAGCCGGATGCGAAGTTTTATTCAGAATTTTTCCTTTTTCACAGGCACTCTGATAGTCAGTAGCGATGATCGGATGATTTTGGCCGTTCTTGTTCGCCTCCACAGTGAAGATTTTCTCGTCGGTAAATAGCGTCGTCAGATGCGAGCCATCTTACGTGCCAGCGAGCAGCTTTCGAGCCTTTTCCATCCGCAATGTCTTGTTTTTTTGATTGAGGAAGGCTCCTTTCTGCATACGGTAGGGAATCATCTTCAGCTTGTCCTTGACAACAGTTCTCATCGATTCTCGACTCATTTTGTATTCTTTTGCCATCTTTCTCACGCTTCTTTCCGGAGTGCGTCTGATTTTCTCTCGAACGGCTTTGACTGCTTCTGGAGTCGTGACGGTGACTGGACGTCCACTTCTTTGCATGTCATCTGAAGTACCGAGACGCCGATAGCGTTGTGCAGTTCGAAAAACGAGAACACGAGACACTTTCAGCTTTTTACCGATCTCTGAATTCGTCATTCAGCTTTTGACACAATCTATGATTGCGGTACGGTACGGAGATGGGGCCACCATTACCTGAAAACTGAAAAGTATGAGCTGTAACTTCAAACACATGATAAGAGAGCATGAATGAACGAAATAAACAAAAAAATTCAATGACCAGTCCTTTGTGCAAAAAGCAGCGATCAAACAAAAAACGGTTTCAATATTTATTGGCCACCCTGTAGAATTCTACATCATAAAAAAGTTTCTAGAATAGAAATGTATCTTAATTCTTCAAAAGCAGGGAACGGCCTTCGTTTCTTTTCAAGGGATGCTTGTTGGTTCGCCATTGATTTGAGCTCATTCAAGTTTTTTATTTGAAAAAAATCGAGAAGCAGTCGAAAAAAAAATAATAGTTCTGATCATTTTAGCCAACTTTTGTAGTAAAAAAAATTTAAACAGTGTATTTTGTCTGTTCAAAAGCCATTTTTGAGGTATTTGAAAGCGCAAAGACCCATGCCTAGAGGTTATATAACTCAGATCGAAAAAAATGGAGAGAACTTTTTATAAATAAAGTTGAAATTTCAAACTTCGTTGATGCATATTATTTCAATATTAACGGAAAGAAAAATGTTCTTATAAATATATTATTTTATATTAATATCGTTAAATTATCCGGCCGAGCTTATCAGAAATTTGTACAAACTAATTAAATATTTGAAAAATCTTAGTTTTTTTGTTTAAATTTCAATGAGCTTGATTGAAGAGTTTGACGAAGTTTTTTTGAAAACCAAATGCTTCTATAGCCTGGAATCGATGTCGCTCGAGAAAAAAAAAGCTTCTTGAGACATTTCTATTGAGTAAGAATTTGGAACGGCTCGTTTCTCTCTGTTGGTCACAGAAAATGTAAATTTTGAGCGATAATTCTTCCGAAAAAAATACGTTATCCGGTTTTCAAAAATAAAAAGTGTCTCTTCTTCAAGAAAGATTCTTTTTTTTAAAAGAAACCAGATTTGCCTTTTGATTATTTTCTCAGCTTTAGTCGAAAAGAACTAGTTTTTGATGTCCTCATGAGATTCGAGTCGTTTTTCAACCTTCATAGTTAGTTTTTATGAACACACGTTTTTAATTGGGCAATTTCATGAAAGCCTTCCAGCAAGTGAAAAAGGGAGCAAGTCTTTATGATTTTTCTGACTTTTCTTGTGATTTTGAGCGTCTTCCATTTTTCCCAAGCTTCAAAGCTTGTTTTTGCGTATTTTTTCGGAATGAGCTCAAAAAACTGCTATTGTGAACCTAGCTAAATTCGGAAAAACTCAATGTGGCTGCGAAAAAAATCCCTCGTCACGCTCATTTTTTTTTTCGAGGCGTAAAACGACCAACCCAAATTCCACTTTTGGATAGTTTACTTTTTTTGGTCAAAGACGTTTTTTTGGGCGATTCTAGAGATCACTTAAAAGCGCTGAGGCTACTAAAGTGGTAACTAAAAATGCTCCGATATGTCCGGTTCACGTCCCTTTCGCGTTACCAAAGTCCGAGAAACATGATTCAAAAAATAGCGTAGCCCTGGAGCTCACTTTCAGCCGACTCGAACGCCTGTAAAGGCTTTCCTGTTTTGTTTACTATATTGGGACCTCTTTCCTGACTTATTTTGTGAATGGCTATGTGAAATGCTGTGCTCACGCACCCAACTTAATTCTGCTTTCATTATTCCTTTCTAATCGTCTTCTCGTTGGGAAAAGACAAGGGAGGTCATTTTAGTGGACCTTTTCGAATTTTTTGATAAAAATCAATTCAAACGTTCTCTGAAAGTTTGGATGAATTGCCCCGCCGTTTTCTAACTTGAAAAAAGTGAATTCCGAAAGTTTTTTAACCTTGGCCTTTGGGATTTGAATTATTTAGAGAAAGAACTGAAGAATATTCGAGCAAAGATTCAGAAAAAGCCAATCTTGACACAAAAATAGCCTCCCTTGTTGAAAAAAATTCTCCATCCCAAATATTCCTTCAGGGAGTTTCACCACGGAAAAACTACCGCGATATCCATTTGCCGGTTTTTCTCAAGTACATCGTTATCGAAATGTCGACGAGTGACGGACAACACAATTTATCCGAACAGTTCACATGTTTCAGCTCCCTTTCTCTTTGCCTTTCAGTTTCGATTGTCCCGATTTTCCTGTTTCCTTCCCCGCTACCCACTTATTTTTAAATTTATCGTTATTTGATCTGTGCCATAGTTTTCATTATCTTTAAATTTTTTCCTTTTTTTCCCTAGAAATTTGTTTTACTCATCTGTTTTTTTTTTGTTTTACTCATCATTTTCGTTATTTTACTGAGCAGTTCAGTCTGCCTGATTTCATCTGTACCATGGTTATATTTCTTGATTCTTTTTCCACTAAGTTTTCCATCCAACTTCTCTTGGCTCATCCTTCATCCCTTTTTTCCTATCTTTTTTCATTAATACAATTGTATTACGTAATATGTAAAAAGAGCCTTTAGAAAAATCAAAAATTAAAAAAACTAGAAAACCAAAAAAACAAAAATTAAAAATCCAAAAAAACAAAAAAATTAAAAAAATAAAAAAATAGTAAAAAAAGGCCAACTCTATTGTTTTCATTTTTTCCTTTGTACTCTCGCACTTTTTTTGTCCATCTGGGCAAACCGTCAAATCTCTGCACATCAAGCCGAATTTCTCAAGAATTCTTGAGAATCCGTCCATGTGAATGAATGGTTAGCTTTTTTTAATTTGAAAAATAAAATTGAAGAAAAAAATTTCAGAAAGCTCTATTTTTTTATGAAGAAGAAGTCGACAATACTTCAAACTTGAAGAAAAAAATGAAGCCGGCAATACTTCACACTTCGCTCGACTCCGGTTTTTGGTTAGTTTTCTGCTTTTTCTACATGATAAAATGAGATAATTTTCAGAAAAACCGAAAGTTTCAAATCAATGAGCAAGCTCCCCGCACAAGGATGGAACTCTAACTTTTCCCATCCGGCAAAATCTCGCGAATTCTGTGGTTCCAACGTATAAGAGTCGTTCTCTGTTAGTTTTCTAATCTACTTGAAAATCATGCGGGGAAAATTCAGGAAGAAGCTAAAAAGGCTAGCAGCAGATGGCTGAAACAGAAGAAAATGTTTGGCTTACGTGAATTCCAGCCATCTTCGAAATATTGTTTTCACCTTCTGGGATAGCGGCGATCCTCGAAAGAATAAACAAGAGGTAATCATCAAAAAGTAGAGACTCCATCGATAAAAGGAACATTTCAGTTTGAAGCGGACAAAGTCGGAAACTAACCACCGCATTTTCAAAAATTTCGGAACATCTATCGTCGAAAAAAAGACTTTTTCTCTGAAGTTACGCTCCAGGTGTGTAACCTTATCTTATTTACAGAAAAAAAAAACATTTTTATTCAGATTTCAATAATTTCAAACTATGATATTATGTGAAGTTCGACTCATATAATTCTATTTTCTACATTTACCGGTCCCAACTCTCATTCGGTCTTTGAATAGTCACGCTTCAGGTGGGTAACCTTATCTTATCAACAGGAAAAATAGATTTTTTCCAGATTTCAATAACAGCGAACACTAAAATATTATCAGAAAGCCGATCAGTTCTACTCATATCATCATTTTTCTATATTCACCCGTCCCAATTGGAATTTTGTCTTCAAAAAGTCTCCCCAAGGTTGGTTAATTTTCGAAATTCGAAAAATATTCCCATTGTTCAGATTGAAAACGGAAAAGGCAAAAAAATCGCCAATAAGGCATAATTTCGGCGTGGAATTCAGCCTTGAAAAACCTGACGTTCGGAAAATTGTCTTGGTTAGTTTCCCAATAAGTTTTAAAATCATAATAAACATTTTTCAGATAACTGACGGTTGAAAGCTCAATTATCAAAGAAAAAATTAAATGATGTCAAAAAAATAGAGACGGGACTTCGAAAAGAACAACGAAAACTGTTTTTTTCCTGCTATTCGAAAAACAGGGCCTCCAAATGGTGAGTTATTTCGCAAAAAAACTTGATAATTTTGTGAAATATTCAGGCCAAAAAGAGCATCGCTCGGAATCGTATCAATTTCCAGCCATTCGGACAATTTTCTTGCATTTTTCGTTCGAATTTTCTCAGTCGCAGAATTTTGAAGCGGCTGTAAAGCTACCAAACGTTATCAATGGTAAATTTTCCGATTGGTCCATTTTTTATAACGGAAGAATTTTAGAAAAAGCGTTATAAATCGAAGATCTCCGTACGAATTCATGAAAGGAAGTCAAATCAAGAAGAAAAATCAAATTCTTCTGGAGCGTAATCCTTCTCGCAGATCTTCCTCCCTTTAGTAAAATGAGAAAAAAAGAAAATGGAGTATACAAAAAAATAAAGAAAAATAAAAAAACGACCAAAAAACTCCTTCCCCCTTTTTCAGTTGTTCCCCTTAGGTAATCAATCACATTTCATTGTTCTCGATATTTATTTTACTTTTTATGTCAAAATCGTGGAGAGTCTGAAAAAACTCTTCAAGACGATTTCAATAATGAAGAACATGTATTGAAATCAATTCTCAACCATTTCTTTTCGCGTTTCGATACATGTTCTTCTTTTCACCATTTTCAAATCAAATTTTTCCATTCAAGCGCTTCCAACAGTTCATTTTCACTGTTTCGGAGCATTTTTTGAAGTCAAAAAACCTTTTTTTTGCTTTTTCCCTGGACACGCCATTCCATTGATTTCTGAGTCAACTTTCAAACATTTTGGCTCAAGAAATTCATATTTCATAAGTGTCCAAGGAAAAATTCATTTTTAATCAACTTCTTTCCATCCAGTCTTTCAGAACTGTACGAATTGTCAGTTTCTGAGAATTTTTTTTGCGTTTTTCAGCCTTTCTAGAAACTTTTTTTTGCTTTTTCCCTGGACACGCCATCACAACATTTTCCGAGTCAAAATTCAATCATTTTTGCTCGGAAAAGTCTCGTTTCAACAGTGTCCACGAAAAAAAGACATTTTTTTCATCCATTTCGAATCTCTACGAATTTTTAAATTCAAAACACTTTTATTTTCACTTTTCCAAGCATTTTCGTTTTTTTACAATGAACACGCAAAAGGTTTTACATTTAGATTCAAGTCGTGGTCATCGTTAAAACTAAAAAAATTCATCAAAAAAATAATTATTATATTTAGTCGTTGCGGAAAATTTCATTTTCACTGTTTCGGAGCATTTTTTTTGGTTTTTTTAGGCTTTTCAAGACATTTTTCTCACTTTTTATCTTTGGACACGCCTTTTCACTGTCTTCTAGGCGAATTTGCAACAATTTTTGTTGAAAGAATTGGTATTTCAATAGTGTCCAACGAAAAAATTGTAAAAAAGAATTTTTCGGTCCCTCGAAGCTGTACGAGTTCTCAGTTTCGGAAAACTTTTTCATTTTTCAAACAATTTTCGTTTTTCGCAATGAACAAGAAAATTATGTTTTCGTTTTCAGTAACGTCGTGGAAACCGAAAAAAATAAAAAAATTTTTTCATTTTTTTCATTTTTCTCAAAAAAACGTAATTGCTTTCAATAATTCTGAAAAGAAAATTATTTTGAATTTCCCATTGCATAAATCATGACAAAACTTTTTGAATCAATATTCGAGAAATTTAGTTTCGAAATAGCTATTTTCAGTTTTCCAAAGGGAAAAAAATGTTCTGGTTTCCCAAAAAAATAGTAAAATTTCATTCTTTTCTAAACATTTCTCTTGCTTTTTCGAAATGTTCAGCTTTAGTCGGTCAGCTGAAATTCCTGATGAAAAATTCCAAAAATTTAGTGACTAGAATAAATAAGACTTTTCTTGGTCTTTTTCATATAGTTTTATTCAAATTTAAGTTTTTTTGCTGGGAATCGTAAAAAAATTTTTAGCGTTTTTGGGCCTTCAAAGTGTTTTTTTGCGAATACTGAGAAGGTTTTTCAAAATTGACAGAATTTTCAGGAACCCCAATATTTCGGTCGTTTTATGATGTATAGTGTTGGAAAGAAATTTATTACTATGTATACTTTTAAAAGTAAATAAATTGGAGGAGGATGGACTTTTTTTGAACGTGGAGGAGGAGGATTTTAAAAATATCAGAATATTTCTCCTAAAAATCACTAAGGCTTTAAAAAGTAAAAATATTGACTTTTTGAAATATTTATAAAACTGGAGGGGGATGGAATTTTGTAAACTTTAAAAATTGGAGGAGGAGGAACTTTTTGATATCAAATTTCTTGCTTTTAGAGAATATTTTCCGAGTAGAACTTCAAAATGGAACAAGGATTTCTTTATTTTTTCATAACTTTTCAATCAACAGTACTTATTTTCAATAGCTCATATAAATTGACGAGATTTTTTCTTCATTCCGTGTATTTTCTTCACTCGAATCCTCTCAATCGGCCGAGGCTACCCTAGAGTGTATACGGCGTCCGTCCCCGATCTCCGCCGTTCCCGTACTTGCGAAACTGAGGGATCTACTTGTGGAAGAACGAGGCGAAGGACCGTAAGACTATGCTTTCAAATCAATCGACTACACGTTTGACTTCTTTTTCGCCAAAGGCGGTGTTAGTGCCGTTCAAAAGAGCGATTTTTTCACCGCCTAGTCGATTCCATCTGACTAAAACAACCAATTAATATTGATGAAATTTTGATTCTTTAGTAAACTACGGATTTCGCATCGAAAGTTACCGTTTTTTTTATTAAAAATTTTGAGCGAGTTGAGTTTTTTCCGGAGAAAAGAATAATCAGGAATTATTTTGCCATAAAAATTTCATTCTCAAAGTTACTGTTTTTGGAGGAAATTCGATAGAAGAAAAAACTAGCTCTCTCCAAAAAACACCATTTCAAAGTCTTTTGTTTTCAAAAAATTGGAAGGGGTTAGATAATGGGGTGGGATCAAGTAAGTTTGATACAGTTTCTGTACCGAGTTAGTTGACTTTTTTTCAGACCGGTTACGGTAGAAGAGATCCGGAAGGCGGAGGCAAGCCGGGAAGAGTTCCAGTGGCGCAGTCCGAGTGCGTCTCGATGCCGATCGTGCGTGGCTAGTTCAAACCTTTTTCTTTGCGAAAAATTCTTTTTCATAATTTCGCAATCAAAAATTTTATAAGAATGTTTTTTTGAAAGTCAGAAACCGGTAAATTTAGAATTTGGCGATAGCCAACACTTTTTTTGATGGCCGAGAATTTTTTTTAGCGTCTCATAGCTTTTTATTTAGTCCTATCAAAATATGAAAAGTTCGAAAAAAATGTTCCATTTTGGATTGAAAAATTTTATATATAACCGAAATTGTGAAGCTCAGTAGGCATGAAACGTATGAGCTCGGAAAAAAATCATTGTATGGATATTCTCATTTTATCTCGAAAGTTAAACTTCATCGAATGACGGAAAAGAGAGAGAAAGCAAACATTTTTCACAAAAGCCTATAAACTTGCCCATAAAAGTGGCAACGAAGAAACCTTGAATATCCTGAATGGGCAACTCCTAAGAAACCTTCCAGTTGCTTTTTTGGACTCCCAGAAAATCTCTCTCCGTTTCGGGTGAACGACGGAAGCATCTGCGAGTGCTTACTGGCCAATATAAGCGAACCTTTATTTTTAGAAAACGATTTTTCAGATTTCGAATTTCCATAGCTGCTTCAGTTTCATTCTCAAAACGGTTGACCTGCACAAAAAAAGAATGATAAAAATTATAGCCAAAAAGTAGTTTGAAAATTCCCTAGATCTTTCTATCAAATTCAGTTTCAAATTTTAATCATTTGAAATCCATGTCAGTCGCCTTGAGCACGCTTGTGCGTCAGGCTGGGCGGCCTGTCCCGGGCTTCGAGTCTTGTTTGTTTTTTTTCCAAAAACATGCATGGTCTAAGTCCAAAACCAAGCTCTGAATATATTTTCTTTTTTTACACAAAAATTCGTTCTAAATATAATCTTTAATAAATATTCAAACAAATACACAAAAAAATTTTTATCTGTCCTCTTTTTCTTCAAATTTCTATACGTTTTCAAACCAAAAACCGAACTCAAAAATAAATCAAAATTTTTTCATCCAGAATTTCACCGAGAAAAATCTTTTTCATTCATTATATGATAGCTTCTGTTGATATTTGAGTTTGAATTTTAAAAAAATCTGGGGCCGGTCCAGGTCGCGTTCAAAAATAGCCCAGGGACCAATGCGCGGACGATGGCTCTCGCACAAAATTGGTCCTATGCAAAAAAACCTAAAATTTTCAGAAAAAAAGTATTGCGCTGAAATTAGACGAAATGCGAAAAAGAACAAATTTCGACTAAATTTTAAATAAATGGTATCGAAGATCGAGAAAGAAATCATTTCAATTCATTTAGAGCTCTCATATAAGATACTGTTCCACGAAAAATTATGAGGAAAGTTGAAAAAGAATTTTAAACAAAAGCAAACCAAACGTTTTTAAGTCTTTACTTTGTTTGAAAAATATTGGGGGCACAAAAATTGGGGTGGGATCAGGCAAGTTCAACATATTCCTATTTCGGAGTTTACTGATTTTTTTCAGAACGACCACGAGAGACTGAGGCGCTTCACACAGCGGATTATGGGTTAGTACGAAATTTAAAAAAAGTTAAGTATTTTTGCTAGTTTTAAAAAAAAATAAATTGCTCGAGGAAGAACTTTATCAGAAAATTTCCTTTTTTTTTAATTCAAAAACAGCTTTTGCATGTAGTGATCGTATCTAGAAAAATTGAAGATTTTTTCGGATTTGTACATTTCTATTTCTCGCGCGTTTTCGCTTTAGATAGAAAAAGTGCAATATGACATAATTCATGACGTAAAATCCGAATTTTGACTCAAAACAGAACAAAAAACGCTCTGACACGAAATTTTTTTCGAAATTTTGGATTTATCGGCGATTTGTGTGAAAAGTTAAATTTGAACACTGTGTGTATCACAACTATACATCATTATTATGAAATGCTTCTTTCCATGATTTATTTGAGGTCGTTATCGAAAAGATTGAAAAAGAAAATCAAAGTATATCGCGCATTTGTTCGTTTATGTCGTGTTCAAAGTGATTCCGCGAACGAAAATACCCGTTAGAGACAGGAAAATATAATTAAATTTTAAAAAACTAAAAGAGTCATAGACCATTTTGCTTTTCGCGGGGATAACTTTAAACACAGCATTAAAAAGGTGATGAAAAAGAAGTTCAAAAACGTGTTTCATTTCGAAATTCCCGTTCCTTTCAAAACTTGATTGGAGTCAATTAAGCAACGAAAAAAGTGTTGCTTAGACACTTTTCCATCTTCATAAACCCGGAAAGTGGAAATTAAAGCTCGGCAAAAGTTCGAATAAGTCCAAAAACGAGCAATTTTTATCAAAAAATAAAAATTTTGTGCAGGCACCTTTGCGCGCGGGTGCATACACACAATGCGCCGTCGGTATTTACGAACTCATTTTTAAATACATTTTTTTTTTAATAAAGCGAAAATTTAACACCTTTTCTTCTCAGTTCAACCTGAGTTTAATCCAAGACATATTTCGATTGATAATCACAAAGTTTTTAGCTCACCGAAGTTTAATTATCGCTAAAATATTCAATTTTTCGTTGTTTCGGCCTGCTTAAGCTGGGATATTTGCAAACTCGTTTGAACCTCTGTACTTTTACAGTAGTCTCCAGTATTTGGCGGTAATTGAGAAGTTTCGGATTGCCTAAGATGCTGAATTATGAATTATGAACCATAGTTTTAGTTATTTCAGTCTGTTAGTCCTCAATTGCATTGGAATGAATATTCGAAATATTCATAGTCTCCTTTGCTTTTTTTTAATCATTGGTTATTCAATCTTTTATTTTCAGAGAAGATGGCAACAACGTGAATTTCAGCGACTGAAACTCGAAATTAAGATCCATTGGTTTAGTATCAATTTTTATTTCCAATGTACAAGGTTGTCAATTTTCAGCCCTTCTCGCATTTTTGGAGCATTTTGACGAGCTGACCTTCTCATTCGCGTCCAGAAGCTGTCAAAATAACTTGACGTTTTTCTGTTTTTCCTCTGATTTCGGCCACCTCGATTTTTTTTCAACTGTCCCCTGCTTATGTAACGATCGCAAGTACCCAAGAGCGGAAAAAAAAAAATTATATTTGATTATTTGTTGAAATTTTTTTTTTTTTATTGTTGGACCTGTTTTTCCAAATTTTTTTGACATTCCATGCGATCAGGCTTCGGTCCGTTTTTTTAAGATCGGCCCAAAAAGCTCAAATGTTCTTCATTTCAAATATCAAAGTTTAAAAAAAAAATTCTGTTTTTGGTTTTTTTTGTTTAGAGTTCAACGGTAACTATGATTAAACAAGTCGAAACATGTTTTCGTTGAAAATATTTTCAATCAAACTCAAAATTCGCGAAGGATTTTTCTTAGTAGTGAGACATAAGGCCCGGGCCTGGCCGGTCTGACGCCCAAGCCTGGATTCAAGTAAAACTTCGAAGTAAAAGCCATTTTGCCGATTGCTTGGGTTTTCGACTGGCAAACCAACAGGTCTATCCGATTCCGCGCAGCCTGTCACACTTTTTTTTTGTTTAGATGGCTTTGTCACATTATTTTCTTCGATCATTCAATTGAATAAAGATGACGAGCATAATTTACTTACGAAAAATGGAATGAAACTTCGAAAAATGAAAGATGTTATTTGATGAGAACTGCTACAGTACCGTCCAGAAAAAAAAAATCAACCCTTTATCTGCGTTTTATTGCTTTATACTCAGTGTGCCAAGACTTGGAGTTTCACCGAACGACATTCCGCTGTTCCGCTGCGTCGCGAAGCGTCTTTGCGTGCCTCGGTCTCGCTTTGAACTGGTTCTCATTTCTGATAGATGGACTGATCCACTAGGAACACGTGTTGGTCGAGTTCTAAAATTGAAGAAAATTTAAAAGCACGCAGCGGAACAGCGCAATGTCGTTCGGTGAATGGAGATTTTCAGTTGTGACGTGAAATGCGTGAAATTCACAAGTTCAACTAGGTATATTAGGCTTCCTTCTGACTTTCGCTGAAATCTAACGACATTTTTGAATTCAGCGAATTATTTGCATTTTTTTGAGCCCTAATTCGACAACATAAAAACTGGAAAATGGAGATTTTCAGTTTTGACGTGAAATTCTCTGAAACTAACATGTTCAACTAGGTATATTAGGCTTCCTTTTTGACTTTTCGCTGAAATCTAACAACATTTTCTGGACTCGGCGAATTATTTGCAATTTTTTGAGCCCTGATTCGACAACAAAAACTGGAAAATGGAGATTTTTCCGTTTTGACGTGAAATTCTCTGAAACTAACATGTTCAACTAGGTATATTAGGCTTCCTTTTGACTTTCGCTGAAATCTAACAACATTTCTGGACTCGGCGAATTATTTGCAATTTTTTGAGCCCTGATTCGACAACAAAAACTGGAAAATGGAGATTTTCCGTTTTGACGTGAAATTCTCTGAAACTAACATGTTCAACTAGGTATATTAGGCTTCCTTTTGACTTTCGCTGAAATCTTACAACATTTCTGGACTCGGCGAATTATTTGCAATTTTTTGAGCCCTGATTCGACAACAAAAACTGGAAAATGGAGATTTTCCGTTTTGACGTGAAAATTCTCTGAAACTAACATGTTCAACTAGGTATATTAGGCTTCCTTTTGACTTTCGCTGTAAATCTAACAACATTTCTGGACTCGGCGAATTATTTGCAATTTTTTTGAGCCCTGATTCGACAACAAAAACTGGAAAAATGGAGATTTTCCGTTTTGACGTGAAATTCTCTGAAACTAACATGTTCAACTAGGTATATTAGGCTTCCTTTTTGACTTTTCGCTGTAATCTAACAACATTTTCTGGACTCGGCGAATTATTTGCAATTTTTTTGAGCCCTGATTCGACAACAAAAAAACTGGAAAAATGGAGATTTTCCGTTTTGACGTGAAATTCTCTGAAACTAACATGTTCAACTAGGTATATTAGGCTTCCTTTTTGACTTTCGCTGAAATCTAACAACATTTCTGGACTCGGCGAATTATTTGCAATTTTTTGAGCCCTGATTCGACAACAAAAACTGGAAAATGGAGATTTTCCGTTTTGACGTGAAATTCTCTGAAACTAACATGTTCAACTAGGTATATTAGGCTTCTTTTTGACTTTCGCTGTAATCTAACAACATTTCTGGACTCGGCGAATTATTTGCAATTTTTTGAGCCCTGATTCGACAACAAAAACTGGAAAATGGAGATTTTCCGTTTTGACGTGAAATTCTCTGAAACTAACATGTTCAACTAGGTATATTAGGCTTCCTTTTGACTTTCGCTGAAATCTAACAACATTTCTGGACTCGGCGAATTATTTGCAATTTTTTGAGCCCTGATTCGACAACAAAAACTGGAAAATGGAGATTTTCCGTTTTGACGTGAAATTCTCTGAAACTAACATGTTCAACTAGGTATATTAGGCTTCCTTTTGACTTTCGCTGTAATCTAACAACATTTCTGGACTCGGCGAATTATTTGCAATTTTTTGAGCCCTGATTCGACAACAAAAACTGGAAAATGGAGATTTTCCGTTTTGACGTGAAATTCTCTGAAATTGACAAGTTCAACTAGGTATATTAGGCTTCCTTTTGACTTTCGCTGAAATCTAACAACATTTCTGGACTCGGCGAATTATTTGCAATTTTTTGAGCCCTGATTCGACAACAAAAACTGGAAAATGGAGATTTTCCGTTTTGACGTGAAATTCTCTGAAACTAACATGTTCAACTAGGTATATTAGGCTTCCTTTTGACTTTCGCTGTAATCTAACAACATTTCTGGACTCGGCGAATTATTTGCAATTTTTTGAGCCCTGATTCGACAACAAAAACTGGAAAATGGAGATTTTCCGTTTTGACGTGAAATTCTCTGAAACTAACATGTTCAACTAGGTATATTAGGCTTCCTTTTGACTTTCGCTGTAATCTAACAACATTTCTGGACTCGGCGAATTATTTGCAATTTTTTGAGCCCTGATTCGACAACAAAAAAACTGGAAAAATGGAGATTTTTCCGTTTTGACGTGAAATTCTCTGAAATTGACAAGTTCAACTAGGTATATTAGGCTTCCTTTTGACTTTCGCTGAAATCTAACAACATTTCTGGACTCGGCGAATTATTTGCAATTTTTTTGAGCCCTGATTCGACAACATAAAAACTGGAAAAATGGAGATTTTCCGTTTTGACGTGAAAATTCTCTGAAACTAACAAGTTCAACTAGGTATATTAGGCTTCCTTTTGACTTTCGCTGAAATCTAACAACATTTTCTGGACTCAGCGAATTATTTGCAATTTTTTTGAGCCCTGATTCGACAACATAAAACTGGAAAATGGAGATTTTTCCGTTTTGACGTGAAAATTCTCTGAAATTCACAAGTTCAACTAGGTATATTAGGCTTCCTTTTGACTTTCGCTGAAATCTAACAACATTTTCTGGACTCGGCGAATTATTTGCAATTTTTTTGAGCCCTGATTCGACAACATAAAACTGGAAAAATGGAGATTTTTCAGTTTTGACGTGAAAATTCGCTGAAATTTCACAAGTTCAACTAGGTATATTAGGCTTCCTTTTGACTTTTCGCTGAAATCTAACAACATTTTCTGGATTCAGCGAATTATTTGCAATTTTTTTGAGCCCTGATTCGACAACATAAAACTGGAAAAATGGAGATTTTCCGTTTTGACGTGAAAATTCGCTGAAATTAACAAGTTCAACTAGGTATATTAGGCTTCCTTTTGACTTTTCGCTGAAATCTAACAACATTTTCTGGATTCAGCGAATTATTTTGCAATTTTTTTGAGCCCTGATTCGACAACATAAAACTGGAAAAATGGAGATTTTCAGTTTTGACGTGAAAATTCGCTGAAATTTCACAAGTTCAACTAGGTATATTAGGCTTCCTTCTGACTTTCGCTGAAATCTAACGACATTTTTGGATTCAGCGATATATTTGCAGTTTTTTGAGCCCTGATTTGACAAGATAAACTGGAAAATGGAGATTTTCAGTTTTGACGTGAAAATCGTGAAATTCACAAGTTCAACTAGGTATATTAGGCTTCCTTCTGACTTTCGCTGAAATCTAACGACATTTTTGGATTCAGCGAATTATTTGCATTTTTTTGAGCCCTAATTCGACAACATAAACTGGAAAATGGAGATTTTCAGTTTTGACGTGAAAAACGTGAAATTCACAAGTTCAACTAGGTATATTAGGCTTCCTTTTGACTTTCGCTGAAATCTAACATCATTTTTGAATTCAGCGAATTATTTGCATTTTTTTGAGCCCTAATTCGACAACATAAACTGGAAAATGGAGATTTTCAGTTTTGACGTGAAAATCGTGAAATTCACAAGTTCAACTAGGTATATTAGGCTTCCTTTTGACTTTCGCTGAAATCTAACATCATTTTTTTGGATTCAGCGAATTATTTTGCAATTTTTTTGAGCCCTGATTCGACAACATAAACTGGAAAAATGGAGATTTTCAGTTTTGACGTGAAAATCGTGAAATTTCACAAGTTCAACTAGGTATATTAGGCTTCCTTCTGACTTTCGCTGAAATCTAACGACATTTTTGGATTCAGCGAATTATTTGCAGTTTTTTGAGCCCTGATTCGACAACATAAACTGGAAAATGGAGATTTTCAGTTTTGACGTGAAAATCGTGAAATTTACAAGTTCAACTAGGTATATTAGGCTTCCTTCTGACTTTCGCTGAAATCTAACGACATTTTTGGATTCAGCGAATTATTTGCAGTTTTTTGAGCCCTGATTTGACAAGATAAACTGGAAAATGGAGATTTTCAGTTTTGA